GATTATGGTCAATTAATTAGCTGTCCAATTGTTTCACATATTATCATTCCCAAAATGATCTACTATGTGTTTGCGATGTGATAGTATTTTACTTGTTAGAAATAAATGAGTCTACGAATGAACAAATAAAATATTTTCATAAACTCAAAAATTCTACTATGATATATATATACAGTCCCGATAAGAATAATGTGGAAGTGCCTAGCCACCTAAATACATGATGGTGTAAGAGTCTTATAACATTGCAAGCATTATAACATGGGTCATGGGTATAATGGTTTTTTTATTCAAACTATGGTCATTAGTAGTAGAAAAAATTTCGTTTGATGTGTTATTGTAATACTACCATCTGGTGTTACTAAATCATATCTTATAACATGGGTGTGACAAATTTATATTTTAAAATATAAATATGTTATAAAATTAGTGAATTAATAATACAACATGACAATGTTACGGTTATCTAAAACTTTCTTTGGACGAGACCTATAACCAGTTGCTTTCTTATCTCTCAAAAGAAAAAAAATCTTCGGACCCATCCATGCATAACCATGTCACTAAAACTGCTCCAAGAACATGGATGTCCATGTTGTTTGGCCCCAGACTGTTACATAGAAAAGTTTTTATTATTCTATAGTTAGGAATATTTTGTTAAAAAGAAGTTTATGATTGAATTGAGAACATTAGAAATATATATGTATAATATAGACTTTTTTTTTTTTTTTTTTTTTTTTTTTTTTTTTTTATCCAGGTTTGTTAAAGGATTACGTGATTATGTGTTGAATCAAATGATTGTCCAAAAAGTACAGAATAACATTCATTTCTCTGGGTTCTTGTTTTGTCATAACGGTATAAAAGTAATGCAGCAAACACCAAAACAAACCCAAAATTTTTAGAACCCATCATTTCAATCTTCATTTCTAGACCCACTATGATGATCCCTCAAAGCCCAGCTGGTATTAGGGAGATCCATTTATTTATATATACCACAATATTTACATCAGTTGTTTTCTCTTTGATGTTCTCGTCAAGTGTTTTCAATGTCATTTCCTTCCTTGACCAATCTTTTGGTGAACTTGGAATGGCAGATGCCTAAATCCAGGTGTGGTCCAACCCTAAGGGCAGGGTAGGCAGCCGCCTACTCCATTTTTTGCCAAACCAAAAATTACCCAATATCCATTACAATTAAATTTCTTCTTGCCTACTCAAACCCAACCCACCAGGAGTGGTCCTACTCTAAGGGCAGGATAGGCAGCCGCCTACTCTATTTTTTGTCAAACTAAAAATTACCCAATATCCAATACAATCAAATTTCTTCTGCCTATTGAAACCCAACCCACCAGGGGCGATCCTACCCTAAGGACAAGGTAGGCAGCCGTCTACTCCATTTTTTGCCAAACCAAAAATTACCCAATACAATTAAATTTCTTTTGCCTACTCAAACTCAACCCACTCAAATTTTTCCCTTTAACAAAAACAATGGCCCAGCCCACTCAAACTTTCTCCTTTAATAAAAACAATAAAAAGCAATATAAGCATGTGAAAGTTGTATGAAGATTATTTTCAATGTTGACAAACATTGTGAATTTTATTAGTGCTTCTGCTAAGCACCGTAATGAGTTAATTTAATTCAAAAAACTGAACTCAAAGAATGTTGGATTCTGGGGAACTTGAGACAGGTAGATGACTTAATCAATGTCGTAGTTTGAAATGAGCTGGAGCCACTCGTTGGGGATCTCACTTTGCCTCTATTACAAGTTTGATGAGTTTATTTAAAGAGACTAAATACTTTTCCAGGAAATCAATGATTATGGACCTAACCAACAATTTCATGACGATGCAAAGAATAACTATATTGCTATGGTGTCTTTTGAGTTTGTGTTTTCATTTCTTTTTATGGATAAATTATGGGATTGACCAACTCTCTAGCTTTTTGACTCCCAATGACATACTCAAGTGCTTCATATGATAAAGATGCAATAAGAAGACTCAAGAGTGCCTTGTTTGTGCGAATCCAGTCTTTATAGGCCGTAGTGACCTCAGAAGTAGTACCTTCTTCACCAACAATGGCGAATTTTGGAGGAGCAACAAATGAACCATCGAAGTGGCCGAACAGATCGTAGCCCTGGAGTACTGACTCCAGTTGATAACTCCACTTCAAGAAGTTGTCATTGTTAAGCCGAATGGTAAGCATGCCCAAAAGGCCATCAATTTTGAGAGAGGAAGCCATGAAAGCAGAATTAGGGTTTCACAAAACGAAAATTTGTTTTGGAGAAAATTGCAGAGAAATTGAGAGAACAGGATTTGAGATTGACAGAAGAAAGAAGCAGAGAAATAAGGAAGAATAGAATGCGGAAGCGAAAAGACCTCATAATCGAATCGAACCTAAGCTCGTGATACTATGATAATAGTAGAAGAATATGAAGAAAATGAAGAAGAAAGAAGAAGAAGAAGAAGAAGAATAAAGAAGAAGAAATCTGATGACTGTATATTGATTCTCGTTAACCATGATTACAATGTAATAGTACTTATATAGCAAACTAACAGACTCTATTAACAACTAACAAACTCTCTTAACAATCTAACACTCTCTTAACAACCAGACACGTGCCATATGGTTATATGGTTATCATATCCTTCTACCTACCTCAGCTGCAGAAGTCTCAGAGCAGATCTCATTGCTGATCATTGGACAAATTTTACTTAGAGCAGTTATGCGATCTTTAGAGAATAAAAATAGGCTACTAGCTAAAAGTAAACTAGTGGCAACTGTTTTACATCAGCTATACAGATCTCAAGTACTGCAGAGAGAGAAAAGATTGGTATAATTATGCATCAAGCTATACACGGAAAGTAATTTCAATTTTACATCAGCTCTTCTCATAACTCAGAATAGCCAAAATCTAGAAATTGCTTTCAAGTTTTCAACATAACTGCTGCCACATTGGCAGTTAGCGGGGTTTTGACTAAAATAAACCCGGTACACGCCCACCATTTTGATAAATTATTGACTTTTTCAACTTTCACATTCCAATTGACTAAAATCATAAATCTCAATTTAAAATTACCCAACAAAAATGGAAAAAAAAAGTCCAAGAATTTGTCCAAATTGCACTAGTGTCAGACCCTAAACACATTTAGTCCTTCACAATCTTTGAACTACAACTAAGAACAAAGTATGTAGAAGAAGGTAAAAACCAAGAAAATATGTCAAAATGGAGAGGGGAGAGAGAAAATTAGATTTGTTAGTTAGAACCAAGGTCTAAAATATCGATGGTTTCGGAAATATCGGTAGTCCAAAAACACGGAAATTTCAATGGACATATCGGGAAATTATCGATATCGATAGTATCGGTGAGACCAGTTTATACTGAAAATATAATATTAATAAATATACACATATTATAACATAGGTGAATTAGTAATACAACGTTATGGTGTTCCCGTCATCTAAAGACCTCAAAACAAGTTGCTTTCTTATCTCTTAAAGAAAAAAATCTTTATTTCGATCCATCCATACTCCTACGTCACCCGAGCTGCTCCAAGAAATTGGGTCTTCATGTTGTTTGGCCCCAGACTACTACATTGAGAAGTTTTTTCTTATTCTACAGTTAGGAATATTTTGTTAAAAAAAGTTATGATTCAATGAGAATTGAGAACCAATATGAAATATATTGACTTATTATTATTATTATCTATAGGTTTGTTAAAGGATTACATGAGTGCGTGTAGAATCAAATGATTGTCCAAAAAGTACAGAAACATTCATTATCTGGATTCTTGTTTTGTCATAATGGTATAAAAGTAATGCAGGAAACACCAAAACAAACCAAAAAGTTTTAGAACCCATCATTTCTAGACCCACGTGGTCTTAGGGAGATCCACTTTATATATACCAGTGTATACATAAGTGAAATTTTAACTGCCACAGGCACAACTGAGGAACTTGATTAAAACCAAGAAGAATAACTGTAATTCAATCAATCCCTTTTTTATTTTCTTTCTGTAGGAATGATTACTTAATCACTGTTGATTTTGTATACATAAGTACATGTTCGAGATGATGAACATCGTTTATAGGTATAATGTCATTTGCTGATCTGATAATGAGAATGCCTTGGCCACGAATGCTTCTCAAAGTTTAGGAACGATAATTTGTAGGAAACCATCCCTGCACCAGTAAAACCTATCAGAATTAGTTTCTTGTGCATAAAGTAAAAAAAAAGAAAAACATTAGAATAACTACTATATGAATTTACAATCAGTTGAAGACTCCATGATCTGCACGCTAAAATCATGCCGATATACAAGAAAGCTTCTCAAGGCCGTTGATTGGGAAAACATAAAATGCAACAAGACTGTATTGCAGATCCTCAAATGTATTGAACATTTGAAATCATATAAATCTGCACATTGTTTTATTGACTGGATGGAGGGGGGAGTTTTAGATGCATGAGTGGGGCAGTGTTTGATTGTCATATGTAATATCCGAATCTAATGGTCGTTTTGAGAGCCGTTAAAACGCCTGAGTATTTCAAACTCCATGGCTAGTGTATGAAGTACTAATCCCTTAAAGCCAGAAAAAACATACATGGCAATTCATATGAATGTGGTCACAACATGGAAATATAAGCATAATATTTCGACATTTGATATCTATCGACAGAAGACATACTGAAAGTAAGTTCTTAAAGGCTCCCCAAGGCAGAGAGTTCAATTAGAACTTTCCATATTGAACTACTGGTTGACATATCACTAGCATGTAAGAGGAGGTGCCTCTTGGAGTATGAAATATTGCTGATGCAATACAAAAGTCTACTTGTCTCGAACAGCATTTTATGATTTTTCTAGTAAGCCTAAACTTGTTGTTACAAATCTAATTTAATAGACCAGACTAAAGAAAAAGTTTTCCATTGAGGGATAACCAGTGCAGCGCATCGAGAAGCAAAAGCATAAAATAAAGAAGGAAATCAAGGAATACGGTTGAATGAAATTCTGACTTACAAAAAATCAGCAGAGACACTGTCCTTGTTCACATTAGGAGGAAGCGGCCACACAACCTCATAAGGCCCTTGTGAAATCTCTCTTTTATGGTATGTAGGAACAGAATCATTTGAACAACCTGCCACTTTCCAGAACCAGGTGGAGCGTTTACCTTTTACAGTCAACCTGCCACAAATTGGGCACTGAGATCAGGTACAATATTCAATTCAAACTTCTAGTGAAATTGTTCAAGGCATCTTACTTTTGATCATCGATCTCCACTCTAATATCTTTGATATTGACACCTGGAATTTCAACTGTTATAACATAGTTGCATTCTGATTCTGCAATATCCATTCTCGGGGACCACTCAATTCCTGCGCCAAAATCAAGAACAAAAAGTTCAAAAAGACTTCTCTAATTCTTGCTTCTTTTTAAGATATAACTCTCCCCCTCCCCTAAAATTCACACCAAAGATATTGCAAGACTGGTTCTTTACAAGCCGCGCCAAAAAAAAAAAAAAAAAAAAAAAAAAAAAAAAAAAAAAAAAAAAAAAAAAAAAAAAAAAAAAAAAAAAAAAAAAAAAAAAAAAAAAAAAAAAAAAAAAAAAAAAAAAAAAAAAAAAAAAAAAAAAAAAAAAAAAAAAAAAAAAAAAAAAAAAAAAAAAAAAAAAAAAAAAAAAAAAAAAAAAAAAAAAAAAAAAAAAAAAAAAAAAAAAAAAAAAAAAAAAAAAAAAAAAAAAAAAAAAAAAAAAAAAAAAAAAAAAAAAAAAAAAAAAAAAAAAAAAAAAAAAAAAAAAAAAAAAAAAAAAAAAAAAAAAAAAAAAAAAAAAAAAAAAAAAAAAAAAAAAAAAAAAAAAAAAAAAAAAAAAAAAAAAAAAAAAAAAAAAAAAAAAAAAAGAGCTTACAGCTTCAGGAACTGGCGAAAGACTCAAGAGATATGTATATGAGAAGTCCCCACTGGGCGTGCCAAATTGTTCACCCGTTTTGCGTTTACTCTATGATGGAAGGGCAAAGTTCCCCACTGCCTTGAGAACCATAAACGGTCAACAAGTCAGCTTTCTTTGGTGTGCGAGCGTGCCACTGCTAGTAAAAAATTCTAGCAGATTAGTTTGGAATGGATAAACTTGCGTCCCAAGTTACTGATTTCTGCAAACAAGCGATTGTGAATTTGGGTGAGGGAATATCTCCAAGTAAGTTCTTTCCTGCCTCAGATGGTGAGGACTTTAACAATTTATCTCAGTATAAAGAGGTTGTCTTGGTCAGAATGGTTGATGGGATTTAAATGTTTTTTAGGCGGAACTGCCTTTTACAAAATATAACAATGAATGCTTATGCTAGAGAGAGATGAAGAGACAGCTGGGACTTCGTTTCTGTCGAGATGGAAGGTTCTGATCTGGGCTTGGGATGCAGGGCTTGGAGGACCGTTGACAACTTTGACTGCTAGGCTTCAACTATAAATCGATACCAAAGGTTGATTCTGGCAGAGCTTCAATGTACCTCATGCTTTTGTGAAGCTTTTGAGTGGGCAGAACTGCAGTTTTCAGTCTGCACGGGCAGGAGTGACTGTTTTTTGAAAGCTTCAGTGGGCTAGAGACTGCACTGTGAATTTTGTTGAGGTTTTCCATATTTGGAGGAAGCTCAAGCTCTACCTGTCTTGGTTTTTTGCTGAACCAAATTTGTAACGAGAGAAATCTCGTTTTGAATGACTTGCTTCTTAAAGTCTGGACCTTGGGAATTCTGATTTGGAATCTGGTTTCACTTGAAATTCAAGTGGGCTTGTTGGTTGATTTTGAGCTGTCTATTTGACGGTTTCCTTGTGTAAGATCTTTGTTTGATTGGATGATGAATTTTTTGTTGTCCTCTACCCTGTTCACTCCTCCTTGTATTTATAGTAAAAAGATAATGGGCGGCAAATCTTTTTTAAAAGATATCTCCCCCCTTTTTTTCTCTTTTTAAATGGAAAGAAAGAAAGTAGGATTTTATCAGTTTGGCAGATAGGTTTTCAAATAGGCAATCACTTCCCTGTTTTTCTTGAAAAAGAACCTAATCTCTTTTCTCAATTTCAACTGCCCCTTGTGAGATTTCATCGTGATGGTTAGTTTGATTTCTTTTCTGGACAGCTCCTGCTTCTTATCTCTCTCTGAGTTGTAGCTTGCTTATCTCTTTGGGAGAATTACCCTATTTGTAAGATAGAAGAAAAATCTCTGATATATATATATATATGTAAGAGGGATTTTTGATCTTCAGATTTTTTCAGGGTTTTTTTCAGAACATCTTGATGACATAAACTTTTCAATCACTTCTTTCATGACAGTTGCCATTGTTGACTTTTCTTTATCCCAGAGATGTCACGTGGGATTGTTTCCTGTCTCTGGGCTTCCCCCTTTTTATCACAACGGGCCTGTGACGCCAGGCTTTGGGCCGTGCTTTTCTAGATTTGGGCTTCTAATTCCTGTTTCTCGAAAGACCAAATTGCTTTGATTTTTTGCAGCCTTATTCTGGGCCTCATTTTCGCTGGGCTGGGGGTGTCAATTTTTAGGCCCAAACAATAGCTTTATCCATTGGATTTCACTCAAAACCCACCAAATGACTCCTCCCACCATATTATGATGTTCCCCAAGTTTTGGACTCAATCCGATATCGATTGGTCCTTTAAATTGGACAATTCAGGTTCGTACGAAGTTGGTTCTTAAATGAAGTGGATGGTGTATTGCATTGCTTTAGCCGTTGGATTTCACTCAAAACCCACCAAACGACTCCTCCCACCATATTATGATGTTCCCCAAGTTTTGGACTCAATCCGATATCGATTGGTCCTTGAAATCGGACAATTCAGGTTCGTAGGAAGTTCGTTCTGAAATGGAGTGGTTGGTGTATTGCATAGCTTTAGCCATTGGATTTCACTCAAAACCCACCAAATGACTCGTCCCACCATATTATGTTGTTCCCCAAGTTTTGGACTCAATCCGATATCGATTGGTCCATGAAATCGGACTATTCAGGTTCGTAGGAAGTTCGTTCTAAAATGAAGTGGTTGGTGTATTGCAATAGCTTTAGCATTGGATTTCTACTCAAAACCAACCAAAATCACTCGTCCCACCATCTACTGTTTCCCCAAGTTTTGGACTCAACCGATATCGATTGGTACCATGAAATCGGACTATTCAGGTGTAGGAAAGTTCGTTCTAAAAGTGGAAGTGGTTGGTTTGTATTGCACTAGGTTTAGCCATTGGATTTCACTCAAAACCCACCAAATGACTCCTCCCACCATATTATGATGTTCCCCAAGTTTTGGACTCAATCCGATATCGATTGGTCCTTGAAATCGGACAATTCAGGTTCGTACGAAGTTCGTTCTGAAATGAAGTGGATGGTGTATTGCATAGCTTTAGCCATTGGATTTCACTCAAAACCCACCAAATGACTCCTCCCACCATATTATGATGTTCCCCAAGTTTTGGACTCAATCCGATATCGATTGGTCCTTGAAATCGGACAATTCAGGTTCGTACGAAGTTCGTTCTGAAATGAAGTGGATGGTGTATTGCATAGCTTTAGCCATTGGATTTCACTCAAAACCCACCAAATGACTCCTCCCACCATATTATGATGTTCCCCAAGTTTTGGACTCAATCCGATATCGATTGGTCCTTGAAATCGGACAATTCAGGTTCGTACGAAGTTCGTTCTGAAATGAAGTGGATGGTGTATTGCATAGCTTTAGCCATTGGATTTCACTCAAAACCCACCAAATGACTCCTCCCACCATATTATGATGTTCCCCAAGTTTTGGACTCAATCCGATATCGATTGGTCCTTGAAATCGGACAATTCAGGTTCGTACGAAGTTCGTTCTGAAATGAAGTGGATGGTGTATTGCATAGCTTTAGCCATTGGATTTCACTCAAAACCCACCAAATGACTCCTCCCACCATATTATGATGTTCCCCAAGTTTTGGACTCAATCCGATATCGATTGGTCCTGAAATCGGACAATTCAGGTTCGTACGAAGTTCGTTCTGAAATGAAGTGGATGGTGTATTGCATAGCTTTAGCCATTGGATTTCACTCAAAACCCACCAAATGACTCCTCCCACCATATTATGATGTTCCCCAAGTTTTGGACTCAATCCGATATCGATTGGTCCTTGAAATCGGACAATTCAGGTTCGTACGAAGTTCGTTCTGAATGGAGTGGATGGTGTATTGCATAGCTTTAGCCATTGGATTTCACTCAAAACCCACCAAATGACTCCTCCCACCATATTATGATGTTCCCCAAGTTTTGGACTCAATCCGATATCGATTGGTCCTTGAAATCGGACAATTCAGTTCGTACGAAGTTCGTTCTGAAATGAAGTGGATGGTGTATTGCATAGCTTTAGCCATTGGATTTCACTCAAAACCCACCAAATGACTCCTCCCACCATATTATGATGTTCCCCAAGTTTTGGACTCAATCCGATATCGATTGGTCCTTGAAATCGGACAATTCAGGTTCGTACGAAGTTCGTTCTGAAATGAAGTGGATGGTGTATTGCATAGCTTTAGCCATTGGATTTCACTCAAAACCCACCAAATGACTCCTCCCACCATATTATGATGTTCCCCAAGTTTTGGACTCAATCCGATATCGATTGGTCCTTGAAATCGGACAATTCAGGTTCGTACGAAGTTCGTTCTGAAATGAAGTGGATGGTGTATTGCATAGCTTTAGCCATTGGATTTCACTCAAAACCCACCAAATGACTCCTCCCACCATATTATGATGTTCCCCAAGTTTTGGACTCAATCCGATATCGATTGGTCCTTGAAATCGGACAATTCAGGTTCGTACGAAGTTCGTTCTGAAATGAAGTGGATGGTGTATTGCATAGCTTTAGCCATTGGATTTCACTCAAAACCCACCAAATGACTCCTCCCACCATATTATGATGTTCCCCAAGTTTTGGACTCAATCCGATATCGATTGGTCCTTGAAATCGGACAATTCAGGTTCGTACGAAGTTCGTTCTGAAATGAAGTGGATGGTGTATTGCATAGCTTTAGCCATTGGATTTCACTCAAAACCCACCAAATGACTCCTCCCACCATATTATGATGTTCCCCAAGTTTTGGACTCAATCCGATATCGATTGGTCCTTGAAATCGGACAATTCAGGTTCGTACGAAGTTCGTTCTGAAATGAAGTGGATGGTGTATTGCATAGCTTTAGCATTGGATTTCACTCAAAACCCACCAAATGACTCCTCCCACCATATTATGATGTTCCCCAAGTTTTGGACTCAATCCGATATCGATTGGTCCTTGAAATCGGACAATTCAGGTTCGTACGAAGTTCGTTCTGAAATGAGTGGATGGTGTATTGCATAGCTTTAGCCATTGGATTTCACTCAAAACCCACCAAATGACTCCTCCCACCATATTATGATGTTCCCCAAGTTTTGGACTCAATCCGATATCGATTGGTCCTTGAAATCGGACAATTCAGGTTCGTACGAAGTTCGTTCTGAAATGAGTGGTGGTGTATTGCATAGCTTTAGCCATTGGATTTCACTCAAAACCCACCAAATGACTCCTCCCACCATATTATGATGTTCCCCAAGTTTTGGACTCAATCCGATATCGATTGGTCCTGAAATCGGACAATTCAGGTTCGTACGAAGTTCGTTCTGAAATGAAGTGGATGGTGTATTGCATAGCTTTAGCCATTGGATTTCACTCAAAACCCACCAAATGACTCCTCCCACCATATTATGATGTTCCCCAAGTTTTGGACTCAATCCGATATCGATTGGTCCTTGAAATCGGACAATTCAGGTTCGTACGAAGTTCGTTATGAAAGAAGTGGATGGTGTATTGCATAGTTTTAGCCATTGGATTTCACTCAAAACCCACCAAATGACTCCTCCCACCATATTATGTTGTTCCCCAAGTTTTGGACTCAATCCGATATCGATTGGTCCATGAAATCGGACTATTCAGGTTCGTAGGAAGTTCGTTCTGAAATGGAGTGGTTGGTGTATTGCATAGTTTTAGCCATTGGATTTCACTCAAAACCAACCAAATGACTCCTCCCACCATATTATGTTGTTCCCCAAGTTTTGGACTCAATCCGATATCGATTGGTCCATGAAATCGGACTATTCAGGTTCGTAGGAAGTTCGTTCTGAAATGAAGTGGTTGGTGTATTGCATAGTTTTAGCCATTGGATTTCACTCAAAACCAACCAAATGACTCCTCCCACCATATTATGTTGTTCCCCAAGTTTTGGACTCAATCCGATATCGATTGGTCCATGAAATCGGACTATTCAGGTTCGTAGAAGTTCGTTCTAAAATGAAGTGGTTGGTGTATTGCATAGTTTAAGCCATTGGATTTCACTCAAAACCCACCAAATGACTCCTCCCACCATATTGTGGTGTTCCCCAAGTTTTGGACTCAATCCGATATCGATTGGTCCATGAAATCGGACTATTCAGGTTCGTAGAAGTTCGTTCTGAAATGGAGTGGTGGTGTATTGCATAGTTTTAGCATTGGATTTCACTCAAAACCAACCAAATGACTCCTCCCACCATATTATGGTGTTCCCCAAGTTTTGGACTCAATCCGATATCGATTGGTCCATGAAATTGGACAATTCAGGTTCGTACGAAGTTTGTTCTGAAATGAAGTGGTTGGTGTATTGCATAGTTTTAACCATTGGATTTCACTCAAAACCCACCAAATGACTCCTCCCCCCATATTGTGTGTTCCCCAAGTTTTGGACTCAATCCGATATCGATTGGTCCTTGAAATCGGACAATTCAGGTTCGTACGAAGTTCGTTCTAAAATGAAGTGGTTGGTGTATTGCATAGTTTAAGCCATTGGATTTCACTCAAAACCCACCAAATGACTCCTCCCACCATATTATGATGTTCCCCAAGTTTTGGACTCAATCCGATATCGATTTGTCCTCGAAATCGGACAATTCAGGTTCGTACGAAGTTCGTTCTGAAATGAAGTGGATGGTGTATTGCATAGCTTTAGCCATTGGATTTCACTCAAAACCCACCAAATGACTCCTCCCACCATATTATGTAGTTCCCCAAGTTTTGGGCTCAATCCGATATCGATTGGTCCTTGAAATCGGACAATTCAGGTTCGTACGAAGTTCGTTCTGAAATGAAGTGGATGGTGTATTGCATAGCTTTAACCATTGGATTTCACTCAAAACCCACCAAATGACTCCTCCCCCATATTGTGGTGTTCCCCAAGTTTTGGACTCCATCCGATATAGATTTGCCCTTGAAATCGGACAATTCAGGTTCGTACGAAGTTCGTTCTGAAACGAAGTGGATGGTGTATTGCATAGCTTTAGCCATTGGATTTCACTCAAACCCACCAAATGACTCCTCCCACCATATTATGATGTTCCCCAATTTTGGACTCAATCCGATATCGATTGGTCCTTGAAATCGGACAATTCAGGTTCGTACGAAGTTCGTTCTGAAATGTAGAGGATGGTGTATTGCATTGATTTAGCCGCTGGATTTCACTCAAAACCCACCAAATGACTCCTCCCACCATATTGTGATGTTCCCCAAGTTTTGGACTCAATCCGATATCGATTGGTCCTTGAAATCGGAAAATTCAGGTTCGTACGAAGTTCGTTCTGAAATGAAGTGGATGGTGTATTGCATAGTTTTAGCCATTGGATTTCACTCAAAACCCACCAAATGACTCCTCCCACCATATTATGTTGTTCCCCAAGTTTTGGACTCAATCCGATATCGATTGGTCCATGAAATCGGACAATTCAGGTTCGTACGAAGTTCGTTCTGAAATGAAGTGGTTGGTGTATTGCATAGTTTTAGCCATTGGATTTCACTCAAAACCCACCAAATGACTCCTCCCACCATATTGTGGTGTTCCCCAAGTTTTGGACTCAATCCGATATCGATTGGTCCATGAAATCGGACTATTCAGGTTCGTAGGAAGTTCGTTCTGAAATGGAGTGGTTGGTGTATTGCATAGTTTTAGCCATTGGATTTCACTCAAAACCAACCAAATGACTCCTCCCACCATATTATGGTGTTCCCCAAGTTTTGGACTCAATCCGATATCGATTGGTCCATGAAATCGGACAATTCAGGTTCGTACGAAGTTCGTTCTAAATGAAGTGGTTGGTGTATTGCATAGTTTTAGCCATTGGATTTCACTCAAAACCCACCAAATGACTCCTCCCCACCATATTGTGGTGTTCCCCAAGTTTTGGACTCAATCCGATATCGATTGGTCCTTGAAATCGGACAATTCAGGTTCGTACGAAGTTTGTTCTGAAAATGAAGTGGATGGTGTATTGCATAGTTTTAACCATTGGATTTCACTCAAACCCCACCAAATGACTCCTCCCACCATATTATGGTGTTCCCCAAGTTTTGGACCCAATCCGATATCGATTGGTCCATGAAATCGGACAATTCAGGTTCGTAGAAGTTCGTTCTGAAATGGAGTGGTGGTGTATTGCATAGTTTTTAGCGATTGGATTTCACTCAAAACCCACCAAATGACTCCTCCCACCATATTATGGTGTTCCCCAAGTTTTGGACTCAATCCGATATCGATTGGTCCTTGAAATCGGACAATTCAGGTTCGTACGAAGTTCGTTCTGAAATGGAGTGGTTGGTGTATTGCATAGTTTTAGCCATTGGATTTCACTCAAAACCCACCAAATGACTCCTCCCACCATATTATGATGTTTCCCAAGTTTTGGACTCAATCCGATATCGATTGGTCCTTGAAATCGGACAATTCAGGTTCGTATGGAAGTTCGTTCTGAAATGGAGTGGTTGGTGTATTGCATAGTTTAGCATTGGATTTCACTCAAAACCCACCAAATGATTCCTCCCACCATATTATGGTGTTCCCCAAGTTTTGGACTCAATCCGATATCGATTGGTCCTTGAAATCGGACAATTCAGGTTTCGTACGAAGTTCGTTCTGAAATGGAGTGGTTGGTGTATTGCATAGTTTTATCCATTGGATTTCACTCAAAACCCACCAAATGACTCCTCCCACCCATATTATATGTTCCCCAAGTTTTGGACTCAATCCGATATCGATTGGTCCTTGAAATCGGACAATTCAGGTTCGTACGAAGTTCGTTCTGAAATGGAGTGGTTGGTGTATTGCATAGTTTTAACCATTGGATTTCACTCAAAACCCACCAAATGACTCCTCCCACCATATTATGGTGTTCCCCAAGTTTTGGACTCAATCCGATATCGATTGGTCCTTGAAATCGGACAATTCAGGTTCGTACGAAGTTCGTTCTGAAATGGAGTGGTTGGTGTATTGCATAGTTTTAGCCATTGGATTTCACTCAAAACCCACCAAATGACTCCTCCCACCATATTATGATGTTCCCCAAGTTTTGGACTCAATCCGATATCGATTGGTCCTTGAAATCGGACAATTCAGGTTCGTACGAAGTTCGTTCTAAAATGAAGTGGTTGGGTGTATTGCATAGTTTTAACCATTGGATTTCACTCAAACCCCACCAAATGACTCCTCCCACCATATTATGGTGTTCCCCAAGTTTTGGACCCAATCCGATATCGATTGGTCCTTGAAATCGGACAAATTCAGTTTCGTACGAAGTTTCGTTCTGAAATGGAGTGGTTGGTGTATTGCATAGTTTTAGCCAATGGATTTCACTCAAAACACACCAAATGACTCCTCCCACCATATTATGATGTTCCCCAAGTTTTGGACTCAATCCGATATCGATTGGTCCTTGAAATCGGACAATTCAGGTTCGTGCGAAGTTCGTTCTGAAATGGAGTGGTTGGTGTATTGCATAGTTTTAGCATTGGATTTCACTCAAAACCCACCAAATGAATCCTCCCACCATATTATGATGTTCCCCAAGTTTTGGACTCAATCCGATATCGATTGGTCCTTGAAATCGGACAATTCAGGTTCGTAGGAAGTTCGTTCTCAAAATGGAGTGGTTGGTGTATTGCATAGTTTTAGCATTGGATTTCACTCAAAACCCACCAAATGACTCCTCCCACCATATTATGATGTTCCCCAAGTTTTGGACTCAATCCGATATCGATTGGTCCTTGAAATCGGACTATTCAGGTTCGTACGAAGTTCGTTCTAAAATGGAGTGGTTGGTGTATTGCATAGTTTTAGCCATTGGATTTCACTCAAACCCACCAAATGACTCCTCCCACCATATTATGATGTTCCCCAGTTTGGACTCAATCCGATATCGATTGGTCCTTGAAATCGGACAATTCAGGTTCGTACGAAGTTCGTTCTGAAATGGAGTGGTTGGTGTATTGCATAGTTTTAGCCATTGGATTTTCACTCAAAACCCACCAAATGACTCCTCCCACCATATTATGATGTTCCCCAAGTTTTGGACTCAATCCGATATCGATTGGTCCTTGAAATCGGACATTCAGGTCCTACGAAGTTCGTTCTGAAATGGAGTGGTTGGTGTATTGCATAGTTTTAGCCATTGGATTTCACTCAAAACCCACCAAATGACTCTCCCCCCATATTATGGTGTTCCCCAAGTTTTGGACTCAATCCGATATCGATTGGTCCTTGAAATCGGACAATTCAGGTTCGTACGAAGTTCGTTCTGAAATGAAGTGGTTGGTGTATTGCATAGTTTTAGCCATTGGATTTCACTCAAAACCCACCAAATGACTCCTCCCACCATATTATGATGTTCCCCAAGTTTTGGACTCAATCCGATATCGATTGGCCCTTGAAATCGGACAATTCAGGTTCGTACGAAGTTCGTTCTGAAATGAAGTGGTTGGTGTATTGCATAGTTTTAGCCATTGGATTTCACTCAAAACCCACCAAATGACTCCTCCCACCATATTATGATGTTCCCCAAGTTTTGGACTCAATCCGATATCGATTGGTCCTTGAAATCGGACAATTCAGGTTCGTACGAAGTTCGTTCTGAAATGAAGTGGTTGGTGTATTGCATAGTTTTAGCCATTGTATTTCACTCAAAACCCACCAAATGACTCCTCCCACCATATTATGTTGTTCCCCAAGTTTTGGACTCAATCCAATATCGATTGGTCCCTGAAATCGGACAATTCATGTTCGTACGAAGTTCGTTATGAAATGAAGTGGATGGTGTATTGCATAGCTTTAGCCATTGGATTTCACTCAAAACCCACCAAATGACTCCTCCCACCATATTATGTGTTCCCCAAGTTTTGGACTCAATCCGATATCGATTGGTCCTTGAAATCGGACAATTCAGGTTCGTACGAAGTTCGTTCTGAAATGAAGTGGATGGTGTATTGCATAGCTTTAACCATTGGATTTCACTCAAAACCCACCAAATGACTCCTCCTCCCATATTATGGTGTTCCCCAAGTTTTGGACTCAATCCGATATCGATTGGTCCTTGAAATCGGACAATTCAGGTTCGAGGAAGTTCGTTCTGAAATGGAGTGGTTGGTGTATTGCACAGGTCTGGGGATTGGATTTCACTCAAAACCCACCAAATGACTCCTCCCACCATATTATGATGTTCCCCAAGTTTTGGACTCAATCCGATATCGATTGGTCCTTGAAATCGGACAATTCAGGTTCGTACGAAGTTCGTTCTGAAATGAAGTGGATGGTGTATTGCATAGCTTTAGCCATTGGATTTCACTCAAAACCCACCAAATGACTCCTCCCACCATATTATGATGTTCCCAAGTTTTGGACTCAATCCGATATCGATTGGTCCTTGAAATCGGACAATTCAGGTTCGTACGAAGTTCGTTCTGAAATGGAGTGGTTGGTGTATTGCATAGTTCTAGGGATTGGATTTCACTCAAAACCCACCAAATGACTCCTCCCACCATATTATGATGTTCCCCAAGTTTTGGACTCAATCCGATATCGATTGGTCCTTGAAATCGGACAATTCAGGTTCGTACGAAGTTCGTTCTGAAATGAAGTGGATGGTGTATTGCATAGCTTTAGCCTTTGGATTTCACTCAAAACCCACCAAATGACTCCTCCCACCATATTACGTTGTTCCCCAAGTTTTGGGCTCAATCCGATATCGATTGGTCCTTGATATCGGACAATTCAAGTTCGATGGAAGTTCGTTCTCAAATGGAGTGGTTTGTGTATTCACTACTACAAAAAGTGAAAAAGACGACCACAAAAACACGACGGTCTACGTGAAAACCGTCGTTGTTTTTAAAAGACGACGGTTTTATAAAACCGCCGTGTAATAACACATTAGACAACTAAAAAATGGAGTTTCAAATGGCTGTTCCAAAAACACGACGTACTTAATTAAAAAACCGACGTCTTATTGAAATAGGATTTTCAAGAGGTAAAATCATAGCCAACAAATAACGGCGGAAGTTATGAACCGACCGACGTAGAAAGTAAAGACGACGGTTTCAAAAAAGCCGTCGTTTTTACCCAGAAATTAACACGACCAAGTTTTCGTATAAGGCGACGTAAATTACAAATAAATCCACGGCGGTAAAATACAAAATACCGCCGTATTAAATTAATGTACAACTACGGCAAAGGTAAATATAACGACGTCTTTCTCGTATTTCTACGACGACATCTTTCAATCTTACCAAGTTGGGGTTTTCATATAACGACGTATTATAGAATTTAACGTCGTATTTGTCCACTTTATACGTCATAAATTATATTTAAACCGTCGTCTGAATAAGAATTTTTTTAAACAATTTATTTCTTCGATTTTGTTATCCTACGTCGGTAGATCTACCTAACGACAAGAATTGAAATAACCACGACGGTTTATATAGAAAACCGCCGACATAATCAGATTATTCTGAGATCACAAGGGTTAGGAAATCTTACAAGATGGAACTCTGTTGCTCATCATAATCTTACCAGAAAGACAATATTTTAGAGGTTAATGATGTATGTGTATTTGTGTCTTTGAGATACACAAACGCACATACACATTAACATCCAAAAAATTGCTTCTGAAATTTGACGACGGCAGCCTCAGATTTGCAATCAGAGAGACAATTTTTTGGAAGTTGATGATATGTGTGCGTTTGTGTATCTACACAAACGCACGCACACATCAACATCCAAACAATTGCCTCCTAAAATTTCACGACGGCAGCCACAGATTTGCAATCAGAGAGACAATTTTTTGGAAGTGAATGATGTGTGTGCGTTTGTGTATCTACACAAACGCACACACACATTCACATCCAAACAATTGCCTCCTAAAACTTCACGACGGCAGCCACAGATTTGCAATCAGAGAGACAATTTTTGGAAATGAATGTGGTGCGTTTGTATCTACACAAACGCACACACACATTCACATCAAACAATTGCTCCTAAAACTTCCCAAGAGATGAGGTGAGACAGAGAAAGGGGCAAGAAGAAGTTGAAACCCTAATCGAATACTAAAACTGAAAGAACCCGTGGAAAAAAACCCTATTTATAATTAAAAAACCAAATCCACGTCGGTTATATTACACATAACGACGTTTAACAAAAAACAATTCTCGTCGGTAACAAATATATTACGTCGTTTTATTCTTACTTAAAACGACAAGAAACGACGACGGTATAACAAAAACAGTCGTTGTTTTATATTTTTATTTGATTTAAATCAGTCACCTAGAAAAGAAACTTTACAAATTCTAGAACATTAATTTCCTCGGGAAAAAAACTATATCTATAAGGCACTGTTTTTGAAAAATACACTATAAGAAAAAGGGGAAAAAATTATATTTATAATAAAAAAATAAAATCCACGTCGGTTATATTACACATAACGACGTTTAAAAACGAATCCACGTCGTCGAAAAATAATACGTCGTTTTAGTTTAGTGTTATCCACGTCGGTATATTACAATAAACGACGTATATTATAAAAATAAACGTCGTAACTTTAAAACAACCGTCGTGTTAAATATTTCTACCATGACGCGAGATATTGAGTTATCGACTTTTATTTAGGAGTTTACTACGGCGGTACCTACAACACTACTGTCGTATTTATGTACCACGTCATAAGTTCAAATTAACGTCGTAGTTTGTCTATTAATACGTCGTCGTTCTATGTAAACCGCCGTCTTATTACTATGAAACGGTTTGTATACATATACAACTTTTCGTCTACCTGACTTACACATGCACTGTTTCCAAACCCGAGAAAACATTTCAATCTCCCAGAGAAAACTTTTCGTCTTTTTTCCTTGTCAGAGCACTGTCAGAGTATCTCATCGTCTTCCTCTTGTCTTCGTCGTCGCCTCTGAACTTAAACACCAAAATCCGAGAGAAAGCTTTCATTGCACGCAAAAGGTAAGCTTTCATTTCTCACTATTTTTGTTGCTATTTTGCATGCTCATACTGTTTTTGTTTTGAAAATCTTTTTACCTTTTTTCTGGCGAAAATCATTTTTTTCTTTCCAAGTTTGATAAAATACACAGACAGAGAGGGAAAGTTTCAACTTTGAACACAACTAATTCAACTAAATAAGACGACGGTAGCTTTTTATTTACGTGGTTAAATATGTAGACCACGACGGTTCGTCAGTCGTCCTAGCGTCGTCTTAAAATTGATCTAAGTTGTTTTTAAAATGACAGTCAATTTTTTATTTGCTTGTTTAGTTGCAGGTTTGATTTCTCTGAACCATGGTTTTCGTTTTTCCTAATATGATAAATACAGAGACAAAGAAAGTAGGGTTTGGTATCTTATATAGACGACGGTATCTTATTATTGACGCCGTGTGAATGTTCATACCACGACGTTATACTAAGATACCGTCGTCTATAAAAAGATGCAAAGCTTTTTTTCTTTGTATTTTATCAAATTAGGAAAAACAAAAACCATGTTTCAGAGAAATGAACCTGCAATCAAACATTCACAAAGAAAGAAAAATGTTTTTGGTTTCTTATAAATACGACGGTAGCTTATTATTCACGTCGTGTGAATATACATAACACGACGTTATATTAATATTTACGCCGTGTTAATATGAATATCACGACGTCGTGTAAATATCGACGTAATAAGTTCTTATTACGTCTTATTTAATATTTTTCGTCGTTGTTTAAACATTTATATTGTTCTTCTTTAATCATTTATTACGTCTGATGTTATGTTATTACGTCGTGTAAAATCTTATCATACGTCGTAGTTTATAAATAACCGTCGTTTGTGTTCTAATTTTTTTCACGAAATATTTTCACTTGCAGGTTTGTTTATTCTGTAACCATGGTTTCTCAAGACCAAAGTAAGTACTCTGGCTCCAAAAAAAATGGAGGTAAGGAGCTTGGAATGGTAACTCCTCAAGACAAGCCCTTGAAGAAGATGAAGTTTGTTTCATCTGCTGAGAAAGAACCAAGCAGCACGACAACAATTTCTGAGGATTCAAAGTCAGGTCGAGGTATGAGCACAATGCCTCGTGTTGTGAAGAGAAAATTGCAGAAAATCAAGCCAGTTGTTGAGTACAATAAAAGGGGGAAAGGATGTGGCCCTGCACATACTGAGATGCAGTCCTACATTGGTGTGTTGGCACGCTCCAGAGTCCCACTTGTGGACAAGAAATGGGCTGACATCCCCAATGATATAAAGGAGCAGATTTGGGAAGCCGTTGACATGGCTTTTGTGGTAGGTCAAGGGGGCAAGACCTCGGTGTTATCTTCTGCTGCCAAGAAATGGAAGGATTTCAAGTCTACACTGACGAGGCATTATATCCTTCCATACATCAATGAGAGGGAGAAATTAAGCCAACCCCCTGCAGTATATAAATTCATAGAGAAAGCAGAATGGGATGCCTTTGTAGCTTCAAGGTTATCCAAAGACTTTGAGTCTGTGCATTCTCAACATGCACAGATTAGGGAGAAACTTGAGTACAATCATCGATTGTCTCGAAAAGGATATGCTGGTTTGGAGGATCAATTGGAGGAAACCATGCCTGGGGTAGAAATTGATCGATCTACCTTATGGAAGAAAGCTAGACAGGACAAACATGGTAACATCCCGGATCCAAAGGTGGCAGAGAAAGCAAAATTAATTGTAAGCCTACACACTCTGTTTTAAATTTTTATTAACTGTGTAGAATTCTTATTACGTCTTATATTATATTTTTCCGTCGTGTGAATGATTTTACTACGTCGAAATATTTTAAAAAACGTCGTGAAAGATCTAAATCTGGAATCACAACTCTGTTTTCTGTAATTATAGCATAAGACGTCGGTGGTTAATGTTTTTCCGTCGTGTTAATGTTATTACTACGTCGAAATGTTTTCAAAAACGTCGTGAAAGATCTAAATCTGAAATCACAACTCTGTTTTCTGTAATTACAGCATAAGACGTCGGTGGTTTATTTATTGCGTCGTTTTAAACAACTAACCACGTCGGTTTTAATTAACGTCGTTATAAATATATTATAACGTCGATTTCTATATTGGTCCGTCGTGTGAAATTATATAATGCGTCGTTTGTTTATAAATAACCGTCGTGTATTTTCTTGTGCTGACTTTTTTTTTGTCTTTGTTTTAGGATGACTTGCAAAAACAAGTGGCTGAAGGCAGTCTGAGTATAACTGGCAGTAATGATGTGTTGACCTTGGCTTTGGGTCCCGAGCATCCAGGGAGAGTAAGAGGGGTAGGTGCTGGGATTTCCCCTAGGCAATTCTTCAATTTACCTAGACCACAAAGGGTGAAGTTTGCTGATCAATTGAAGGAAAGTGTAAGAATTGTCCTTCAAGAAGAGACTAAGAAGATGGAAGCTAGAACCAAACAATTAGTAGAGGCTGAGAGGGAACATTTACTAAGTCAGCTTTCCCACCTCATCCCCAATTTTGATCCAAGCATGCTTAAACCGAAAACTAGTCAAAACCATGCAAATCCCAATGTCTGATAAAGCAAGCTGTTCTGGGGCTGAAGTGAGATCCCTACATTTAGAGGATGATACTGCCAGAAATGGGGAACAGCAGGAACAAACGGTAACATAACTGAACTTTGAATTCCCTGTTTTTTTTTAAACATTAGACGTCGTTATTATGAATAAACCCGTCGTTTTAAAACCATACCACGACGATTTTATAAATAACCCGTCGTGTTTATTTAAATACCACGTCGTATTTAGTTTACTTGTTTTACACGCCATTAGACGTCGTACTTTGTGGCTTTTAGACGACGGTTTTTGTCCTCAACGACGTGATATAAAATTACCACGACGTTTATTATTTACCATCGTTTAATAATTTTAAGACGTCCATAATTCTTACATACCGTCTTATGTTATGCCTTACCACGACGTTTTGGTTTAATTTTTTTACTCTCTGTACAATCTGTCTTATATATATATTTCTTTATTATTTAAAACAGAAATCTGGGGCTTTAGATAATCAAGATGAAGAGAAGAAAGAAGAAAATAAAGATGAACAGAAGATGGGAGAAAACAATTGATGAAGGGAAGAAGGAAGAAGAAAAAGAGAATAAAGATGAAGGCAAAGAGGAAGACACAAATGTTGAAGAGAAGAAAGAAGAAAAACAAGATGAAGAAAAGCATGACGAGGAGGTATATTCTCATAACTTTGCCTTTTTAATTTGTTTTTCACATTTCAGACGTCAATATTTTTCTTTAAACCGTCGTTTGTTTTAACATTAGACGTCGGAATTTATTTTCTACGACGTAATAAATAATCTAAAACGACGGTATTTAATTACCGTCGTTTAAATTATAATCAGACGACGTTGTTTAATTTAAGCCGTCGTTTTTAATGAATTACCACAACAATTTATTTTGCTTTATTTCTTTAAACAGGGTGATGAAGTACTCGATTATTCAAATGTGGAGGTGCCATCTTCCTTACAATCCCTTTGTGGTTATGTGGAAACTACACTAAAGCCACAGGGGAAGATCATGACCTTCAACATTGAGAAGGAGGTGTTTGGTGCAGATCGAAGTACCTTCGTCTTGCATGAAGATATTACACAGTTTGCAGGCATGGAAGAAATTGGGGCTACTGTGGTTGCAGTATATATGAGGTTTGTCCTAATCAAATATCAAACATTATATCATAAGACGTCGGTTGTTTAATTATTGCGTCGTTTTAAATCACTAACCACGTCGTTCTTTTTTACCGTCGTGATAAATTAGTTATCACGTCTGTTTCTATTTCAGTTCGTCGTGTGAAATTATATAATACGTCGTTTGTGTATAAATAACCGTCGTTTGTTTTATATATTTAGGTGCTTATATGATCTTTTGAGAGAAGCAAATATGTGCAGCATGGTTGGCTTTATCGACCCTGCTCAAGTTAGTGCCAACGCTGGGTCACTAACTGACAGATCACGAATTGTAGCCAGTCGACTTCAGAAAACAGATGGTGAACAGATTTTCATGATGCCTTACAATCCAGGGTTAGTCTCCTTAAAAGGATTTTGTTTGTATGATTTTCACTTATAAAACTGTTTAACTAATTCTGTGTCGTTTGAAACATCTAACCACGTCGGTTATTTATTTATACATCGTTTGAAACAACTAACCACGTCGGTAGTTAATTCTCGTCGTGATAAATTTATAATCACGTCGATGATTAAGTTCTTACGTCGTGTGAAACTATATAATACGTCGGTTTTTATAAATAACCGTCGTTTTTTATTTTATTTTTGTGCAGCCGTCATTGGGTCTTGCTGATTGTGAGGGCAAAGAGGGAAACCGTCTATTTTCTGGATCCTCTGCCTGGAAATCGTGTGGTTGATGAGGAGGGCAAAAACATCGTGAACAGTGCTTTAAAAATTTATAATTCCCACATAGGCAGACCAGGCCGTAAAGCACCAATTTGGAAAACTCTGCCAGGCACACCAAAGCAACCCAGCAGTGTCGAATGCGGGTATTATGTCATGCGCTTCATGAGGGACATCATCATGGATCCTTCCTTGGAGTTTGAGAAGAAGGTAAGAAAAAATTTTCAGAAACATTTTATTTGGTTTTTTGTATTATCAACGACGGTCATTTAAAATTACCGTCGTTGAATCGATAGACTACGTCGGTTATAAAAAAAACGTCGTCTGTGACTGAATTTCTTTTTATTTTGTAAAGCTTAATAATCGTTGTTTATGGATTGCAGTTTGCCAAGGGAAAAGATCAAGCGCCATACCCCCAAGCAGCCATTGATGAAGTCAGGAAAGAATGGGCAGAGTTTGTTTGCCTTCATATGGATTAGAGGATTTTTGGAACACTTGATATTTTTATATGTACTAATTTTGTCTATAATATATAATGTACAAATTTTGTCTATAATATACATCCTTTTTTTCCCTGAAAATTTGCAGAGGTTTTCATATTATAAAAGAAAAAACAATTTGCTGAGGTTTTCATATTATAAAAGAAAAAACAATTTGCTGAGGTTTTCATATTTTACACATATATAATTTATGGTTTTAAAGTTTAGGGTATTACTTTTAACGACGGTGATTGAGTCGTGGAATATTGAGTTTACGTCGGGTTGTAAAAAAAAAAAAAAAAAAAAAAAAAAAAAAAAAAAAAAAAAAAAAAAAAAAAAAAAAAAAAAAAAAAAAAAAAAAAAAAAAAAAAAAAAAAAAAAAAAAAAAAAAAAAAAAAAAAAAAAAAAAAAAAAAAAAAAAAAAAAAAAAAAAAAAAAAAAAAAAAAAAAAAAAAAAAAAAAAAAAAAAAAAAAAAAAAAAAAAAAAAAAAAAAAAAAAAAAAAAAAAAAAAAAAAAAAAAAAAAAAAAAAAAAAAAAAAAAAAAAAAAAAAAAAAAAAAAAAAAAAAAAAAAAAAAAAAAAAAAAAAAAAAAAAAAAAAAAAAAAAAAAAAAAAAAAAAAAAAAAAAAAAAAAAAAAAAAAAAAAAAAAAAAAAAAAAAAAAAAAAAAAAAAACAGCATGGTTCTTCAAATTTGACTATCTTCTTTAGTTGTTTGCACTGTTTTGGAAACGCGGTACCCCGTCTTAGAGTAATTCGCTTCCCTCGACCCTGTAGCCACCTCCCGGCAATAAAGAAAAAAATCCCCATAGTCCTAAGGCCATTGATAATTTTTATTTCTTGTCTCTGGGCCTTCAAGAATGGCAAAAATCCTCCGGGTAATTTTGATGTCAAGCACTCCTCGTGGGTAGTTTCGAATCCTGTATAAATTCCTCTCTTGTATTTACTTTTACACTCAATCAAACATACAAAGTTTAGTACATATATTTCTCAGAACATGCTCTTCCCCTTGTCCCTCAAGTTCAAATCTCCTTTCCCGTAGATAAAATTAATTTAAGTTTTTTAGATTTATCTTTATATCAAAATAACCAAAACAAATTCCACACATACAAAACAAGAATAAGAAGGCAAACTCAAACAAAGATGTTCTTTAAATAGATTGGTTGGTAATGGATTGTCCAGTGGTGGATAGATATGCTCAAAAAAAAAGTTTGGGTTGCGATGAGGACACCCACAATCCTCATGACTCTTTGCTCTGATTTGTAGCTATAATTAACCAGAAATGTGTAATTGAAAGACAAAAAGGAAAAACAAAAAAGGTGTGGTTGTGTGTGGAGAAGAAGTATAAAGGAGTAAGACGGAAGACAATTTCGCCTCCACTGCTCTCTCTACAGTGGCAAAGTTGAATGAAAGGCCATGGCGGGTCAACGCTGGTGCTTTAAGTATGTGCACAGTTCTCCCCCTTAATAATAAATACCAATATTTTGTCTCCCATTTGTTCCCTTTGTTGTCTTACACCATTTCAAATTCCAAGTCCCGGTCTTTGGGACTCTGTCCACCCAACACAAGAGACACCTTTTGCATATATATTCAAAAATGAAACAAATCCCACGCATCGACTCAATATATTTCAAACGCGATGCTTTAGACTGCTAGAAAATTCAAAGAAGTGACCTTTCCCCACATCTCTCTCCGTCTTCTCTCTTGCTTTCTCTCCAAGTTGCGCGTCTAGATTGGGGTTAGAAAGTCAAAACTTCTGCACAAACAGAGCCAAAAGTTCCTTCGTCCTTCTCACAATCTCTAGCTGCTTTCCTGTGTTTGCATAATTCAATCATATAATTCACAACCCACTTGCTGGATTGGGCTAAATCTTTCATTTCTTTGTTCTTTGATTTTTGGTTTCATTTGAGGCAATCCCAGTTTTGGGTTTGCAGAGGAGAAGCTCTCTTTGATTGGCTTGGAGTTTTGTTGGGTTTTAAATTCCCCCAAAAGCAGATTTGGATGGCAGTTTTGTTTTAAATGAACTTGAGAGATTTCAAACTACATACTCATATTGATAAATTGTGAAAAAGAAAATCCAGCTTTCAGATTCTTTGGAGTTGATGCTCTCAGGGTCTTCTTGCTATTAGTTGATTGAGTTTGAGGTAATTTCATAACTTTGTCAATCTTGGATTGTAGATACTGCCTTCCAAGGTTTCTGGGTTTTGAAATTCAGGTTCAAAGAGTTCAGCTTTTCACTAACTTCAGTCAGATTGAAGTTGAGGATATTTGATCCAATTGCCAATCCATATAGAATCTGTGGTTTAAAGTTGGTAGGACTTGTGAATTATGGAGGGGACTCAAGGTGGTTCTAATGCACCAGCGCCTTTTCTTACAAAAACATATGACTTGGTGGATGACCCCTCATCCAACCACGTTGTGTCTTGGAGTGATACTGGTTGTAGTTTCGTGGTTTGGGATCCCACAGAGTTCGCCAAAGAAATGCTTCCCATGTATTTCAAACACAACAACTTTTCAAGCTTCGTGAGGCAGCTGAATACATATGTGAGTTCTTTAGTGTTTCTTTACTTTTGGAGTTTATTGATTTATTTTCAATTTTCTGTCTTCGTGTCTTGTTTTTGTTTTTATTTCCTTGGAAAATTATCCACTTAGATATAACATGTCATTTTCTTTGTGCTTGATTTTTGGTGTCATGGGTTAAACTCAAACAAATGACAGAGTAGTCGCATTACAAACTTCAGAATGATTAGTATTTCTGCAGATTATATGTTTGTTTGAACTTTCTTGTAAAGTTTTGTGCTTGTACACGCTTTGTTGCCTTCCAAGTTCCAACTAGGAATGTTATTTTGCTTCGTAAATCTATCTGTTTTTCTGGTCTGTTGGAGCATTTCTGACTTAACTCCGTTAGCGTTGCAAGCATGCTAGTGTTGTTTTGGTTTGTTTATAACCAAAATTTCTGGATGCTGTAGTTGTTTGTCTGTCAGAACTAATCTGATTAGCAGGTGGTCCTAAGAACTTGGTGGAGTTCATAGAATCAAAATGGAAAGCGTTTAGTTTATGAGAAGACTGGAATATGGCCGCTACCATTAGCCCCTCTAGCTCCGAGCCACGAAAACTTTTTCAATATATGCGAAACAGGCAAAAAATTCTTAGATTGGGAACAAGAGTAAATGGGGTCTGAACTGTGAAGCTGACAAATGGACAAACCTTGTCTTGGAGAAAGGCTCTCTGAAGATGATGGAGAATTCCATAAACACTTCATTTGATTGGCAATCGCAAAGCAGTGGTTTTATATGCGGTACCATTTGGATCAACTGTGATAGTTCATTCTCTTATTATTGAGGATGCTGTTCAGCCTGAAAAGGACATGATTTGAAACTTGATCAATGAGGTTATTTAAAAGGCTTGTATAGCAGCGTTTATTTAGCTTGAAGTGCTGAGAGACATTGAGTAGGTTGGTTTGCAGTGGCATACATGGTTGGGCCTCACTGGAAAGGTTTTCGAGACATGCTACCATGTTGGGGCTGGATTTCTGAGGTAGATTATAGATTAGGTATCTTTGTGGTTTGTAGGGTCCTTGTGTTTCCTATGTTATGTTACTATTAAAAATTCAGGGGCACTGTCTTATTTTAGAGTCGTATGGTCACCGCTGCTAAGAGGAGTTCAATAATTGGGGTTATTGCCCTGGTTTGCTGAGATTTGTTGGAGGGATTTTCAGGGTGATGGAGAAAGTATACTTAAGCTATAGAAAGATTATACGTTCTCTCCCATCCAAAAAGGGAGGTGGGCTGAAGTTGAAGAGTTTGTTGAAATTAGTTTTCCTATACTACCTGAATTTTTCCCTTCAATTCCCAAAACCTGAATTAGATTCTGTCTAAACTTACCTTTATTTTCTATTTAATAAAGGAAAAAGGGTTTTAGATGCAATTGATTAGGCTAATGCTACTGTATGGTTGAGAGATTAGAAAGCTTATCCAGGGAGAATTTAAACAATAGCGATTTTCGAAGCTTAAATAGTTTATAATGGTCTTAACCTGTGTGCTTGATTTTATATAAAACCAGCAGTCTATTATTGTCTAATCTAGCACCATCGGCTCATTTTTTTTGTTTTTCTATGTTTGCACCTGCATTTTGTTTTTCGGTTATTAATGTGTGTATGGTTCTTAATTGTTGAAAGTTTGTGTTCTGTATGAGCAGGGGTTTAGGAAAATTGATCCTGAACAGTGGGAGTTTGCAAATGAGGAATTCTTAAGAGGAGGAAGACATCTGCTGAAAAAAATTCACCGCCGCAAGCCAATTCATAGTCATTCCATGCAGAATCATGAGTATTCTTCAGTTCCTTTAAGTGAGACAGAAAGAGAAGAATATGAGAAGAAAATCAATAGACTGAATCATGATAAAAGCTTGCTTGAGTTAGAGCTACAAAGGCATCAAAGAGAGAATCTAGAGTTTGACTATCAAATACAGATATTACAAGAACAACTGCAGAAAATGGAACATCAGCAGAAACAGTATACATCCTTCTTGGCTCAACTACTGCAGAAACCAGGATTAGCTTCTATACTTGTGCAAAAATCAGAAATCCATAACAAAAAGAGAAGATTGTTGACATCTAGCCAATTTCCTGATGATTTCAAGATGGAAATTTTGAATTTGAATACGCAGAATGAAAACCTGGGTACAATTTCAACTCCCATAATAAAGTTGGACCAGCTTGAGAAGATGGAGTCTTCCTTAAACTTTGGGAAGATTTTCTACATGGGATCGGGGAAGCAATGCCTGAAGAAGTAAATGATATTGGCTTGTTATCTCAGGCCTCTCCCATCATTGTTACAGAAATACAAGACCCTGGCATGAATAGCAGGCCTTGCTCACCTAGATCGCGTTTATCTTCGCCAAATTCAATGAATGTTTCATCCCCAGAGGTGGTTGGGTCTGCAAATTTTCTTGACATCCTTGCTATAACATCAACATGCCACAATGTTGATTTCAGGCCAAAATCTTCAGGGATTGATATGAACTCTAAGCCCGATAGTGCTCCTGCGGCTGAGGCCTTGAAAGAAATGGTACAGGAAATGAAAAATGCCGAGCCTGCTGCGGCGAATGATATGTTTTGGGAACAGTGCCTGACAGAGACCCCTGGTTTAGATGATGCGCAGGAAGTACAGTCAGAAAGAGGGGATAGTGATGGCGGAGTGAGCAATACCAATCCAGCTATTCAGAAAAAGCTTTGGTGGAACACAGATGTAGATAACTTCACAAACCAAATAGGGCGCCTCACTCCAGCTAGTTGACCGGTGAACACTTGACGTTTCAACGTTCAGATTTATACTATATAAACTTTAAGTTGGAATTACTTAGTCCTGTATTTTCTAGATATTCCAATTTTTCTTTAGCTCATTCTTGTGGTGTATATTTATTCTTTCTGATATAGCTTGGACTTAGAGATACAATAAGCTAGAGACACAAACTTCTTCACTATTGTATGTAAATGATATCAGGTTTCCAGGAGTTTCTATTGCTGATATATATACCTTTCCTTCTTTTATAATTTGAATGTAACTTCACATTAGTGCTACATTTAACTTATTTAGACCTTGCTAGCTTGGAATTGGTTTCCATTGACAATTTGTGAGGAATGAGGAGGCTTTCCTTAGGCTATGGTTCCGATGAAAAAAGACGATAATTTTTCCATGTATATATGTCGTTCAATATGGTCATGTTTGATTTAGAATATTTTTCCTTGTATATGTGGTTCAACATAGTCATGTTTAATTTAGAATTTTAGAAGGTTCTTCAATGCATCAGGTTGGTGAGGGTTCTGTTCTGTGCAGTGCACCATCAGAAGGTAGAGATGCTCATGACATGCATGCCCACCATGATAAGAACAAAATGAGAGTAGAGTAGCTAGCTCTTCTAATGGAACATGTGTGGTTAATTACATATAGAATAATAATCACAACAGAATGAAAATTGTGCTGAAAATATTAATTAATTATACTCGAAATAATAAAATAAATTAAAAAAACAAAGTGATGCATCCTGATACTAGTAACAACCATCTCCTCTCATACCATAGTGGGAAAAATCCAATTTGCCCACAACGGTTCCATCCGCAAAGTACTTGAGCGCCATGGCATTTCATGTGATCCGTTTGGATTTTCCAAGTTGCAGACACCCAAATATAGGAAAATCAGGTAAAGCATCAAGGGAGTATATGGAATTTGGACGACACCCCGGAAAGTCTGAAGCAGAGACAGACATGGATCCATACAAACACAAGAACAAAGCATCAGTTCCTATACTCTCAATCCCATCCCATTGCCATTGGGATCTTCCATCATGCCCAGAAGCACACTACATCTCCCCGTGACGATTCGACAAGGTCAGGATAAGTGAGTGCACATGGTCTTGTAGCTTCGGTACGAATAATAGTCGCAGGGTCACTGTTAACATAAATTGATATAAGCTCACCATTCTCAGTAACAGCAAGAAACTGGCCTCTATGTGAGTCCAAGTGTTAATCCCTGCCTTAAAATGGACTACTTCACGATGGAGTATCAAGGCTTCAAAATCATTAGAAAACAAACATGAATGACTATCCACCCGTTCTTGTTTGACTGCAGCTGGCAGGGGAATGGTACGCCTGGTGAAAGGGTTAAATAAGGTAAGGACCAAGTCCTCAGTATCCTTACAAGTCAACCAACCCCCACTAGCAGTGTTTTTACTTTTAATTGGTGCCCGTGAAGATTCAAACTTAAAATTTGTATTTATCCTTAAAATTTGCTTATCACCAGACAGTCAGAGTTCATCTATTTTAGTCGAAACATGCTTAAGAGTCTTAAGACCCTGAACCCTACGCAACCAAGCAAATAATGCATTGTATCTGACAGTCTTTGGCCCACTGATTAAAGATAGTGGTTGGAAAAAAAACTAAAAAAAGAAAAAAACAATATCATTCATCCAAAAAAGTCAAAAAAGTTTAGAACTTTCACATTATTAAATATGAGCATCGTCACATGCTTTAACAAAATTAGTGTATTTATTTATTTATTTATCATAAATTAGTATATTGATATTAAAAAGCTTGTAGAATTTCATGTCCTACTATTGTGTGTGGCCTGCCCTCTAGTAGAAAGCCTCGGATCCCTAGATTGTGTGACTCATATATTATTCTCTGAAATCCCTTCAACTGCAATGACTTCAAATTATTTCTAAGACTGCAGTCTGCAGTGATAAGAAATCGTTTGTAGGAAATGGCTTGGAGGTAATATCATATGTAACATATATAATCTCCAAATCTTATAACAAGCAAAGGATTCTGAGCCTTTGCATGGATTTGCAATATTGATTAAAATGTGAAATTCTTTTGTAATTCTCCTATTATTTTTCTTTCTTTGGACCCACAACATAACAATACCATAGCTTGGAGCTTAGTAGAGCCTACCACTTTTATGTTGAAGAACATGAGTTCCACATCGGAAACTTTACTAAATAAAATACAAAATATAACGAATGATTCCACTCCAAGGCTTTTTGTGATAAAACCTCACACCTACTGAGCTTTATAGTTGGTTAAATTAGGGACAATATTGATGTTACTAGTAGTGGGTCGTTGGCCGGTCTCTTTACAGGCTTTTGTGCACTTTTTTAAGTATCTTCAGTAGGAATCTGAATATCAAAGCCGCCAAACCCAATCTAACTATGCGCTTCAACATTGCCCATCTCCCTGAAGAGGAGAGTTGGATATGGGTTCATGAAAATACAGTTCTGTCTTCACAAAATTCACATCCATAGTAACCAAAAATGTTTAGTGGGAGGATGATAACAATACCCTTTTGATGAGGAGAGTAGCCAATGAAAATGCACCGCAAAGCAACCGGGTCAAGTTTATCTCTTTGACTTTTGTGGAGATGCACAAACGCCATACAACCAAAGACATGTGGCGGCAAGGTTAAAATGGAGGGCAATAAAATATGCTTCTCCAACTCATCCAATGTGGTCTGAAATGCAAGGACACGAGAAAGCATATGGTTCAAGAGATAAACAACTACAGAAACTGCATTATCCCAATAACTACAAGAAACACATCAACCAATAAGAAGAGCATTCGTCATCTCCAGGATGTGGCAATTTTTCCTTTTGGTAACTCCATTTTGTTGTGGTGTATGGGGATATGAAGTCTCATGAAGGATGCCATGCTTTAGAAGGTTAGTCTGAAAACTGTGGTTGACATACTCAGAATCTTAATTTTAGTAGAAAACTAATTCTACACCATCTTAAGAAAGTTATGGAACATGGCAGAAACTTCACCCTTTGTTCTCATTAATAAAGCCAGGTCATGCGAGTACAGTCATCAGTAAAGGTAACAAATCATTTAAGGCCAGTAAAAATAGTAATTGGAGAAGGGCCTCATACATTGAAATGGATTTATTCAAAAGGAAAACCACTTTTATTGGAACTCAAAGGAAAAGTAACTCTATGACTCTTGACCAGAATGTAAGTATTACACTGCAAATCCTTATCACTAAAACCATAAAATAAAGACAACATCAAACGCCCCAAATACCCAAAAGAGGGATGACCCAATCTAGAATGCCATAACCAAATACACCTTCTTTTGTCGTCAACAAAGCCCTTGGTAAAATTCTTTCGACCTTGGTTGATGTTGCCATCTCTCCTCCTTCGTGAGGATATCTTAGAAAGGAAGAAATATGGATACATTAGTACCAAATAGTTAAGTTCTTGACGTGCAATAAATTATTAGAGAGAGAAGGCACAAGTAAGCAATCGTGTAAGGAGAGAGACAGAGTGAGTTCTATGACTGGACTATTAGAGAGAGAAGGCACAAGTAAGCTATTGTAGTTATATGGATATGAACTCCAATATTTGACAAAAAAACCCCTCCATATTTGATTTTAAAATAAACCCAATTTTTATATTTTTCTATTCTTAACATACTTATCGATATAAGTTTTGGTGTGACTGTAATAGTCGGTATTACAATTTGCTCATATTATAACACATGTTTTGTGATTACACAAAAAATATCTTTTTTCCCCAAAGTTGGGTCACGTTGGCAAATTGCACCAAACTTAATATAATGTTCAACGTTAGCTTATAATTAAAGCAAGCCTCAAGTCTTTGACCTACCATATTCAATTCAATTCATTGGTGAAGGACGAAAGGCCACCCGATAAAGCAAATCGTACCAAAAATATAAAACCAAGATGATAATTACATAATTAACTAATCTATTTGTTTTTAATAATTATAATTAACGTTTTTGACAAATTAAGGCAAGCACCAGCTACAACAACAACAACGGACAAAAACACCCAAAACCCAAAAACACGGCATTTTCAAAAGCCCTCTGACTCTGTACCTACGAAAACCAAATACAAATCGCAAATAAAATTAATTAAAATCACCAAACAAATCCCAGATTGGATCTCTCTCCTCATTCTCAGCTATAGATCTCTCACTCTCTCTCTCTGAGCCTATTGTCTCTTTGTGCCCAATTTGAGGTCAGCTTAATGCTCCTTAGCAATCTCTCGTAATCAGTTTCTAACTTTGACGTTTCATATCGAATCTGTATGTGCACATTTATCTATGCACGTACGTATTTCTGTGTATCTGATAGAATGAAACCAAATATTTTGGCTTTTGAGTGTCTGGGTTTTTCTTATGATCTGGGCTGCCTTGCGTGCGTGCGTGTGTTTTTATATGTATCTATTTATCATTCGTGTTTTATTTGATCTGAACGTTTAAAAGGAACAGACATCAACATTGGTTTTTGGGTTTGGATTCTGTAATGCTGTACGGCAGTTCTTTCATTGGGTTTAACGCTCTGTTCGGTTGCCTAGAAATTGTTTAAGCAATTAACAATTTTCTTGGAAAGACTTAGAAGACCTCAGCTTAACTAAATCATTTATGTGCAGAGTAGTTGATTGTTTTCCTTCAAAATTTTCTTTCCCGATAAGTTGGGTCTTGTTGATTCCAGTTTAGCTTACATTGGACATTTTAAGGTTTTCTTGATGGAAATTTTGAATCTGAATAGGAACTGTTGGAGTCTCCAATCAATGCCAGTATAGTGGAGCGCCTTTTTTTGAGTTCTGAAGCTGTTTCTTTGTATTATTGCTGAAAATTGTAGAAGGGCTACTTAGGAGTGAGTTTAGGCCAAGATTGGAATTTTTTCTGTATGCTAGATCATGTAGTTCATCCAAGTGAACAATGCTATTGTCTGATTCTACTAGAACCAAACATATTCAGAGGCCATTGGGTAGATTGGATTGTGTTTTAGGGTATAGATGGCTCTAATTTAGAGTTTAATAGGAGATGGTAGAGAGTGATTTGGACACAGAAAAGGTTGAGTACACGGAAGCCAACTACGCTCAGAGTGGAAGCCAAGAATCAGGTCTTCACAGGGAGCCCTCATTCTCTCGCTGGTGCGATGAAGATGGGACAGTGCATTTTGATCGTCAATTAGAAAACACTGATGCTAGTGTAGAAGAAGACTCTGATTTTGAATTGCCCATGCTTCAAAGGGGTGAGCTAGAAAACAACATTTTGGATAGGGACAGAAACCATAATACTAAATCTCAGAAGAGAAATATGCGGTTGAACGGTGGTGTTACCTTGGATGATGATTCTACTCACGTAGGTGGGACTGGAAATGAGGAGTATTTGCCCTTTGATATCGAGAATAGCTCTGAAGGGGAGGTACATGCTATAGATAGTTCTATGCATAACCATAAAGCATTACCGCCCAATTCGAAGAACCCTATTTCTGTTTCCAATGTGCTGAAAATGTTGTTCTTCGTACTAATGTGGTACACTTTCAGCCTGTTTTTGACCTTGTAAGTTCTCTCTACTTGATCAATCATCATATGTATATATTTTGTGAAATATTCAAGTTACTTAATGATGCTAAATTATTTTCTTCTCTGTTTTTTATTGTTTCTGGTTTGTTTAGGTATAACAAAAGTCTGTTAGGAGATGATTTGGGGAAGTTCCCTGCTCCATTATTGATGAATACTGTTCATTTCTCAATGCAAGCTGTTTTTTCGAAGGGAATCACATGGTATTGGTCTAATAGATTCCAAACTGGTGGTTCTATGTCATGGAGAGATTACTTTGTGAAAGGTAAACTCATCATCCTTTTGCTTTGTTATATGAATTTGGTAATTGCGAAGTGAGTTGAGTTCTTTAAACATTTTTCCAAAGAACCTAGTGCTTACAGCTTAAGTTTCAAATGCCGATTGTTTTATAGTTTTTATTTTATTTTTGTTTGTTAGGATAGATGTTTTTTATAATTTGAAATTAAGGTTTAAATAGGAACAATTATTGTGAATAAGATTTCTTCTTCTCGCTCTTCTTTCCAAGATTCAAGTGATATTTTGTTATGAAAAATATATAATCTATTCCATATCATCTTCAACCATCATAGTTGTGGCCTGTGTAAGATTGAGATGCTGTTGGAGTTTATACCTATGTTTCTGAATCGGTAGGAGCATTGTGTTTAAAGCTAGTTTTTAAAGCAATTTTGATTGAACTTGCGCCAATCCACACTGTGCACTAAGTTTTATTCATATCTGAAAGAGTGAAAGATTTAGATTTGTAGAGTTTTTAGGGGAACTGTATTGGTCGACCTAGGTCATGAAGCATGGAGCTTCTCTCATAATCTGTGAAGCAACGTCATGAAGACAAGAATGACACAAATAGGTCAGCACGTTGAAAAGAGTTGAGCAGAAGACAGTACGTACACATGATCCAGGACACAGGAATTTGATAACCAATTATATTTCGTACTTAGTATTGTTTGTATAGGTTCCTATCTTTAATGCCTGATATTAATGTTAAATAAGAATACATTCTGTGGCATTTGATTATCGTATAGCCTCTCTTGGATGCCTGATGTTAATGTTCTTTACAAAATATGCTTCCCTTCTTATAATTTTGTTGTCATATACTTAATACTTCTCTGTTACTTAGTAAATTAACTTTTCTATCAACTAATGCTACAGATGGACTTTGCCTTTCACAGTTGTACCCACGGCTCTTGGAACAGCAATGGATGTTAATCTAAGCAACGCATCCCTTGTTTTTATATCTGTCACATTTGCCACAATGGTTGGTTACTTTCTCCACATATTCACATCCTAACATTTTTCATTCGTTATCAGTCAACTACTTACTGACTTCCTTTTACTTTTGCAGTGTAAATCCGCCGCTCCTATATTTCTTCTTCTATTTGCTTTTGCTTTCAGGTGAATTTCTTGCCAGTAGAGTTCTGTGACCTGTTTCCCTAGTCATGGTGCATAGATATCTTTACCGAATGCTATCCAATCTTTGCTATAACTGCTATATCTGTAATCCAGTCTTCTTGTAACTCTATTTGCGTCCAAGTGTTTCTTCTCCCTCATTTCTTATAGTTCTAAAATGACTTCTGGGTTAAAATTAGCGTGCAAATTAACTATAACTTTATCATACATTTCAGTGTCTAGTCACCCTGTATCATTGCTTACCTTTGGTTAACGTCATTTTCATTTTCTCTCTGATTGTGCCCTTTTTGTTCTTCTGTGCAATGCAAATCTTCTGCTTGGAAGATTGGAGGCACCAAGTGTTAGACTTTCGGGAATCATATTAATTATCTCCATCGGAATACTATTAACAGGTATTAAGCTTTGGCTTATAATCGTTTATTTCATTATGCTCTGATTTTGTTTCAAATTTTTTTTTTTCGTATGTGTATTTTTTCAATTCTCGTATTGAAAGATTCTTTCCCTTCCTTCCCCTTTCTTTCCTTCCTCTCTCTTTTTTTTCTTTTTATAGTTCAGTAATTGTACATATGTCTGTTTCATTCTCTCTCGTCAATCTTTTAATGTCTTTTTTCTTTTAGATATCATGGGAATGCAGTAATGCTCCCAAAATATGTGCCTAAGACTTAGGATAGCTTGCCTGCTCGAAAGGAACTTGAACTGGACATTTTGTACTTCTAATCTTCATGAACTTATCTTTAGGCTTTTCTGCCATCTCTTTGTTGAAGTAACTCTATCCTAAAATCTGGTTTTTCCCTTCTTCGTTATATTGTCTGCCATTATTGATGGAAATACCAAAGGGCCTTGACAAGTTCCATATCCTAAGACCGCTTTATGTTCACATACAGTGAACTTATGTGCATTTTTAAAAATTCATTGTTTTTTTAGTTTAGCAGAGTGTTTGCTAATGCTTAAACATATAGTTTTTTGTGATTAAAAGATTACAACTGAAACCTCAATTCAAGTCCTTACCATTGTTGTTGCCTGTTATGCTTCTAGCCCTTGTGGTCATTGCTTTTCTAAGAATTTTTTTTTGGAGTGGAAATTTTAAGCGTTTATGATATTTCCGATGTTAATGTTTCCATATCTTCCCATTTTGGATTTTCTGCAGTTGCAAAGGAGACTGAATTTGACTTTTGGGGATTCATTTTTGTCATGCTTGCTGCTGTTATGTCCGGTTTCCGCTGGTGCATGACTCAAATTCTTTTGCAGGTGTGCTTTCTGTGTACTTCTGGTTTTTCTTTCTTTCAATTTTTGGTTTTTATAACTACATAATCTTATGTATCTTTATTGGTTACTTTGTTATGCATTACGCTCGTGAATGGTTTCCCCAAAATCGAAATAAAGAAAGAAGATTATGGTAAGTTCTATATGCTCTAATTGCAATCTCACTTTTGGAATGTTTGAATAGTAAATTTCACATATTTTTCTTCGAAAGAGTTCTTGCACTATTTATATCAGTTGCCACTATGATAACATCATTATTTGTTATGTAAACATGTGAATGTGGTCGGTCCCTGCTAGAGTTACAGCTTCTTATTCAAGTAATTTGTCGTTTTTGGCAAGTGCATGAGTTTTTCATTTTTTTAAATAACTTAAACAAATAGTTTAAATAGTAAATTCTATACTATGAGATTTCATTAGATTTTTCATATTCTATACTCTGATATTTTATGAGATTTTTTGTATTAATTTTTTTTTGCCCGAAACAAGTGCAATTGGTGAATACTTATAAGTCCTGAAGTATTTCAGTGGTATCATTATTATGTCCTAAAAATATGTGATTTATGGTTTCATGTTTATTTTCTTACGTGAAGATAAGTAATTATATTCACTGTCTGTACTTTATTGTATTTGTGGGATTATTACTGGTATCATAATCCAAGAAGTACTGGTTGAGTTTTTCTTCTATAATGTAATTATCGGACATGTTGCTTTTTAGCGTTAGTCATCTTAGACTCCAGTAAGATGGCTCAGGTGAAGCCAGCGTACAAACTCAAACAGTTATAGTCGATTTAAATTTTGGGAGGCAAGTCAACTCAAATAGATAAATCATGGATATTTTTTAAACTACATTAAAGCACATAAAAGTTATGACTTATACTTTGTGTGAACAAATTCCACCGTAGCTTCCAATGAAGTCACCCAACTGAACTAAACCAAATTTAGAGATTGGCATTGGTGACTGGTATTTAGACAAGGGTTTGGCACTGGGACTATGATTGTCAGCAAATTTGTGACCTCTGCAACTTTTCTTAGAAGAATCATATTTTATTAAAAAATCATAATAAAGTACAATAGAAGTGACCAAGGAGTACGTATTAGAAAAGGAATTATCCAATGTGTACTCCTTTTTCTAATGTGAAGAACAAGGAGTACTTGTGAGAAAAGGAGTACACATTGGACACAGCTACAAAAGGTTCAACAAAGAAATTATCATATCACTACCTTTTGCAACTTAGAGATGCAATTCATTACCTGCCTTGAAACAGTATCCCATATCTGGATACGTGTGATTTCGTGGAACCATCAGAGGCCTTGGTACATTTTTGACTTGATTAGTAAATATGAATCATGAAATTGATGCTGAAATCTGCATGGGATTAAGGGTAATGGACAATGGTAACATTCTCGTCCTTTCGTTTTCCAGACGCTAAAAGATTAGGTGGTAATCAACTCGTTTCCATCATTTGGGTTGTCTGAAGCATGTTACTGGTGAAGTTATGGCTATGCATCCAGTCCAGTTACATGCAGTTTACACCTGGATATTTCTTTTTGTCAATTTCATGATGACTAAAATGTGAAATTTGATGCCGTAGAAAAGTTATGGTATATAGATTATATATATGAACAATTTTTTCCGCATCAGGACAGTTTCTGACAATCTTTATTATCAAATATTAATATATAGATGCTGTAAGTTTGCATAACTTACTCTTACAATAATTCTGTTCAATTGTTCTAGGTTTAAAAAATCCGCTTACTTTGATGAGCTATGTGACCCCAGTGATGGCAGTAGTGACTGCCCTTCTCTCTCTTGTTTTTGATCCATGGGATGAACTTAGGAGAAACAATTACTTCAATAATCCAGCGCATATCAGTCGAAGTTGCTTGCTGATGCTGTTTGGTGGAACCCTTGCCTTTTTTATGGTAGGAGAATAGGGAAACTTTTTCTTGTTGCATATCGATTTCTTTCTTACGTGTGCATGTTTTATGATTGCTATTGACTTTAAATTAGAGTATTAGGTGAGGGCTGTTGACTTTAAACTACAAGACTAGTTTACTGCAAGTCTTGCTTTTGTTTTAAATACCTTAAGTCTCTGTGTGCGTGTGTATATTTGTTCTCTCAGCTATGTACAGGGGGTGAGATACATTCAATTTATCTCAGCTATTCATATATGATCGAATGGTTGAAAAACAGGTCCTCATTTAAGGATCTTATGAGATAATAGTTATATACTTGCATACACACACACACACACACACACACACACACACACATATATATGCATTTATAAGGAATAATCTTGATTTAAACTGACTAAGATGCCCTTTTGCTGCAGGTATTAACAGAATTCATTCTTGTCTCAGTAACCAGTGCTGTCACAGTAACAATAGCAGGTGTTGTTAAGGAGGCTCTCACTATATTGGTATGTTTATGTTCGGTTCTTTATGGTTGTCCGTTCTTTTAAATTTTGGGTTGTCTTACCTTCTAGACCTACTTGTTCTCAGCTGTACAATCTCATAGCTATTTACTGTTTGTTTCTTTAAGAATTTCACGAGAATAAATAATGACTCACGAGTGCTATTAAATAGAATCATTTAACTATTGTCCCTTGATTTCACTCATGTGAATGCTAGTGCTAGAAGTAGGAATTGATCATGAAGTAGCATCTTGTTTCAATATGTGGCATGCTATGTGCCTATTTATGTTAAAAGTTTTGTTGGTCATCTTATTTGTCAAACAAGATAGATTACATTAGAAATCCACTTTCCTGCAGCTACTGGTCTATCTGCTGCCTGCAAAAATTGGCTTGTAAAACAATATTGAAACGTCTACTTATGAGTGTATATGGTAATGTCCAAAAAGGCTACATTGGCAGTAGTACACCCGTGTTCACTTAGAGAAAGAAATCCTTTTCTGTTTATTTTATTTTTATTTTTCTCTTCTTTTCTGTTCAAAATGTGTCCACGGAACATGTAGTTAATACAATACATGATGAGAGGAATGGCTAATCTGGATTTGCTGATCTTTGGTGCATTAATACAATATCTTAATGTTTATACCTCCATATCTTAGATTTCAGAAATTATTTGAGGAATTGCATAAACAAGTTGCAGACTTGTGTCACTGCCTGAATTAATTCCCACTTAAGCAGATAAGCTTTGCTATCTATGCCCAAACTCTAGTTCATGATTTGCTAGCTCTAAGCTCTTGTGAGAATTTACACTAAAACAATTTGGTTACTCACATGTCAGATTTTGCTTCTATGCTATGTAAATGTTCTAGTTTGAACCTCTGTTTCTATTTTGAACTCTGATTTTAGCTTTCTATGGATTTTAATGTATAAACATTGAAAATTTATGTTAATCGTGTGGCATTCTTGTCTTTTTGATGCTCATCAGGTTTCTGTACTCGTCAATATATATCTATCGCTGAGGCTGTCGAATTATGTATTGATTTCTAATCCTATGATTTTGCATACTCAGGTTGCAGTTATTTACTTCCATGATGAATTTACCCGGTTGAAAGGAGCTGGGCTTTTCATAATTATGCTTGGTGTCAGTTTATTCAACTGGTACAAGTAAGTTCTCATTTGGTTGGGGGGAATCATTTGCTTTTTGCTTATGCTGTAGTATGTTTAATAGTGAAACATTCCTTTGAAAATTATTATAATCCATTAATTTACACTTTATTTAAATACAAATAAGAGTAAGAAAATAGGCAGGAGGGCCAGAAAATTATGATGGAGGAATTTTTGTTCTCCAGTTTTTTAGTTGGAGAGAAAAGGATTAGATGGGAAGAGTGTTGGGAAGTAATTTTCTGTGGAAGTAGTAGGACAAAACTGTACAGAACTTGCAAATACGCAAGCCTTGCTCTTGAATATTTACCATACCACATGTATCTCTATTTTAATCAGTTGTATTTTATTTTACAGATACGAAAAGATAAAGAGGGGTCAAACAAGTGAAGATGACATGGAGGAATCAGTCACGACAAATATTGCTGCAAAATATGTTATTCTTGAGGAGATGGATGAGCAAGATGATGGCAGATGAAAGCTTTAGTAAGTCCATGCATCTCAATTTGAAGGAACCCAATAGTTGTAAATTCTCGATATTGAGCTAATACACAATTCAGTTATCAACTTCATTAAATACACAAAATATGGTTTTGGTTTAAAAATTTGCACCAAATGTATTAAATTACACTAAATTTTACACGTAATATTGTCACTCCTTTTATCTGTATGAATCTACCTCATCCCTGTTCATGCATTTTTCTTTTTATTATTATCTTTATATATTTGTTTTAGATGCGGCCATTTGTATTTCTGGTCATAAATTTTCTAAAATGATAGGGCTAAAGTTCTCCTAAGAGCAAAGTGGGGTTGCTACCTGGAACTGGACCTTAGTTTTTTTAATATATACCAATTTATATCCAAAAACTGTAAAGTTTCCTCTTGTGACGGTTGGTATCAGTCATATTCTTATTTGTGGCTGAGTCTCAATGTCAGTGATTCAGTCAATTGCTTGCTAAAATGTTATAGTGATTCTGGATCAAAATACTGGTCTCTATTAACTGCTAAGCTTTGTTGAATTCTCATGCAGTCATTTGTATATTAGGCTATTTTGCTAATTTAACTTGACATTACATCAGGTAAATTTTTGCTGGAAAAGTTCATTGTCATGCATCTCGGTGAAGCTTTTAGCAAGAAGCACATTTGCTTGTCTCAATTTTCAGCATCTGTTCGTGTTCCTAGTTCTTCAAGCTTTGCCCTTCGCAGAGTTCGCTCTAAATCAATACGAGTCGAGATTTTGCAGCTACGCACCAAGAATCAGAAGGGAAGATAAATCTTAGCTCTTAGTATATACTGAGTGTTATTTGTTAGGATGTGTGAGCGTGGATTTCAAAGTCAATAATGCTTCAGTTTTTTCTTATTATTTTTAAAAATACTTTGTTAAGATAGAGAGGGTGGTGTTTGCACCTGTAAGCTACCCGGAGTTTTGTAATTTCCATCATGCTTGATGGATTGTTTCATTGCCCTTGATGTATATTATAAATTGGGCTTTTTTTTGTTTTTTTCTCCATTTTTTCTTGGTATCAGAATAAAAATGATTTCTCACAAGAATATGAAATTATGATTTATCACCTATTTGGTGATTGTATTTATGTTCCGAAGCTGGGACTGCATTTGGTTTTATGAGGGCAGTATCTTCATGGTTTACAACGGCGTTGGTTTGGGTGTGCACATAATAGATGAGCGTGGATTTCTATCTGACACCCATAATCTGTTTTTGGACACTCACTTCTGCTGGACGCACCCATCTTCAAATTTTGAACTTTTACAAATTTCTATGAGTAAATAAATTGTAAGTATATCTGAATCCGTTTGCACCATGGTTGAACAATCTTCAACCAGAAATCGGTCAAAGTGGCATCTGGCAAAGCTCTCAACATGTATGAGTTCTTTCTGAAATCTGTTATCTCTACAGAAATTTGAGAAGAAATTGAGACTTTGGAAAAGGCCAAAGGAGCGAGAAATTTTTTGAACTTCAAATTGTGGACGCACCCATCTTCAAATTTTGAACTCTTACATCTTTGGAACGGGTTGTGTCCTTGATAATGACTTAGGCGTCTTTAAATTGACTAGAAATCAAACTCTCAGTCGGCTTGCATTGCTTGAAATCTAACCCTGACTAAAATCTCAAGTGAACCCATTCAATTTATTTTGGCAATTTATTTTTTGATACAAGCAAGAGCATGAACACCATAAACTACTCGTATACCATAATGAAGTTTCCTTCGTTCAATGAACTCCAAATTGGATCATGCCCATTACTTAACATATAAATTCACTACTATTGTTGCAGCATGGGTTGGGCCAGTTATTAGGGCAATGAACTCGTCCATTTGCATTCAAATTTGAATTCCCTCTTTATTATATTATCGTCCATCTCAATAAAAATGTCCTATAATATATATATATATATATATTATCGGTTCTCACAGTATATATATATTTTAAAGACACTTGTAAGAGGACCCTCGAGTGCGAGTGCAGCTACTTCATATGGTTAAGAAATAGAAAATCCTTAAAGAAGACATGCAGCATGAATCAAATTATAAAAAACTATTTGTTTTTTCAACTCTCTTTTTTGTTGTTTGGGCTTGCTTTCAGGTTGGAATGAAATGAAGGTCTCTGTCTGACACGACTTGAACAATGTTGACTGACAGGCGTTGTTTTGAAGTACTCAATCTCTCGTGAGAATTCAGAACTAACCACTTCCACTGTCCAAATCCCACAAACTGAAATTTGGGATGAGGACTTTTGATTACCTAAAGTTTACAAGAAAGGAAAATGTGCAGATTTGATTCTCCACTTTTATTTTCTATCCAAAACTGCAAAGATTGTATCAAAGCAGCTTGTCATGCCTGTAGATTTTTGAAGGACCTCTTCTACTTCATTTGCAGTACATGAAGGGCACTTCATGACGTTCTTCTGTATTCGTAATGTACGTCTTCCCCGGCATGTCCTCTGTTTCACATTGAACTTAAACCAGCATTAGTCGTGGTTTTAACATGTATACAAATATCTGTGTACCTGTGTGCACCGGAGGACCTAGGAATTTTTTAGCAAAGGTGCAATTTTAAAAAGCTAAAAACTCTTTGTGGATTGAACATCTAAGATTTTTTTGCCTAGATTGACCTTAGGTCCCTTCATGTATTTATATAATACATGAAAAATTGTTTTATGTAAAAATATTGAAAGTACGAAAAATAGTTTTTCGGAATAATCATTTTCTCAAGATAATTTTTGGCGGCTTTTATTCCTTACACATCAAATAAGAAAATTTGATTTTATGAGATTTTAGTATGAAGTATATATGGACTTAATGAGTCATTATTTTTAGCCTAAATTGTATTTTGCCCTTAAACTGATTTTTGATATTGTGATTTGGTGGGAATTTGATTTTATAATATTTTTATTTGAATCCAAATGGGAGGGACTTCCTTATTTACATTGTAAACTTAAGTAAATGAAGTAATATAAAAATAAATGAAAGCAAAAGGACAAAGACATTTACTTAAATGTTGAAAATGCAAAAAAAGTAATCTGTACACCAGCTGAACAAAGGGCCAATTTGAAGCCTTAATAGGTCGGCCACTGCGTGTGTGTAGAAGATTACCATAATCTTATACGGGAACACAAAAGAAAAATAGAAGACATTATTTATAAAATATAATAAAATGGAATGTCATTCCATAATTATCTTGTAAATCATCGATTCGATTGAACATAGATGTCATCCTTCTTGGTGGACCAATTAATAAGTCCAAGTAACGCTTTTTCATGACTCTTTTGAACAAAAATCTTCAAAGATTACTGCAATCAAATCAGAAGTAGATACATTTATTTTCTTTGGCGAGAGAATCCACAATACGACTCTCATGCTTGCATAACATCTATTTAAAAATATAAAAATCCAAATTGTTATAACAAACTGCGTACTTATTCGATGAAGAAAAATATTGATATAGGATAACTTGGCTATCATCTAAGGTAATGAAATAGAGAATTAATATTTCCAAAAGGATAGAAAGAATAATTCTTTTAGGAAAACCAAAGGTTACACACAAAAAAGGTAATTCCAAAACCCTAGCTTGAAAGAGGCAGTGCGGCAGTATCGGACCGCTTTGTTGGGTTTCCATATAGTCTGGTGGCTAAAATTGTATCGCAGCAAGAAGTTCACCGTGATAATTTTATTAAGACTTTTACTAGCCTGTGGAAAGGCTCTGACGAGGTTTCGATCAAGGAGATAGCCCACAATCGATTTTGGGTTCGATTTGTTTGTGATCGGGACCGCCAAAGGGTTCTTGACATGGAGCCTTGGATGTTTCGTAGGTCATTGATTTTATTGGCTACGGTGGCTGAGGAGGACTGTATTCATACAATGACGCTCACCCATGGCACCTTCTGGCTCCAGATACATGGGGTCCCAGGTTTCTGTATGACGGTGGCTGTTGCCAATGCCATTGGATCGACGGTGGGTGAGGTACTACGGGTGGACAATAGGGATGGGCAAGACTGTGTTGGTCGTTTTATTCGTGTCCGGGTTCGATCTAATGTCCGTCTGCCTTTGATGAGAAGGACCCCCGTCACTTTTCCGGAAGTGGGGGAGAAGATCATAGAGTTTCGCTATGAGTATCTCCCAGAATATTGTTTTGCTTGTGGTTGCTTGGGGCATCCCACCCAAGACTGCGTGAAGAAACATGAGGCTTTAAGAGGCAAACTCAACCCTAAGGACCTTGCTATTTTCACCTTTGCTTTCAAGGGTCTAGAAGGTGTCATCAATTTGTGGGGGAAACCGATTGGGTCATCGGCAAGGCGCCTTTCCTCTCAACAGCATGGCTCGTCACATACGGAGAGAAAGAATGGTGGGGAAGGGTCCGGTGGGCACTCTTGGCGTGCGTCTCGTCATGACTCTGAGGAAGCCATGGACACGGCCTCCTCTCCTTTTAAACTGCGTCAATGGCGAGAGGCTTTCCCATCCAGCCTGGGGATAGCTCCCATGACTGGATGTCGTTCAACAGATGATGCTGGGATAGGGGGTATCTCCCCCTCTGTTGCTGGCGTGATAGATCTCGTTTTGGTGCAGGATGTCAACCTGGGTGTCAAGAGTACCCCTTCAGCACTTGATCAGCGGGGCACAGGTACGGTGGCCCCTGTGGCAGGCATACCTTCTGTTTCGATGGATCCCTCTCGGACTGTACAAGTATCTGTTGGCCCCGTTGGGGGGGACACGAATGAGGTCATTGCACAAACTAGTGACCCTTTTAACTTTATGCCTATAATTGAGAAAACAGCACGTAAGGTTACGGGTCGCGGACGTGGGAGGCCAAGGCGGGTGGCAGAGCCCAGCGGGTCTGGTATACAAGGGGTCTCTGCGCCTTATCTAAAAAGAAAGCATATGACAGATCATCTGGGGGTGGACGGTAGCGAGCAGGAAGTTAATGGTGCTCTCGGAAAACGACGGCTATGTGATAATATGCCTATTATACAAGCGGAGGAGACCAGCCTTGAGGGGTCTCCCCGGTCTCAATGTTAGTCTTCAGTTGGAACGTTCGGGGGCTTGGCAACCGACGAACGTTCCGTGACCTGAAGAGCTTTCTTCAGGATAAGAGGCCAGATGTGATTTTCTTATCTGAAACACGAATGACTGCAGTACAGATGGGAAAATTACATACTAGGTTAGGGTTTGGTGGGGTGGTTTGTGTTCCCCGTGTTGGTTTTTCAGGAGGTCTATGTCTACTCTGGCGGGTAGGGCTCCAGGTTGTTCTACTCTCTTCCTCTCCTGGACATATAGATGTTCGGGTTACTATGAATACTTCTGCGACTTTTCGTGTGACTGGTTTTTATGGTCATCCTGACCAAACCCAGCGCCATCATTCATGGGAGCTACTGCGGCGTTTGGGTAGAGTGGATCTTGGACCCTGGCTATGTTGTGGGGATTTCAATGAAGTAATGGAATGCAATGAAAAGAGTGGGAGCCGGTTGAGACGTGATGCACAGATGGAGGATTTTAAAATGGCCATTACAGATTGTGGTTTGTTTCAGTTTGAGTTTACAGGTTATCCATTTACATGGAGCAATAAACGGAAGGATACAGCTCATGTGGAGGCTCGATTGGATAGAGGGTTTGGAAATTTGGCACTTCTGCAACACTGGGGCAATTTCACGTCCCATCATTTAGTTGCTTTCTCCTCTGACCACCATCCGATTCTCATTGCATCTGACGGTCCACAAGGTGACAAAGCTAGAGGTCCTCGAGGTCGTCGTCGGTTTCAGTTTGAGGAGGTATGGACTACGGAAGTTGACTGTGAAGAGGTTGTTCGTCAATCTTGGCAGAATGCAGTGTCACCCCTTTCTAATATTGACAACTGTGCCAGCAACTTGTCACGTTGGTGTGCCGAAAAGGGTGGCCAGGTCCCCAAGAAAGTTAAGGAGTTACGGCTTAGGTTGGCAAGTCTTCAATCAGATGAGCCGTCGACGCATACTTTTCATACTCGTAGCCTAATTGAAACTGAACTTGATAAGTGTCTTGAACAGGAAGAAATTTATTGGCACCAGAGATCGCGGGTCCAGTGGCTTCAGCATGGAGACCGTAACACCTCTTTCTTTCATAAGCAAGCCACAAGTCGCAGGAAGAAAAATGCCCTAGTAGGGATACTAGATGAAAATGATCGTTGGCAGCGTGAATATGATAAAATAGGTGGAGTTTTTGTGGAGTTTTTTACAAATCTTTTCACATCGGATATGGGAGTTGCTGATGTGGAGGTTTTTAGTGCTGTCCAAGCGCGAGTGTCCTCACGTTCTTATCATAATCTGCTTCTCCCGTATTCTAGGGATGAGATCGAAGTAGCTCTTAACTCTATTGGACCGTCAAAAGCTCCAGGTCCAGATGGTATGCCTGCACTCTTCTATCAGAAATATTGGAGCATTGTGGGTCCCGATGTTAGTGATTTGTGTATGAGAGTTTTAAATGGTAGCGATGGTGTTAACGATTTCAACCATACGTTGGTGGCTTTGATTCCGAAAGTTCATTCTCCCACCCGTGTTTCGGAATATCGTCCTATCAGTTTATGCAATGTCCTCTACAAGATTATCTCCAAAACTCTTGCCAATAGACTGAAGAAGGTGTTACCTGAGGTTATTTCTGAGTTCCAAAGTGCGTTTATTCCCAACCGTATGATTTTGGATAATGTCTTAGCAGCTTTTGAAACAGTCCATTGTTTGAAGAGAAGGGGAAAAACAGGCAAAAAGAAATTAATTTTGAAGCTTGATATGGCCAAGGCCTATGACAGAGTTGAATGGCAATTTTTGGAGCAGATGTTGCGGACTATGGGTTTCCCAATCCGGTTTATTCAATTAATTATGGGTTGCGTGACTACTGTTTCTTATTCGCTGTTAATTCAGGGGCGGCCATTTGGGCGTATTATCCCTTCTCGAGGCTTACGACAAGGGGATCCTATATCATCGTATCTTTTCCTTGTTGTGGCTGAAGCCTTCTCTGCTCTCCTCCAGCAGGCTGAGAGGGATTCTAGATTACATGGTGTCTCCATTGCCCCTTCTGCTCCTTCTATTAACCATCTTTTTTTTGCTGACGACAGCCTTTTGTTTTGTAATGCTGGGACAACTGAGGCTCTAGAGCTGAAACGTATGTTTGGAGTGTATGAGTCGGCTTTTGGACAAAAGGTCAACCTTGGAAAATCCGCTCTTTGCTTTAGCCCTTCCACCCCAAGGGTGTTGCAGGACGACATTCGTCAGCTGTTGAACGTGACTCTTGTCCCTTGTCATGAGCGGTATTTGGGCCTCCCTACTATCGTCGGTAAGGATAAGAAAAAACTGTTCCTTACGGTTAAGGATCGAGTTTGGAATAAAGTTAATGGTTGGCAAGGCAAGCTTCTGTCTAAGGCCGAGAAAGAAGTGCTCATCAAATCAGTATGTCAGGCAATTCCATCATATTCTATGAGTGTGTTTCGATTGCCTGTTGGGTTATGCCGCGAGATTGAGAGTATCATTGCCAAATTCTGGTGGTCTAAAAATGATGGTAGAGGTATTCATTGGAAAACGTGGAGATTTATGTGCCAACACAAGTCTGATGGGGGGATAGGTTTTAGGGAATTGACAAGTTTTAATCAAGCTCTTCTATGTAAACAAGGATGGCGGCTGCTGGAATTTCCTCACTCACTGATTGCCCGGATGCTTAAGGCTCGTAATTTTCCACATTCTGATTTTTTGGCAGCTTCGAGTGGGTCCCTTCCATCGTTTACTTGGCAGTCGTTACTATGGGGGCGGGATCTGCTCTGGTTGGGCCTAAGGTGGCGCATTGGTGATGGCCGGTTGGTTAATATCTATGGTGACCCTTGGGTGCCTTATGATCGTTTTTTCACTATCCAGTCGATACCTACTCTTCCAGCTACTTCCCGAGTTTGTGATCTTTTTACCGCTAGTGGCGGGTGGGATGTTGGGAAGGTTTTTGCTACTTTCTCATTTCCAGAAGCTGAAGCTATTTTATCTATTCCCTTAATGGGTGATACTCTGGATCGGAGAATCTGGAACTTTACTAAAAATGGAAGGTACTCGGTTAAGAGTGGGTATTGGGCTGCTCTGGAATACAAGAGGCTGGAGGAGCTGTCCGCAGGGAGCGTCGCTGGCCCTTCCTCTTCTTCTTTGAAGAGTTGGAAGCACCTGTGGAAGCTGAAAGTGCCACAAAAAATCCTTCATCTGTTATGGCGTGTGGCTCAAGATATCCTCCCTTCCAAGGAGGTCTTATTCCGGCGCCGGATTACACAGGGGGAGGTTTGTTGTCGTTGTTTTGCTGCGAGAGAAACTACGTTGCATGCGTTGGTTGGATGTGTTGTTTGTCTGCAGGTGTGGGAGGCTTTAGATTTTCCCAGTGATTTCCTTCTTCCTACTTTAACTGACGTTGGAACCTGGATGGATGCAGCTTGGTCTATTATTCCCCCTGATAAGCAGTCTCTTTTTGCATTTACTGTGTGGGTGTTGTGGAACGAACGTAATGGGGTGCTGTTTGGCTCTCAACCCACCCCTTCCGGAGTTTTGGTACAACGAGCGAAGGACTATGATGCTGAATTTAAACGATATTCTGCTACCAATCATAGGAGTTTATCCTCGCCGGTTCGTGATATTAAATGGAGGCCTCCTACGGGTAATTGTTTCAAGTTGAACGTGGATGGGGCTACTGACATGGAGACGGGAGCTAGGGGAGCTGGTGCCATCGTCCGTGATTCTCATGGAAATCTGGTTGGGGCTCTAACTATGCGGGCGCCAAGTCGGATCTCTGTACTAGCAACAGAGCTGTATGCTCTTAAAGTTGGAATCTCTTTTGCGTTGGATGTGTCTCTAGTGCCTCTGGAGATTGAGTTTGATTCCTTGCAGGCAGCTTCTATGGTCAACAGTGAGGAGGAATGCCTTGCTGCTGAGGGAGGTCTGGTGGATGGAGTGCGACGCCTTCTGGTCAGGTCTGCGTCTACTGCTGTTCGACATATTCCTCGCCAAGCGAACAAGGCTGCCCATCGCATTGCCCGCTTCAGTCTGCGCGATCAAAGTTTGTCGTTCTGGTTGGATGTGGGTCCTATGTGGCTTATGGATGCTGTTTATGATGATTGGCACGAGCCTACTGTCGTTTGATTTAATATCTTCATGTGTAATCGGGCATATGTGGCACTCTTTTTCCTCCCCTGAAGTTTTTCCCATCGGGTTTTCTTTAGGGAGGTTTTAATGAGGCCATACTACCCATGCTGACATTCCTTTGTCATGTTGATTAATTGAATGATTTTTTTTCCAAAAAAAAAAAAAAAAAAAAAAAAAAAAGACTCACATGCCTCCTCTCTCTGTGTGGCTCTCACACCACCCCCATTTTCTCCTTGAGAAAATACTCCTATTCCTTTTTAAAATACCCACATCTCTTTGAGACTTTTTTCTGACTTGGGCATCGGAGGGCCCTAGACCACCACCACACCATTGTTTATCCGATTTATTATTCTTGTTTTGCAGGAAATATTGGAAGAACATTTAAAGTAGAGTGAAGATCTTCCATAAATCTACCTGGGAGGAAATTTGCTACCACAATAATTTCTACTAACATGAGAAGAACTTCCCAAGTGTAAAAATGATAGTAATTGTATAGTAAAGGCATCATAAATTAGAAAACTAACAAGAAAAAGAATAGAAAACTACCATTGTAAGCAAACTACCATTGTAGACCATTCCTTTTAAGAATTCATTATAAATAGGTTAAGAATTCTATGCCTGGTATAATAACAATTTGCTATTAAAAAAGAATAGGTTAGTTAGACCATTAATACATATGTTAAATGATGACGTGGCAAACATGAGCTTCAATTTTTTGCTGATGTATAATTAAATATTAATAAAAAATTATTTGTCTTTTAAAATAATTAAAAAAAGTAAAACAAAATCTAATAAGTAAAATAATAACATAACATTAAATTGAAAAAAGTCAAAAACACAACCCATCCCCACTTCCAGCGATATCTATGGTGGTGTTGGGTGGGGATGGTTGATATCGCTGCCACTGTCTCCTCTCAGTCCCACCCCAACTTCACTGCCTCCTCCCACGCCCCCACCAACTGAGCGAGTACAACCTAGAAGTCTCTGTCTCTCTCTGTCTCTCTTTGTCTTTGTCTCTCTCTCAGAGGAGGCTTTCGCCTCTGTCAAAGATGATGGTAAAATCCACAAGGGAGGGCTTTCAGACCCACCCCTTCTCTCCTGTTAGTGTGGGAGCAAATATTTTCGTCTCTAATCACGGCACACCACGTGGAAAAGAAGATTATCTCTTAAATTAATTAATTGAACCAGTGTATCTGGGCAATTAATTAATAGGGATACATATATTAATTAATAGGATATTATCTTTATTTAATAAGATAATATCATTAATTCAGATATTATCCTAATAAATAAAAGATAATATCGTTAATTCAGATATTATCCTAATAAAGAGAAGATAATATCATTAAATTAGATATTATCTCAATAAAGAGATATAATCAAGTCCGACTCGATCCCTATGAATTTGGGTAAAGAACAAACTCATCATAATAAGAGTTCATTCTCTACGAAACCCTAGCCCCGAGGCTCCTATAAATAAATGACCTCATTCATCATTCAAGGTACATCTAAACCTATATCTAAACTTGAGAAAAATACCCAAAGCTCTCTCTCCCTCTCCACTCTCAATATTTTCTCCACACAGCTCCGACCACCACACACGGCTCCGGCCGCCCGGTTCACACCATACATACAACTCCGTACCTTTTGCTTAGCTATTGTTTTTCTACAAACACTAGAACTGACTTAGGCATTGGAGGGCCTTTGGCCAACACCCCCCCCGGATGTGGTCTATTTACTCCAATATTTTTTACAGGAATCAAGGAAGAGAGAGAAGGAAGATAGAAGGTTGAAGGATTTAGAAGCGAATATTCTCCCGTGAGATTATTTGCACAAACATTTGGTGCTTTCATTGAGAGCACGAGTTATACTCAACGCGTGCTCAAGGAATCCGTTCCTCTTATTTTCCAATCCACCGAGGCCTTCCAAACAACCATGGTTGGAAGCAAGTGCACGAGGAGCAAAACTGCCGCGATGGCTCAATTCATGATGGCCCAAAGCTACTCCTCACACGATCCTGCGATTGACATGGCGGCTCCACCACCTCTCGCTGCCATGAACCCGCAGCAAACCTTTGCTATCGCACCACAGCAGCCACCCTGTGTGGCTGGAACCACCGTGCCACCTGGCGGACTCATAACTGGGACCATCGCACTGGCCTCTGCCATCGTCATACCATCTCGAGGCCCCGTGGCTGGATCTAGCCATCAGGGTGGGCTTACTACCACCGCTAACTTTGGCCCAATCTTGGTGCAACTTCAAGCATTCCCTCTATTGCCTCCATGCTCGACGCACGCTCCCGCGTACACATCCAATGAAACCCTAGCCCGTGTGCAATTGGGCTCCACACACTTCTCTCCTCCCGATCCACGAAGTCAAGTAGACCTTAATTTGAGAGTTGACCAGCTAACTCAGAGAATGGACGACCAAAACAATTTGACGAGGCAGCTCCTCAACCAAATAAACTTGGCTCAAAACCTTAGCCTTGGACAATAGGGCAAAGAGAGAAGGATAGACAAACGCGCTGATAAGCAGTTCACTAGATACCAAGCAGGTCGAGCAGGAGTAAGCAGACAAGGAGATGGACAACAACGTGATTAGCTTGCCGACATGTCGCAAGCATCTGCAAGCCACACTCAAAGCAGACGAAGTCTCCCATCCAGATTGAATTTAAGGACCAACGTGCACTATAGGCTGGGCCCGCAACTAGGCATCCGCTCCCACCTGGGCTCGAAGGGAAATGTTCACGAAAGGCTAGGCCTTCAGGGAGGTCAACTTGATAACCCTCACAATGAGGATCGTGAAGAAAGGTGCTCCACTGCTCTCTCTTGAAGAACCAATTCTCGTCGCCAAGTTACAGAAAATCCCTCACAAGTGCAGTCCACCAATACGCCGCCTAGGCAGCGCAACCGAGAAAGTCGACCCTTGCAAACGAACGAGGAAGTTAATCAGTCTCGCCCAAATTGTAAAGGTCATCAACGTGGCCGACCAACCATGTGTGCGGAAGACGTTGAAAAGCTTGTGAATAACCGACTTCGAGACTTAAAGATTGGAGGAAATTTCGAAGATGCACTACGCATGGAGGTAGACTGAGCAAACTCCTCACCTTTCACCGCCGAAATCGAGCAGGCTGCTCCCCCAAAACGATTCTCAACGCTATCTTTCACATGCTTCAAAGGGGATTTCGATCTCGAAAGCCATTTGAAACATTTCAAGAGCCTTATGATCCTATACAAAACTGAAGACGAGATAATGTGGAAGGTGTTTGCAATGACTTTGCGAGGAGCAGCTCAGGACTATTTCCACACCATGCTATCTGAGTCGATCAGCAGCTTCAAAGAGCTTGCTTATGTCTTCACCAAAGAGTACACTTCTTACCGGATGATCAAGAAGAACCCTGACCACCTGTACAATCTACGCAAGAAGCCTGACGAATCCTTTCGAGATTACATCAAGAGATTCAATGCAGAAAAGGCCAACATCGTAGGGTGCGATGACCGAATCGCATCCTCTGCATTCAAGAAAGGTCTTCCAGCAGAACACGATTTATACTGCGAGCTGACTATCACTCCCAGCTAGACTCTGGCAGAGGTCTTCGGGATTGCCAAACGTTACGCGCTCTGGGATGACGATCGAATCGCTGCGAAGAAGTCTACCGAGCAGGAAGATTGGCCAACCAAGCCGGCAGACCAAAGAAGCGATAGGCTTAGCAGCAGGGACAAAGACAAACGCAAGTCACGCCCACAAGGAGACGCTACGACAAAAGAAAACTACACCAAATTCTCCATCCCTATACATCAAATTTTAGCCCAAGTAAAGGACAAACCTTGGGTAAAAAGACCGCCACCCTTGAAAGGAGATCCGGACAAAAGGAATACTAGAACATATTGTGCCTTCCATGCGACACACAGGCACAATACGAATAATTGCTTTGCTTGGAAAGCGTACCTCGAAGAACTCGTGAGAGAAGGTCACTGCACGGACTTCATCGTGAAGTAGGCCATCCAGCAGATAGAGGACAGCGATACCGCCAAAGAGCCACCCCAGAAGGTCATAAGAAGTCTGGGCTGACCAGCAAAGAAAAGAAGAGGAAGATCAAACAGGCCACCATGATCTCCCAAGTCTTCACTAGTTTCCCACTGGCAGAAGACGATCCCATGATCAGCTTCCAAAAGAAAGATTTAATCGGCCTTGATCTACCACACAACGACGCCCTTGTCGTCAGCATTCAAATCGCTTAGGCCATGGTTGACTGAATTCATGCAGACAAGGGTAGTGCAGCCAACATCCTACAATTGGCAGTTATCCAACAGATGGGCTTAGAGACAAAGATCAATAAATCAGCCAAGTCGCTAATTGGCTTCAATGGCGCAATAACGGTTACTGTAGGCACTATAGATCTCGACGTCTGATAGAATATTTAGTACCTATGCAAATAGGGTTAAAAATCACATAAAATACTTGCAAGAATACAATGCTATTGTAGTATAGATACTCATGCAAGGTCGTTCTCCTCAAGGACTATTTAACAATTTATGTAAAAACAATTTCTAATTAACTACCTAAAATTAAAAGTTGAGAAAAATGATTATGAAATTGGTTGATACTAAAAATAAATGTTAACAAAAACAAATGTGATTAAGGGAAAAGTTTTAAATACCAATTTATAAAAGCGCTAGGGTTTCACCATCACCTAGCAATCCTATGAATTTTTACCAATTACTTATGATTCGCACATGCCACTTTGAAGGTTAGGTTTTCCTAATTTATATTCTACTTGGAACCTCCAATATAGAACGTATATCCAACATGCAACCCGTCCGGACATTCGGATCAAATCTAAACATGAAAGACTCATTAAGTTCTGGGAAAACCCTTTGAAAAACCATGCAACCCTTAAGACGTGGTGTTCATCTTAAGTGAAATTACAATTATTAATCACAAGAAGCCAGCGTCAATTTCAGGGAACCTTCCGACCAAAATTGCATCCAATTACTTTTCTAAAGATCCTAATGGTGATCAGGCATTAAGACAATTAGATAGTTTAAAACAGTGATTAACAATTCAAAATATGCATGCACTCAATCATAAGCAATTAAATAAAAATCACATATTCATGCTAAGGTTCAAGGCTTCACCCTAGCAAAGAAAATTAGTTACGCATATTCATAATTGAAATCCAAGAAAATATCATTAAGAAGGAAAAGAATGAAAATACCTTAAAGTTGCGAAAACCCAAAACTCTAGCAATTGCTCTCCACAATGTCACGTTCAAAAGTAAAAAGAAGTCCCAAAATTGCTGTGAAAAGGAGCTTAAATATCTCCTAAAACCTAGCTGCCCAATCCCCACAAGGAAACTAAGTTAAAATAAAATAATACTAGGAGATAAAGTCTAAATTTGATTAGGAGAATCTTCCCACAATCTGCCCAGCCACTTTTTGGCCTCAAATCTCCTCCAAATCTGGCCTAAGATAGCTTGTTTTAAAGATAAAAATATTCTGAACACTTCTCCAGAAGGTCACAACCCATCCGAGGTCATCTTGGGCTCCAAAAACGCAATCAAAGCCCAAAACGTCACTATTCCAGCACTGCACACTGCTCCTTTATTTCATTGCCAGAAAATAACCGCTTGGTAGAAAAATCTGAAATTTTTCTATGATCAAGCTAAGTGACTCACAAACGTCCTTCAACTGGAATTACTACAAAATTCGTCTATTTAATTATGTTTTGCTCCAGAGGAAGTTGAAAGTCCTATATTGGAAATATAATTCAAAGTATCAAAATTCTTCCAAAATATTAACCAAAATATATTAAGAATGAGGTTAAATATATAATATAAAATATACCCATCAACGTCTACTCCCCACCTGTAATCAACTCGCAAACGTTCATGGTCATTAATGAAGTCTCACCCTACAATGGCATTCTGGGCAGACCATGGATCGGCAAGATCAACGCCATTACCTCTGCCACATATCAGAAGATCCGCTACCCAATCCCTGGGGATGGTATTGGCCAGATCAACAACGATCAGGTAATGGCAAGGAAATGCTCAACTCAAGGGCTGAAGAGAAGCAAGCAAACACAGTTCCTCCCTCTGAATTAGGTAGGTTCAAAGGAGTAGAACAAGCAAAGGATCAGGACCAGAAAGGAAAGGGAATAACTACTCCCCAATAGCAATCAAAGAATCAGGACCAAATCGAGGGAATCTATCCGAAGGTCTCTCCTGAAGAAGGATGGAAGCCCGAGGAGGACGTTGAGCTAGTACCTTTTGATCCTGACAAGCCAGAGAGAAAAGCATGGATCGGCTCGGGCCTATGCCAGGAGGAAAAGGCAGAACTTGCAGCCTTCCTCCAGAACAATAAAGACGTATTTGCATGGTCACCATCCAACATGCCTGACATCGATCCCCAGATCATCTGCCATCGCCTACATGTTAACCCAGCTATCAAGCCTATAACACAGAAGAGACACGACTTCGCCCCTGAGCGGGTTGCCATCATTGAAGTCGAGATTGATAAGCTTCTAGTTGCTGGTTTCATTGAAGAAGTCTGCTAAGCAAAATGGCTGGCGAATGTTGTTATAATAGCAAAGAAAGATAAAGGCCTGTGGAGAGTGTGCATCGACTACACCGACCTCAACAACGCATGCCCTAAAGACAACTTTCCATGGCCAAGAATTGATCAGCTTGTCAATTCAACTTCTGGCAATCAACTGCTAAGCTTTATGGACGCCTACTCCGGCTACAACCAAATCATGATACATGAAGACGACAAGGTAAAGACCTCCTTCATCATCGAAAGAGATACATACTGCTACAAAGTCATGCCCTTTGTGCTGAAGAACGCCGGAGCAACCTACCAAAGGCTGGTGAACAAAATCTTCAAGGAGAAAATCGGTAAGACTATGGAGGTCTACGTAGACGATATGCTAGTCAAAACTCCCGAGCAAGCAAACCACATTGAGAACCTTGCCGAGGCATTCAGCCTACTCCGAAAATACAACATGAAGTTGAACCCAAGCAAATGCACATTTGGAGTCTCGTTCGGCCGATTCCTCGGATACTTAGTCACCTAAAGAGGAATTGAGGCACATCCAAAACAAATCAAGGCTATACTCAACATGAAGTCACCTGTCACAACAAATGAGATATAAAGTCTAACCGGTAGGGCGGCAGCTCTCAACCGATTCCTTTCAAGATATACCAACAAGTGCAGGCCATTCTTCAAACCCTTGAAGAAAGGACATAAAGACAAGTGGGATGACGAGTGTGAAGTAGCTTTTGAAAACTTAAAAACCTACCTCACTTCACCTCCCTTACTCTCAAAACAAATACCAGGCTAAGACTTGTACATCTACCTGGCGGTGTCCTACTCAGTTGTCAACTCAGCTCTTATCCGAGAAGAGTTGGGGGCACAACATCTAGTATTCTACACTTCAAAGTGTCTTTGTACCGAATCAAATGATTTCAGATAATGTGATGGCAGCTTTAGAAACAATGTGACAGGACCCTACCCAAATTTCACTTTGGAATCCTTGTCAAACCCTGTGTGTGTCCAACACCTGGCAAGTGTCGGGCACGAATGACCAAAATACCCTTCTTGCCCTAAACCAGAAACTGTTTTAGGGTTTAACTTCTACTGGTATTGGCAAACCGGCATAGTCTCCCCTAAAAAAGGCTCGAAACCCAGAAATGTACCTGCATAGCAAACTCAAATAATTTCCCAAGAGTTTAGCAAATTTAACTTTACAAAACTAAACATAACATAACAAACCAAACAAAAACTTGCGGCTGCACCTAGGTTAGCCTAGGTTGCCTATGTACCCTTATTGAGGGATCAAGCCACACGTAATTCTTTCTACCCTGAATCACAATTAAGATAGTACATAAATATTCAAAATGAAACCAACGAATTTTTTTGGAATCATTCTTTATCTTGGTCTCCACAAGCTATATAATTGAATATCATGCCGTTAAATCATGTACCTAACTGTTCAAATAGTTTATCATTGTACATCCAAATACTTGCATAACCAAACCTTTTACTTGAAAGCCATACCTGTAATCATCCGCATAATACATATATCCTGTAATTACCCACTAATGGGTATATGGGAACACCATCAAATTCGAAGGCAACAAGGGAATGGGAAACTAGCTAACCACCTGTGTAGACAAGTCGGGCAGGTGGGTAGAGATCCTGGCCAGCCCTATGCAGATAATATGAGCAGGGTGGTGAATAATATCCTGTTAACTGAACCACACATTGGTACTGCACTAATCTTCACATAGATGTACCACAAACATAATCCATCAATTCAAATAATATATCGTCAATTCCGAGTACCACACATGTGATACATCCTCGCAAAACTCGGGAGACACTAGGTCAGCCCGAGACGCATTTCTCGCATTACTCAGTGGACCCATGGTCGGCTTGAGACACATTCCTCGCAAAACAAAGGGAAATACACTCAACTTGAGAACGCAAACCCGATACTCATGGGGCAATGTCATATGCACGTAGACAAATCTATCAATTCCCCTCGCAGGACTCAGGGAGATATACTCAACCTGAAAATGCGAAATAATCCGAAGGCAACCATATGTTCAAAGACATTCCGAAGGCAACTGTATGTTTGAACACATCAATATTTCCGAAGGAAACCAGGATTTCTGTAGACATCAATATTTCCAAAGGCAACCAATCTAATTATTAATCCAGTTAACACATATATAAAAATAAACACATATATATATATCATGCTTGGAATGTAAAAGCGATAGAACAATAATTCACCAATATTAAATAAAACTCTCAAAGCAAAATTACCAACTTAAAATCAAACAAAGAAGCCCCAAGCACCTCCCAACCAATTGGTCCCGGTCGGACTTGAGAGGCCTACCATCTAAGTCAATTCGGCCAGCGGGACCCATGACCCTCGAAAGTTCCTATAGGTCCAACAAGGTTCACTGAACAAGTCCCGAAAGTTTGACCTCTATAGAGCGGTCGGATCTAAGCCAATTGCACGATTGGACGACGATCGTTTCACCTAAACTTAGAATCATTGACTCGGAGGATCCGATACTCCAATTCTCGATCAACGAGTTCTTACACTATTCTAGAGGTACAAAGAACAACATATTTGAAATTGGGACTGATTGAACGGTCCGAACCTATGGAATCTGGATATCGCATAATAGGAATATCCGTTTGACTGTCAAACAATAACCAAATCCAAATCTAATCATATCGTCATGCTCAAGATGACAAGGGTAACAATTTAGAACTCAATGGGCCGCCACCCACTGCTGGCAGTGCGTGGATGTCTTGAGAAATTTTCGTCACCGGAAATTTCTGAAAACACCCTACAATACATATACCAATAGATTTAGACTAACTAGGGGATCAACCTTTGTTCTTGGACCACGGCCAAAAATTGACCGGCAGTAATAAAACACCATCAAACTGCCAGCCAAAAATGGGTTTAAGATTCAATCTCTAAAACCTCAAAATTAACCCAAACGAAGTACATAAACAGATAGAGTGTGATGAGTAGATGAAGTTTCATATCTCACTCGACCAAAACTATCGGCAGAATTACTAGAAAATGCAAGAACACCGGGGGAAAAAGATAACCCTTTTCAGTTTTGATTCGAGCCACTGTCCGCGAATCAGAGTAGATCTTGGGTGAATTTTGTAAAGGAGGATGAGAGAAACATTTTTCGTGAAGGTGGCACGACCAACCGGTGCACGACATCGTTGATTGGTGGTAGGGAAGTCGAACAGTCATTGTTTGCTACAGTACTTTTGCGAATGTACAGAGGAGGGAGGGAGTGTCGGGGAGAGAAGAAGATAAATAGGAGAGGCCTGGTTACTGCAGCAACTAGTACTATAGCGGCACTGTTTGCTACAGTAACGAATTTGAAAATTCCCATTACATCCTTTTTGTTTCTAGACCTTTTCGGCAGTCCTTCTAAATCCATTCATCAAACCTCGACCTTTCCGGGGATGGGCTATGGATTTTTTGGGAAAAATCATGCCTAGTTCCAGTAATGAGCACATTTTCATCATAGTTGCCACTGATTATTTCACCAAGTGGGTGGAGGCCAAAGCATTGAAATCCATTTCTTCAACTGCAGTGATCACCTTCATCAAGCAGCAGATTGTTCATAGGTTCTGAATTCCAGAAACGATCACAACAGATAGAGGTACTTCCTTTATTTCCAAGGAAATTCAAAATTTCGCTGAGGAATACAATATCAAGTTCGTGCAATCCAACCCTTATTTTCCACGAGTAAATGGTGAAGCTGAATCTACTAATAAGGTTTTGATCAACATCATCAAGAAGATGGTAGGCAACAATCCTAAGGATTGGCACGAGAGGTTGTCCAAAGCCTTATAGGCAGACCGAACCTCTAAGAAGACGGCTATAGGCACGACACCCTTTGCTCTAACTTATGGCCACGATGCAGTCTTGCCAGTAGAAATCAACGTACAATCCTTGAGATTGGAGACACAGCCGGGAATGAAGGAGGTAGCCTATGCAGAAGCAATGATGCAAGAGCTGGACCAGTTAAGTTCGATTCAGTCAAAAGTTTTGAACCATCTAATAGTTGGTAAGCAAGTTGTGGCTCAGGCCTACAACAAAAGGGTTCGAGAGAAGACTTTTGAGGAAGGAGAATTAGTATGGCAAGCTATTTTGTCACTCGGAACTCAAGTGGCAGGACTAGGAAAATGGAGTCCTACTTGGGAGGGCCCTTTCATGATCAACAAAATCCTAAGTAAAGGGGCATACTTACTACAAGAAAGAGATGGTATCGTGCATCGGCTCTCGATAAATGGACAATGGCTAAAGAAGTTCCTGCTAGGATGTTAATTTTAAATATGGCTATCATAATTTTTGTAACAAATCACTCACGATAAGGGTAAATGAATGCAAGTAGCATATTTATATAAAAACCAAATTATGGTTTTCCATTTCTAAGAGTTCATTGTCACGAGCATAAAAACTAAATTGTCCAAAATAAATTTTTGAGAATTACAACAGCAGATCCAGCATGGTTTTTATCTTGTCCAAAAAATGTAGAGTGTCTACACGGAGTTTATCATGGTGAATTTGCTTCAACTTCCCTCTCCACACCTCCAGCCCGACTTCCACATCAGCTTTGTTCAGACTCTTCTGAGTCAAAGCCATAGTTGTCAGTATCTGATCAGCCAAAGTTTTCAAGCGCCAGCTCACTTGCCTCAATAGAACCTCATGATCAGCAAATTCTTTGTGTTGAACTTCTATCTTCTCTTTCGCTTGAGCCAATTCTGTCTCCAAATTCTGATTCTTGGGAAGAAGAACCATTTTGTTTAAATTTGTTAGCCAATCCTCCCAAGTCTGCTTTGGCACTTTCAAAAGATGCTGTAAAGTTTGGATAGGCCCGGCAAAGGGAATCCAGGGCTCCAAAAAATCAGACCGATCCTACCACAGTTTTATTTCAAAAAGTAGAAACTGAAGAAAATCATACCACTTGTGCAGCAGCACAGAATCTCTCATTTTCATAAACCGGCTTTGAAGGAGGGATAACATCTTCTGGTAGTGTCTCTTCGAGGACTAGGGGGCATAAAGCTTCCTCTTGTACCGGCGATTCAGGAGTAGGCTCTTCCAAATTTGGCTACATCAAACCAAACACAGTCAGTTCCCATGACCACAAAGTGGACACATTCCATCATAATTTCAGTTCCCATACCTTAGTCATATTGTCTACCCCACATTCATCATCTGCTTGAGGATTTTCATGCTGCCTTTCTCCTCCCTGGAGTAATTCCTCCTCGGCGATCTGCCATCAAAATGTTGTTTTTCATATCTAAAAAAAATAGGCTTTTTATCACAAAACGTCCCTGATGTTTGCAAAACTATCAGATTGCATCCTTTAAGTTTTTTTGTATCACTCATGATCCCTAACGTTAATATGGGTGCTCTTAAATAGTCCTTTTATATATATATATATAAAATGTTAAATCCAGGAATATAATTGTCAAATCAATCCAAAAATATAAAATATATATATAATACAAATCGCCATTGTGTAAAATGTTGGACACAACTTTTACATTTTATAATTCAAACTCAGTCGGACATTGTCTCATTAGAACAATCAGAAACCACATTAGTCTTGGGTCTTTTTGTCATTGAGGCTCAGTTTATCCGATTCACTCTAGAGTTTGTAAAGGCCATGCTAGTTGCCAGTTGCTCAATTGAATGAGGCATGCCTAACTAAAATGGCAACATTTCCTGATATGTTTGCAAGCATCTCTGAGGAAAAGGAGCAAAAATAATGACGAAATATAAGAAATGAGGATTTCCTTCATTTGATGAAAAACTTGCTAATCAGAATCAATGAGCGATGACCTTACAATTTCAACAACAGTGCCAAGCATATATATATATAAGTCTGAAGTTGATCTGGAAATTTGACTTTTAGTGACAAAAAATCTGAAGAACACCGTCGCAGAAAATGTATAGCCACGAAAAATTTGATGAACATCTGTCGCTAAAAACTTTTGGTAACGAAAAATCTTCAAATTTTTGGGCAAAACAGCAGCTAGGTTTTTTGGGTTTTAGGTCCTTTTTTGAGCTTCAAATCGTCCTAAAACATAATGTAGGAAACTATTGCACACTATTGCTCAATGTGTGTTGTTTATAGTTCAATTTGTTTATGTTATTCCCTTCCATTTTCAGTGCTTACCTTTAGTTTCTAGCCAATTCCAACAAGAAATGGAGGGAAATGGTTCCAAATTGGTGGCAAATGGGTCTGAGGCATTGAAGATGTGAAAATGGATTGATTTTACAATTATATCCCTGGATTTAACAGTTTTTTTTGATAGAGGGACTATTTAAGAGCACCCATATTAACGTTAGGGATCATGAGTGATACAAAAAAACTTTAAGGATGCAATCTGATAGTTTCGTAAATGTCAGGGACGTTTTGTGATAAAAAGCCAATAAAATAAAATAAATATTTCATATGTATAAATAACCAAAACGGGTTATTTCTCACCTTAGCAGAAGGAGCTTCCCCTGAAACTCCTATTGGAACAATTCCAGAGGAAGGAGCCACTTATCCATTCCAACACTTTCTTCCTCAGGAATCTCCACAACTGGGACTGAAGCTGACACTAAAGCAATCGGAGGAGAAGAAGGAATAATGACCTGCAACACAAAAATATATATATAAGAAAAGGGCAGATTCCGTGTTCCCTTCTAAAAACATCAAATAGATCGGCAAGAGGATCACTTGGGGGACAATCGAAGCAGCCTCAGAAACCTCCGCAGGAGAAATCCTAGCCCGTTTGCCTTGAGTGACTTCGGGCTGAACCTGAGTCCCACTACCACTCTCGGCCTCTTCTGGCAGAGATCTCTTCTTAGCGCCCGATTGATCATCTACATCAGTTGACAAATGCATCAGAGCTAAGACAACAGAAAAAAGAAACCCTCAGAAACTACTTCTTTCAGAATTACCTGAAGAAGGAGGAAAGGGTAGAACAGTAGTATTAGACTCATTAGCCTTTGAAGGGCTAACAACCTTAGATGTAGGAGAAACAGAGGCCCCTGCCTTTCCTTTCCTAAGCCGCCAACTGGCTGGCTGAACAGAAAGTTTGGTAGCTGGAAGAAACTGCATAAAAAAACAGAGATAGTTAGGAAAAGAAGGTAAAACTCGAAAACTTGAAAACAAAATGGTTCTTACCAGTTAATGACAACTTATTGTCATCTGCAATCTGTTCAAGAAAGATATGCCTATCCTTCTCACTAAGTTCCCGACGGAAAGGACAACCTTTAAAGATCCTCTTATACGTAGTGTCTATGGCCCTAAATTTTCCATGGTAATGGCCCCACCAAAACTGAAAGGATTGAGTGCAATAGCAATCAGGTTAATAGGGCTTTAACTCCAAAGCCTGGGCAGAATCTACGTATTTGGCTCGAATTCCCAAAAGATCTTCTTGACTCAATTTGGGAAACCTGTAGGATGAACCTTTATTGACCAAAGAATGATTCAGTTCAGGAATGACTTGGGGACATCCGAGGTGTCTATTGAAGAATTGAGGGTTGTAGGCTTCTACACCATACTGATAGTTTCTAGTGTCTATTCTCCCAGCACAGGGCAGGTCTCACGACTGAAGACATGAGAAAATGTCCATATTTTCAGAAGCCATAGGATCATCAACGCCTTTAGGACCTTAATAAATAAGCCTCTTCTTGAATCATGGACAACTTCTTTTCAAACTCATCATCCATTGAGATGCATGCTTAGTCTTCCTGCCCATGAAGAAGGTAAAGCAATCCTAAATTGTCTTCCCACAGATAGAACTCATAATCAAATCTCCCAAGGGCACCACATCAGGAGCAACCCGCAATTTTCCGCCCTCTCAACTCTGGAAACGACCATTGAAGCCAAACTTGGACCATCCACAAAGGTCCCTTCACATTGAGGTTGATAGGCTCAACGGTTGCCTCTCTCAAAGCTCTGTAGCTAGAGGCGTGAATCAAAAGACTAGTAGCAATGTCTCTATAAGATGCTAAGCCCAAGGCAAATTAGAGTCACTCCATGGTAATACAATTGGTGGCACTGGGGAAGATAAACCTATTCAACCAATACAATAGGAACATCACATGGTCTCAGTGGGGATAGTCAACTTTCTGATCCATGAACGCCCCCATAAAGGCCCCATAGGCTCGATTGGAACCTATCAAACCAAAAAGAACTTCAAAGTTTTTTTTTGCGATCTTTTTCTTTAGAGGGATCTCCTTAGAAATCCCTTATCCAGTCAGCACGCCACCCGTGAGGATGAGATCCAAAAATCGCCGCAAGATCAAGGATAGAAATTGACATGGGCCCAACACCAAAATCAAAAGTATTGGAGGCACTATTCCAAAAAACCAGGGCATAACCCAAAAGTGGAGAATCAGCCTGAAGTTGAATGGTCGAGCATGTAATGGCATGATAAATGCCATTATTAAGCCAAGAATTTTTGTATCGGGGTTCCATTCTTTTCGCCCAATCTAGCTAATGAAGATCGACACTCGACACATCTATTTTTGGGAAAAATTTGGGCAACATTTTATTCCAATTTGACCAGTCAAGACCTTCTAAACGGCAGACAGGAATAGGAGCCCGAATAGGATGAAGCTCATAATTCCAGAGCTGGTTAGCTTTCTGCTCCAGATACCTGGGCCCCAGAATGCTATGGCCATTCACAAAGCTGATAAGGTCCTTGTAGAGCAAAAAAAGGATGCGGTCGGCGGCAAATCGTTCGACCCAACCGTTAAAAAAGGCAGCGAATTCTTTCACCCCAACCTTGAGATAAAAGCAGTACTTCCAGAAGCAACATCTGAGGAGGAAGATTCAAGAACGGTAGCAGGATTTTTCTTTGGCGCCATTCTCTCAGAGTTTCTCTACGCACAAGAATTCGAAATTTGAAAAATGGAAGTTAGGGTTTTTCTCGTTCAGAAAAGTTCTGGGTTTTGTTTTTCTTGACACGACTGTGGGAAGACAGAAGGGTGAAGAGAGGGAGACGGTCACACATCAACCGTTTAAAACTTGGCGCGTCTTTTTAAGCGAGCCGTCTGTCAGATGATTTTTATTATCTTCACCACATGGCCAAAATCGTGAGCTTTTTGCAGATCATGACTTCCTACAAAATCGTATGTAAAGGGACATCGTGTATAGTGTGAAAAGCCTACTTCATGGTTAGTTAAATATAACTATCAGGGACCAAAATATGGATCTTAAATACCAAAAAAGAAAAACTGTTAGGATTTATACAAGACAAAAGAAATGTTCATGGCCCAAAACAGGATCCAACAAATGGAAAATCAAGCTATAAATTCTAAAACAGTAGAAATAAGATTTGTCAGATTGTCCATATCCAAGTCAAGGGCTCGGCGCACAGAAGCCATCTTCTTACTGGCCAACCTTGCCCGAAAGGCGCGAGAAATCAAGTCTTGAACAACAGGCTCACTGGCAGCAATTCGGGCCTGAATTTTTTCTAACTTAGACTCTAACTGCGCTTTCAAGGAAAGGTCAATAGCAATATCAGCTCTCAAGCTATCTTTCTCTCCTTCCAATTCTTCAAACCTGTCCAAGATATCTTCAGTGGCCTCATCAAGTTCCACAAAATGGGCCTTATTTTCACAGTGATCCTCCAAAACCTCTTTAGGATCTCTCGTGGAAGGAAGAATCTCGTTGATCATACTGATGTGCTTCGAGGTCTTGCTCAACCATTGTTCCAGAGAATGGCATGCGAGGGCAAGATGAGGCTTTACTAGAGCAATCTGACTGAGCAGAGGTTGCATCCTTGATAAAGGCTGCATCCTTGATAAAGCATTAGGATTCGCCAATGGATCAAAATAGGGAGCCTTGATTAGATTCCAAAGAGTCTTGAGCCCTTCCACTATGCCACCAAGCACTACATCAGGCTTCCTCAGCTCCATGATAATCTGCCTACCCTCTGCACTTGTAAGGTTAACAGCACACTTAGCTCTAGGCCCGGAACCCTCAGGCATACTTGAGCCTGGAAAGATAGGAATTCTCCTCCCAACCACACCCCTTCTCGCAGTTGTATTCGAGCTCGATTGCGATTCATAAGGTGGATGATCTTCCCCTTCCTCAAGCTTGATGGTCCTCACTTTCTGGTGAATCTGTTGGAGCCTTTTATCCACAGTAGGAGGTTCCGAGACTTTTTCTTTCCCTGGTCTCTGCAAAAAAAACACCTACTGTCAGACATACAAAGGAAAGAAGAATCCTTTTCTTAACAAAGGGTCTAAAACAGACCTGAGATATTGGCGTAGAAGCCATCTCAGGCCTTCCCTCCTCCCTAGAAGGAGAATCTCTCCTTGCTCTCTTCTCACCGGTCCCTGAAATTACAACATATATATATCTTAAACATAAGGGACCATCTCTAAATACTGAATGAAGTTGGCCTGAAAATAATATTCTACCTTCCTCAGGAGTGGATTCAGGATTAACATCTGGAGTTGGGGGAGAAGAAGCTCCACGCTTTCTCTGAAGTGGCACTACTTCTTCTTCATCTTCTTCATCATCATCATCTACCAAATGAGCCTTCCCTTTGTCCCTAGGACCTGGATTCGAGCCAGAAGGACGAGAAGGAAGGGGTGATGCAGTAGGCATTTCCACTCTCTCCTCTTTAGGAAGAACACCACCAGATGATGGAACAGCACCACAAGCTGCAATTAGAAAGAGAAGGAATAAGTTTCTTTCAAATAAGTGAAAGAAGCGAAATCTTGATGTGAACCTTAGCAACGTCCTCAGGACCACTCGGTTTGCCCAAGACAGTTTCTGTCAAAATACCAAAAACAATCCAGATTGTTAGAAAATGGTATATTAGGCTTAAGGCCAAGAATCGATGGTTAAAACTTAAAAGTTAGAAACTTGGCTAACACTGCCATCCCTTGAAGACGTCCTAGTCTCCACTTCATTGAAGCCTCTTCCTATTCTGTCATCACTAGGGCAAAAAGATAGTCTTGGAAGGCGGTAGTATAAAGAAGCTTGGCAGATTTAGGGAGCCAGGAATATGTTTTCCCAAAAGTCATGAAAGGCTGAGGTACAGAGAGGAGAGAGGGATCACAGGGAGGCACCCTCACCCTTTGGCGGGGTACATACTGATAATAGGTGTGCATATGTAGTGGAGGCTTATAATCCTCAATTCGTAAGTAGACAATTCGGGCTTGTCCAGTTCTAGAACTAAGATATGTGAACAAGGGAGCTCTTGGCTGGATTTGACTATGACGCCTAAAGAGGTGAAGGCCATGACAAAGTCCTGGAGGAATAAGAGTTGGATAGACAGGAGATGCTCATCCCAGCATGAAGTTTAGACTTGAAATCGGTCAACTCCTTCCAATGCCTGGGAGCTCCATGAAGGCCCTTCTCCATAAACCAAGGCGTGTCACAAGATAGCGAATGAAGCCAGGTTTCTTTCAGTCTCTGCTTGCAATCTTTGAGGAAGACAAAGCATTCTTCAATATTGATCGGCCTTTTGGAGTTAATAGCCAGAGCAGTAGCCGGGACATCATTTGCAATGTACTCCAACTCTTCATTCCCAAGCTCAGGGAAGTACCACTCCAACCATATCTAGGTCATCCAGATAGGACCGTAAACAGCAAGAATCAGCGAGTTTATTGTGATTTGGTAAAGAGAATAGTAAAGAGGGGCCAGCATAAAGGGGCCCGTGGCCAAGCTTGTCTAATTGTGGAAAGCCTCTGCCAGACGCATGTACTCTGACTTCACACCTCCATCAGTATGAGGAAAAATGAATTTGTTCAACCAAAAAAGCAAGAACATCATGTGCTCTTGATCACGATCAGCCATCCCCTGATACGTCATCATAAACACAGAATAGGTCCTCAGACGCACAATTTCGATCTTACTAGCCTTTATTGGGGTCCAAACTTTGCAATTCCTCATCTCATAGTCCCCCAAAACATCGATGTTCATACCCCAGGGCCTAAAACCAAAAAAGGCCACCATATCTAAAAGAGCAAGGGCCATGGGGCCAGGACCAAATGAAAAAGTATTGGAAGTGCTATCCCAAAAACAAAAGGCAGCTCCCAGCAACGAGTTATTTAGGTCAATCCAATTTTTAGACAGCAAGATGGCATGATAAATCCCATTTTGCATCCACTTGGCCTTGAACAGTGGCAACATTTCATCCACCCAGCTGGCCCAAGAAAGATAGTCTTCAGTAAGAGTGTTAGGGAGTTACACCAGTAACCCCCCAATCAATGACACCCATTCAATATAATCTGTAACAGCTTTCAGTTATAGAATTAACTCTGTAATTAGTATAGGACTGTTACCCGAGCAATACTTGTATAAATATTGTATTCCTGTATAGTTCAAGATTATCGGAATATAAGCCTTTTCTACATGGTATCAGAGCAATAGCCTTCATCCAATTCTTATTTCTTCTTTTTCCAGTTTCTGACTTCTATTCTTCATCAGTTTCCCTCTCTTTTCAATGGCATCTTCATCTTCCTCTCATTCTTCGACCCCTAATATTGCTACTCTTGTCTCCATCAAGCTCAATGAAACCAATTATCTTCTATGGGAAAGCCAAGTTAAACCTTTTCTAATTGGCCAAAATCTTTGGCGTTTTGTTGATGGCTCTCATCTTTGTCCTGCAGCCACCATTCCTGATCCTACGTCTAAAACTACTGATGCGACGCCTGCCACTCTCCCCAATCCTGCCTACATCTCGTGGTATCAAACCGATCAATCTCTCATCAGTCAGCTTCGTGCCACTCTTTCAGAATCTGTTCTTTCTCAAGTTGTTGGTCTTGACACCTCCCAGGCTATTTGGGACTCTTTGGCCCGAAATTTCTCTCAATACTCTGTTGCCAACTCTGCTCAGTTGAAGATGCGCCTCATGTCCATCACCAAAGGCTCCCAGACTATCTCTGAATATCTCAATCTTGCCAAAGCACTTGCTGATCAACTTGCTGCCATTCAAGACCCCGTCTCTCCTACTGACTTGGTTACGTATGTTCTTCGCGGCTTGGGCCCTGACTATAGCACTCTTGTCACTGCTACTCTCTTCTTCCCACCTCTTCCTTCCTTCCCGGATCTTCGCACTCGTCTGCTCTCTTTCGAAGCTCAACAAGCCATGACCGCTCAATTGTTCTCGCCTCCTCAACCCTCTGCTTTTGTTGCATCTCAGCGGCTTCCTAGTTCTTCTCGTGGCTCCACTCCTCGTCGCTCCACCAATTTTCGGTCTTCTCATCCGCGTGGGTCCCAATTTGCTGCCCCTCACCGGCCTCCTACCTATCGCTCTTCATCCACCGCTGCCAATGGTATTTTGGGTACTGCCCCATTCTCTCGTGCGCCTCGTCAATGTTGGACTTGCCAACAGTTTGGTCATCTTGCTGCTCAATGTCCCCAAAATACGGATTTGTCGCGCACCTTTGCTGGCCTCCATGTCAATCACCCCACCGATTCCGCTTGGTACATGGATTCCGGCGCCACCAATCATATGACTCATGCCCCTCCCTCTATTTCCTCCAGTGCTTCTTCTGACCACGTTGTTGTTGGTAATGGTGCCTCTCTTCCTGTTACTCAATCCGATAACATATCCTTCTCTTCTGGTAATTTTGTTTTCCGTCTCTCTGACGTTCTTCATGTTCCTTCCCTCTCTAAAAATCTTATGTCTGTTGCTCAACTCACTCGAGATCTTCTTGTATATATTACTTTTTATCCTTGGGGTTATCGTATTTGTGACTTACACTTAGGAAAAATTCTTTTTCAGGGCCAATGTAAAGATGGTCTATATCCTGTCCTTCCATATCCTGTTTCATCTCTTGGGTCCCAGCATGCTCTCGTCTCCGCTGTCAATTCCTCTTCCGTTTGGCATCGTCGTCTTGGACATCCTTCTGATCGTGTTCTTGGCACTCTTGTCACTCAATCATTATTAGGATCTAGTTTTTCTTTGAAATCAAATAAATGTACTCGTTGTGCACTTGCTAAATCTACTCGTCTTTCTTTTCTGTCTCATGATCATTGGTCCCATGCTCCTTTTGAGTTAATACACTCTGATGTTTGGATGTCTCCTGTTGTTTCTGTCTTTGGATTTCGGTATTATGTTCTGTTTACGGATGATTACACTCGTTACACGTGGCTTTTTCCTATGCGTCAGAAATCAGAAGTTTTCTCCCATTTCTCTACCTTTGTGACTTATGTGCACACCCAATTTTCATCTCCTGTTAAACAATTTCAAAGTGATGGTGGCAAAGAATTTGATAATTTGCAATTCAAAATTTTTTGTTCTCAACAGGGCATTATCCACAGGTTCTCTTGTCCTCATACCCCACAACAAAATGGCCTTGCCGAAAGAAAACATCGTCATATTGCTGACATGGGTCGCACTCTCCTTCAGACATCCCAAGTCCCTCTTAACCTATGGGTTGAAGCTTTTTGTACCGCTGTCCATTTAATCAATCGCCTTCCCACTCCAACCCTTAAATGGGTCTCTCCATTTTTTAAACCATATGGCAAACACCCTGATTACTCCCTCCTTCGTACATTCGGTTGTACTTGTTTTCCCTACCTTGGGGATTATGTTTCTAACAAATTACAACCTTGTTCTTTGACTTGTATTTTTGTAGGTTATCATGATCACTATCGTGGCTACAGGTGTCTTCATCTTCCCACAGGCCGCCTATACACGTCTCGTCATGTTGTGTTTCATGAAGAATCCTTTCCTTGTGCTGTTTCCTCATCTTCCCAGCCAATAACTCCAGACATTGCCTTTGTTCCTGTTGGGCCTCCATCACTCCCTCTTATTTCTGACGGGCCTTCATCACACCCTGCCCAGCCTGGCCCAAACTTGCCCCCACTGCCTACACCAATTAATCCGGTTCAGCAAGTCGCTATGTCTCCAGCGCCTTCTCTCTCTGAAGCCGCATCACCTACGACATCTCCAGTGCCCTCGTCTCCAGCACCTTCTCTCTCTGCAGACCCGTCTTCAGCCATGTCACCTCCTCCATCGCCCAGCCCAATCCTGCCTTCTCCTGCCCCCATGGGTCGCACCACCACCCCAGCTGTGGCTCCACTACCTCCATTGCCGCTCTCCGGCGTGTCGATCTCATCTTCCGTACCAGAGCCACCTCCTCCTCCTCTTGGTCGCTCCAGTCCAATTCAAACTCGTTCTCGCTCTGGCATCTTCAAACCAAATCCGAAATTTCAGTCCAACTTTTGCGCTCGCTACCCCATTCCGCATGCCCTCATGGCCTCTGTTGACTCAGAAATTGAACCCACTTGCTACACAGAGGCGTCCAAGTCTTCACACTGGGGGCAAGCCATGCTTGATGAGTTCAATGCCCTTCTTCGCCAAGGCACATGGTCTCTTGTACCATCTTCTCCTCATCACAACACGGTTGGCTGCAAATGGGTATTCAAAATCAAACGTCGCTCCGATGGATCGCTCGAACGGTATAAAGCACGTCTTGTTGCCAAAGGATTCCAACAGCAATCCGGGATCGATTATTTTGACACGTTCAGCCCGGTGGTCAAGCCGACCACTATTCGCACTGTTCTGAGCATTGCGGTTTCTTGTGGTTGGGGGATTCGTCAACTTGATATTAAAAATGCTTTCTTGCACGGTTATCTCTCTGAGGCAGTTTTTATGCAACAACCACCTGGCTTCATTGATCCTCAACGACCCACTCATGTCTGCAAACTCCATAAGGCCATTTATGGTCTTAAGCAAGCTCCCCGCGCTTGGTTTCAGAGGTTTGGTAACTTTCTCCTTCAAGCTGGTTTTATTCAAAGTCGTTCTGATTCCTCCTTGTTTGTGTATCGGGATGGCCTGTCTATAATGATTTTGCTTCTCTACGTTGATGATATTATGCTCACTGGCAATACACCCTCTCACCTCTCTGTTTTTATCCATGCTCTTGGTATTGAATTTAAGGTTACTGATCTTGGCACACTCAATTACTTCCTTGGCATTGAAGTCTCCCATTTGAAGGATTCTATACACCTCACCCAAAACAAATATACTCTTGATCTTCTCCGGAAAAGCAACCTTCTCGAGTGTAAACCTGTCTCCACTCCCATGGCCTCCCGCACATCTGCTTCTCGCACTGATGGGTCTCCCCTTGCTGATCCAACTCCTTATCGCCAACTCGTGGGTGCTCTTCAGTATCTCATCATCACTCGCCCAGATATCACCTATGCTGTCCAACATGTTTCTCAATTCATGAGTTCTCCCAATGATACACATTTGGAAGCTGTAAAACGCATCCTTCGCTACCTCAAAGGAACTCTTTGTCATGGCCTCTCTCTTTGCCGCTCCCCTGATCCTTCCCTTCTAATTGCCTACTCGGATGCTGATTGGGCAGGGTGTCCCGACACCCGTCGATCAACTACAGGGTATTGTATTTTTTTGGGACCCAATCTTATTTCTTGGAGTGCTAAGAAACAGCGCACAGTTTCTCGCTCTAGTGCCGAAGCGGAGTACCGTGAGCTAGCCTATGCATGTGCTGATACTATTTGGATCCAAGGCCTTTTACGTGAGCTTCGGTACCCTCTCCCTCAACCAGTAATTCTTAATTGTGACAACCTTTCTGCTACTTACATGGCTGCTAATCTGGTCTTTCATTCTCGCACTAAACATATTGGCCTCGACTATCACTTTGTTCGTGAGCGCATTGCCAGTGGCAGTCACCAAGTTAAATTTATTCCCTCTACACATCAACTGGCTGACGTCTTTACCAAAGGCTTACCAACAGACCGGTTCCATCGTCTTGTTTCCAACCTTGTCACCTCCCCGGCGTCAAGGTTGCGGGGGAATGTTAGGGAGTTACACCAGTAACCCCCCAATCAATGACACCCATTCAATATAATCTTTAACAGCTTTCAGTTATAGAATTAACTCTGTAATTAACTCTGTAATTAGTATAGGACTGTTACCCGAGCAATACCTGTATAAATATTGTATTCCTGTATAGTTCAAGATTATCGGAATATAAGCCTTTTCTACAAAGAGGCACATCAGGGCTGGAACCCAACCGTTCTAAATTCGTCTCCCCTGACCCCCAATCTATGTCTTGCAGATCGTACGGAAATGGCACTCGAACCAACTGAGTGTCTAGAGCCAATAAACTCTCAGGTTTGACCTGGTGATAGTGAGGACCTAAAAATGGAGTCTTGAAGGGACCTCTCAGGCTAAGGGGAAAGGGGGAGTAGAATCTTACCGAGCTCTTTGATTGTTCATGCACTAGAACCGCTTGAAATTCTTCAGCATGCTTTGCTGCACTTTGCCCAGAAATCCAATCAGGGGCGTCAGCAGAGACCTTCGTGAGTTTTGATTTCTTTGGAGCCATTGAAGAAAATGACAGAAAAATTTCTTGGAAAATTCAAAAGCTACAACGGTATCAGAAGACAAAAGGAAAATTTTCGTATAAGTTTGCTCAGGAAGAAGAAGTTTGAAAAATGATAAGCTGGGAAGTTTTTTTAGCAGGCCAAATTAAATGCCAGACCTGGTGGGATAGTTGCTTCTGTTAGTTTGGCGCGTTACTTTCAAAAATATTATTTTTGTGTGATTTGACATTGCGAGAAAGCTGAAGGGTCTAGCTTTAATAACCTCAACCCAAGCCCCATTAAAACTAGGGGCAATGTTTGTGCTCAGACTATAATGAGGGGTAAGTTATAAGGGGTTCACTTTATAGTCATTGGATCAATCCAAGGGCTGGGGAGAATTGGGATAAAGTTGTGCAATCGGGTAGGTGAGGAACCCAAACCCGAATTTAATATCCAGCAATGAAGTTGGTCCCAACAAAAAAAAAGAGCAAGTTCTAATTTTGAACAGAAAAAACCCATTGATCTCAAACTCATAGCTCAGAGAAACCGCTAAGCTTTGAGAAACGGTTGAAGGCAACGGGCAACGACTGTTGAAGGCAAAGGTTAACGACGGTTGAACGCAACTCCACTATCTAAACCGTGAAAAAGTATTTATTTTGAGTGGAAGGAGCAAAGGCGTGGAATCTGAAACAGTGAAAAGACGAAGCAGTGGAAGGGGAAGGAGAGAAGCCGTATTCGTTGGAAGTGATAGGTTCCATTTGTGAAGCAAAGCCGCACAAAGACCCAACACAGACACCTTGCGATTGTTCAATAACCAGCATTTGGTGAGTAATTTATGGAATTTGAGTTTAGGGTTAGAGTAACCGTTTTCCCCAATTTGTACCATGAATGTTGTTAGATTTGGCATCTCTTTTGTGTGCTTCACTTGCATGTTAATTTTTGCTTGGGTGTATGTTAAAAAACGAATGAAAATAAAGTCAATAACATGTCAATAATGATATGAATAAGGTAATGGTGTTGAATTGGAGGAGGCCCTTAAAACCTTCCACATTTGAAGCAGTGCAGAGTGCAGATTATCTCTCTGGCGCTAGAATATATATAATTTTTGAAATAAATATTATTTCTGTTGTTACTAAATTTGCCTGTTAAAAATAAGAACAGATAATAATAAACTCATGAATAAAAGTGCAAAGCATTTGAAAAAAGGTTGATCTATGACGATTATGGCTGACTGAAGAAAAAGCTAGAAAGAAAGAAGGATGTGGCAATGGCTTAGCGAGCAGATAGCAGAGCAGATGCTTTGCTTTGCTTCCTTCCACCATCTTTCTTATTTATTTATTTATTTATTTTGTGTTGTGTATGAGATGACAATAATTGTCATGTGTGTGAAGTGCAGAACTTGCCTAGATTGCACTCACACTCACTCATGCATCAACCATTGATTGGAGTTTGGATCCATAAATAAAACACATGCTATTGCTTGTAATTCACAGAATCATTGCATTAACAGGTATTTGCACAAAATATGTCATATTGCTTTGATGATGTTAAAGCCTGTGATCAGTAATCCCTATGCGCATGTACTTTGTAAAATTTGTAATGTGCTGGTTGACTAGTTGTGTAAATACCAATGTGATTGTGCAAATACGTGGTAGTATATGTGTTCACGTTATTTCATCTTGTATTTCAGGAAATGGGATCCAACGTGGAGCTGGTATGGCCAGAGTCAGAGGCATATTCCTCACGGGTGAACAACTGCTCACATGAAAATTCATCCCTAGCTGTAATTCGAGCGAAGTTGAGTGCCGAACAATTAGAACAATTCAAGACATCATGCTTTGGCCATCTTCTGAATATAGATAAGATTCAGTTTAGCGGGCAGATTGTGCATGGGGTTGTGTTGCGTAGAGTAGCGGGGCAGGGTGTGAAAGACTTGGATGGACTGAGTTTCTTAATAGGGTGCGACGTTGCTCAGTTCACTCGTCAGGATTTCTGTTTGATCTCAGGGCTTCGTTTTGGGGAAGTGCCTGAAGTTTCCAGTGGAGAAAGTGATGAAATTAGACTTCAGGAAAGATATTTTATAGACGAAGGAATTACATGTAATGCTTTAGAAGAAGCATTTTTGAGGTGCACAGAGGGAGATGACGTCTACAAGCTAGCTCTTGTTTACTTTGCTGAGTTAGTGGTTTTGGGAAGGGACAAACATTTGAACATCAATCTAAATTACCTGACCCTTGTAGAGGACTTGGATGCGTTCAACAGGTATCCATGGGGTTCGGTGTCGTTTGACAAAACCCAAGACAGTCTGTTTTCTGCACCAACAAAGTATGTGAAAAGCTTTGAAAATGAAGAGGGAAGAGGGAAGGGGAAAAGTAAGGTAACCGGAACAAGGCGGAGAAATGAGAAGGGCAAGAAGGATAACCATGGTGAAGTGCAAAGGGGTGGCTGGAGTTTTAAAGGTTTCACGTATGCTTTCCAGGTACATGGTAATAATGTTCATGTCGTTATGTTTTGTTGACTTTAAAACTTAAATAATAACTTGTGTCCTGTGAATTGTGTAGATTTGGGTATATGAATTAATTCCTAGAATGTCGAACCTGAATTACTGCAAGGTTGTTGATCCGACAGCTCTCCCGCGTATTTTGCGATGGAGAACTACTACGTCTGTTCCCGAGATGAGAAAGTTGAACAATTATTTTTTCCAGAGCAAAGAGGTTTGGTTTGCAGCCCTTGGAACTATTTATAAGATTCAATGAAATTATGAAGTAGAATGATTGCATATGACTCTTGTCTGTTTTCTGAAACAGTCAATTCAGTTGCGGGCGCTATGTCCAAGTGAAGAGGAAATGAGACAACCATATTGGAGTTGGCCACAGGGTCGCCCTGCTGTTGTCTCGGCAGAGTCAATTCCTTCTTCATGTGCTGACCTTGATGAGTTGAACAAGGCGGTAAGCTTGTTGAGGTCCGAGTTGAAGGATGGAAAAAATTTTGGACCACTGTTTAGGTCCTCATTTTGAGCAGGAAGTGAGAAGGGACATAGCTTTACTGAAAGAGAGGACGAATCGTTGTGTCGTGTCACATCTATTAGGGGATATGAGGAAGTGGATGGTATGCAATGGGATGAAGGGCCAAGTAATAGAAATGAGGGAGAGGAAAATGAAGAGGAGGACATTGAAAGGGGTGAAGGGCCAAATAACAGAAATGAGGGAGAGGAAAAGGAAGAGGAGGGGATTGAAAGGGGTGAAGGGGCAAGTAAGACAAATGAGGGAGAGGAAAAGGAAGAGGAGGGGATTGAAGGGGGTGAAGTGCCAAGTAAGAGAAATGAGGGAGAGGAAAAGGAAGAGGAGGGGATTAAAGGGGGTGAAGTGCAAAGAAAACCAAGGGAGGTAGAGGAAGCTCAAAGGAAAAGAAGTGAGGGAGAGCAAGTGAAAATAAAAAGCAGCAAAGGAGAGGAAGCGCAAAGAAAGAGCATTGAGGGAGAGGAAGAACTGCAAAGAAAAAGCAGTGAGGGAGAGGATCCGCAAAAAAAAAGAAGGAAGGGCAAGGAAGTGAAAACACAGAGAAGTGAGGAAAGGGAAGTGCAAAGAAACCAATGTGAGGAAGAAGATGATGAAGTTGTGTTGGTTGGCGATGACATTGGCAAGAGCACGGAGAGGACAAAGGTTGAGTTTACTCTCGGGGACATTGATTTGGATCAACCTACAGCTGTGTTATCTCAGTTGAACGTTTGGTTGAATGATGAAGGTCAAGGTGTGGAACGAGGGGTCCAATTACGGAAGAGGAAGAGGATTATTTCTATGTGGAAGATCGTTGAAGCTAGTGAAGTGGTTCAAAAAAAATTTGCCAAAGACAACCCGACTTCGGACGTTAGACCCAATGAAGGCGATTCCGCATGATGATATGGTGAAATTGCTGAAACTTTGTTGGGAATGGCGCCATAAGCCAAAGTAAGTCCTTTGTTTTTTGAGATAGAAGGCATGAGTGTATATATTTTTTTAATTGTTGTGTTCTAAAACTTTTTATATTCATAATTTGGTGATGCAATTTGGCAACGTGGAAGCTGAGATTGAATTCTTCGCTTCCCTCGTCAAAGCTGACGGTTGGCTGAAAGGAGATGTAAGTTTAATTGATTATGCATTTGTTTGAATGTGCATAGATTATGAGATTGACAAGGAAAACATGTGCAGCACATTGATTTGGGCTTGTATCTCATCCGGAAGCGACAACAACAGTTGGAGGAAGTAGAAATATCGGATTGGACAACGACCGATGTATTTTTTATGGTATGTGATGCAGGATGCATAGGACCTAAATTGTTTAGTTTCCTAATTGATTTGTTAGTTTCCTATATTCTTTAGTTTTCCAAATCCTATTAGGATTTCTAAGTTAGTTTTCCAAATCCTATTAGGATTTCTAAGTTTCCTATTTTATTAGGAATAGGATTTCTGTTTTACCTGGGGATTTTAATTCTATTGTCCCTAGGTTTTAGTTTGCTATAAATACCCCTATGTAGTTCTTTACAATTCAGATTTGAATATTGATTAAACATTCCTTTAAACTCTCTGATTTCTGCCTGCCTTCTACCTTTTCTTCCCTTCAGCTTTTCTTATCTATTCTGTCTTATTGCTCTAAGTGTTTAAACTAACACACCCAGGGCTGTGCTACATCAGTATGGCATAGGCCTTGACCAAGTGCAGTTAATAATTACAAATTATCCATACTTGCTTTGTGGAGGTGTTTAACCATTGATTGTTTTCTATTTCACAGAATCACATCCATACTTGCTTTGCGGATAATAAAAGGAAAAAAGAGCAAGTTGGGTGGAAAATTAGAAGCAGTTTAGTGAACGTTGTAAATGGCAAGGTTCCGGCGTGTGGATTGGATTGGCAGAACACGTATAAGGTGTATGTACCTTGTATGTTGCCAAAATATAAGCATTGGGTGGCTCTAGAGATTGATCTGATTCAGTGTGAAATCAAAGTCTACGATTCAATGGTTTCACTCATTCCAGATCAGAGCTTAAAGGAAGAACTTGCCCCCCTTTCAATTACGATTCCAAATCTTCTGAACACCCTTGACTTTTATGAAGAAGGTGTTTACGCGAACGAGTGCACCCGAGATTGGTGGTGTCCATGGCCAATACATCGTGTGGATGTTCCACAACAGGCTAATCAGTGAGCACAACTTTTTATTTAATTTTATTACTTTAATTTGTCAATTACGTGAGAATGTCATTAGTTGAATTGATCGAGTTCTTGTTTTGCTTCAGAGGCGATTGTGGTATGTTTGTGTTGAAGTACATTGAGCTGTTGAGTGCTGAGATTTCCTTAGCTACTTGCACCTCGCAGAACATGCCATTTTTTTGGTTGAAGTTGGCTGCAGAAATTGCACGGGGAGATGCTTACATGCCATGATATCGGTTGAACTTGGTTTAGGCACATGATGATTAAATAGGTTTTGGGAATGTCCAATTTCAAAGTCATGTAAATACACAATAGAGACCCACGGGTCCTTTTCGAATTCTACCTCTGCTCCTGAATTCTTCTTCGTCTTTCTCAATCTTAGTGTATTTGTGTACAGAAATTTAGATTTAAGTTATTGGACAATAACAATTAGAACCAAAATAGTGGCAAATATTATAGCGGATGCATGCTTTCATTTCGATTAGTGTGATATTACGCTATGTTTATTCTCATATTGTGCGAAATGTATATGGAGCTGGATGCAGAGCATAGAAAAATGAAGAATCTGAAATGGAGATGCTGAGGGTTGGTGAGGAGAAAAGTAAATGGATCTGTAAATCTATTGCACGTGGGCAATCTAAATGGATAGGCAGATGCGTTTTTGAAGTTAGACACATGCCATTCCCATACATAGAATGTGCATATGGAGTGTAAAGTTTTTTTTGATGTAATGAAACAAACATCGGTGTAATATTGGCCTAACTCCTTCACGACATTTACCTAACCTCAACCAAACTGCATTGAATTGGGATTTGAAGACTGCATATGTGAATTGGGATTTGAAGAATGCTTATTCAATAGGACTGATGGCTTTTTAAGTGTATTACATCATTGCAAAGTGATATGTCATCATTTATCCAAGCCACCATTCCAAATATCATATCCCAATCTTTAAGCCGTTCAACATGCCTTGACTTAATCGCAATGGGTTGCATCTTAATAAGGTAATTCTGTAAGGGGAATAGGCGGCTATGGCCTCGCCTCCAATATTTTATTCAACCATGCCCTCTTTATAGAAACACATGAAAAAATGTCCCCAGGTGCAATGCTCTAGAAACTCCCTATTGGTTCCGCACTGCCCCTCGGGTTTGAATCCCTTTCTCCTTTATAATCGGTTAATAAATTGGTTGATTTTCTTTATTTTATTGGTTTTGGGCAGCTGAGTAGCATAAAAATAATGTATATTGGTGCGTCTATATTGCATGTCTGTTGGGTCTATATTGCTTGTCTATTGCGTGCATATCTTACATTTATTGCGTTTGTATTGATTTGTATTGCTTACGAAGGAAATAAATAACAATACACAGGCAACAGACAAGCAATATACACGCAATAGACATGAAATATACACGCAATAGACATGCAATATACATCAGTCCCCAATTACATCAACCATAAGGAAGTCGTATTGAATAGGAAATTCTACTTAACAGTTGTTCTTCCTACTAAAACAAAGAATAAGGACCGTTTCCCCCCTTAAATCTAACTTGAGTCCTACTTTTGCCCCCAATAAACATGCAATATTGGAGCAATAACATGCGATATACATGCAGTAAACACTCAATCAACTTTCAATAAACCTTCAATATCGGTTCAATAACATGCGAAATACATGCAGTTAACAATCATTAAACCTTCACGAAACATGTAAACAATCAATAAACCTTCAATAAACACTCAATATCGGAGTAATAACATGCGAAATACATGCAGTTAATAAACCTTCAATAAACATTCAATATCATGCGATTTACATGCAGTAAACAATCAATAAACAATCTATATACACTGAATAATTATGCAATCTTCAAAAAAAGGTATTGTCTTATTATTGCATCGTATTGGCCCTGTATTGTCATTTTATCGTCTTCGTATGACTTTATTTTTTTAAAGTAAGTCTAGGAAAGTTTTTACTGGGTTTCAGACAAATAAATGCTTTTGTTTCAAACAATAATTTAAACTCAATGCCAATCCACCTATTTGAAGAACAAAAATTACAAATTGGGTTTGAAAAGTCATTGGTGGTGCGTGCAACATGTGTTTTTGGGGAGAACTTTTACAATCCTTGAAACCGTGCACTTAATTGGTCATTAAAAGAACAAATAATATGACAATTGATACAACTAATAAAACTAATACCAAGTCCTTAATGGACTTCAGCATATTAAGCACTGTAGCATCATACGTGTCAGCTTGCTGATCTGCTTCAGCGGAGGTTACATCAACCCATTCGAATCCATTGCAACTTGTGGCTCCCTAATTGCAGGCATCATATATGCAAAATAATTCTGTCAGAGTTAGACCTAGGTTTTTTTTTCACCCACATACATATTCTGGAAATGAAAACTTACATAGGAGGTTAGACACTTCCAAAATGGCTTCCCTTGATTTTTATCTGATTTTGAAACCCGAAGCACCATTGCAGCTCCACAATACTGACACCTCTTTGTTTGAGCGGGAGATGAAGACGAAGACATGTTGAATCTTCTCACTTGTACCTCTTCTCACTCAGATCTTCTCACTGAAACCTCTTCGGACTCATACCTTCTCAGTCATACCCCTTCACTCATAACCCTAAACTTCTCACTCAGCTCTCTCTCGTCTCTGCCCAAATCGAATTATATCCTTCTTTTCTGTGTGTGGGTGGGTTGGTCACGATCTGGACACCTGTACCGTCAGAATTATGACACCTTTCATTAAGGCAACTAGTTGGATAAGAATCCGTCATTTACTAGGGGTAATGTGGTGTGGGAAAATGAAAAAGTATCTGATGGGACCTTCTGTCACTAGTCAGTAATCCATCACATTTGTATCAATGAATTTAATGGCGGGAAAAGCCTAACAATGGCTATGGAAATAGGTTATTAATTGACTTTTGGACGATCTGACTCCCTTTGCATTTCGACGACGTTTTCCCTTCGCCTGTCTTATGTTTTGGGTGTTGGGTTCAGTTTCTTTAAAAAGGGTCAACTTAGAAAAACCCCAAGGAAACACCTTTTCAAAACAGTGCAAACAGAGGCTAAAACAAACCCAAAACCCCATATATTCTCATTTCTCCTCTCTTGTAGTCCTCAAATTGTTCCATTCCAAAAATATTTCAATGAATTCGAAACATTACACTACAGTCGGAGGAAAGAGAAGGAAGCATCTCCATCTGGATGTGCCTCAAGCCTTCATCCTAGAATTAGCTTGGTTTAAAGTGATGTTATATGTGGCAACCCAATCATCGGAAGATCTCTTTCGTATGGCATCTGTGTGCCCATTGTTCAATACGTTGGGAAACACTCCACAAGTGTGGAACACCATTTCAATGGAAAAGTACCAACACCATCCTAACTGGTACTATGCCTCAACGCAGGTCCGGCATTTCGTGGAACAATGCAGGGCTTGCGAGAACCCTGAGGCGATATTAGAGAAGCGTTCGACGCGTTTTTCAGGCACGGTAATGTGGAACCATTGTCTGGGATGCGCGTTGCAGCCATGGCAGGCCATATGGAAGCGGCATATCTAGTTGGACTACTTGGCATGTCCGGAATTGGTCAGTCAAAAGAGGATGCATTAGAATTCTTGTGTTCTTTGAATCAACGTAACAACATTGATATGAAAGGAACCAGGGATGCTTTGAGACGAAGATTAAGAGGAATTTTCTCTGTTGGAAGACATATCGTAGATATGTTTCACTATGGGAAGATTAAGTTCAATCAGTGCAGCGCTTGTAACAACAATGACTGGTGTTTTGTTATTCCTGGCTGGCCTAGTGAAGAAAAGATCAATCCTGCCTTCTGGACTTGTTGCAATCGATGCAAATGGCACCGTGAGAGTGTTTTTTGGTTCAAGGTGAGGCGTGTCTATGTTGTGCCAGGGAATTCATACCCTTATAATTAGTTGTAGTATGTTTCTACGGTTTTTATGCGTGTCTATGTTCTACAAATGTTGTTTTCTATTTCATGTTTTAATCTATTTTGTCTGGTGTTTGTGCTTTCCTAAACCGTTTTATATATAAATGTATAATATATGTCATATAGTGGAATTATTACTGACATAATTGACGGCTACGAATGACATTTTACTGACACATATATTTTGCACAACTGCAATGTTAATATTTGGTAAACGAAAACGCATGCATGAAGTGAGTATGTGTCTTTTCACCGGTTCTTGGGAATGACATTTTCCCACTTAGCATATCCCAAATGATTTGGTGACACGTTTCTTAAGCAAAACTTGAACAGTGAAATACTTTGAATAATTATTTCCTGATGTTGTAGAATGGATGGCTTGTATATTTCCATTTTATGTTTGAAAACATCCCTTAAACCTAAAAAAGAAAAAACATTAACAAATTGAAGGAGAGAAACTGATTAGCACCAAAAATTGTCTATTTGCACGGAAAATAAAAATAAAAATAAAAATTTGGAGTAAATATAATTAACAAATGTACAAGCTAAAAAGTAATATAACAATAATAATACAAATAATTTAGGATAAATAATAATAAAATACTAATATAGCATAACCATGAAACAGGGAATTCAGGAGGAAGATGAAGTCTCAATGAGCTCGTAGCAATTTTCGGAACATTATTGTGATTTTTGTGTATTTAGTTATGAATTTTCTAAGAAAAAGTCATAAAATAATAATTTAGGGTAGCAATTTTCGGAACATTATTGTGATTTTTGTGTATTTAGTTATGAATTTTCTAAGAAAAAGTAATAAAATAATAATTTAGGGTAAAAGGTAAGGATGTGGCTATGTTGACTGACGCACACTTGTCAAGGGGTGAAAGGTGAGGGGCTGAGATCGCGCCAGGTGTCCATTTGGCAATTATTTTGGCTTTTTTAGTGCAAAAATATTTGAAAAAATGCAATAAATAGAAGAAAAATCCTAAAAATGCCCCGACAAATACTCCGGCCTCCTTGTGACGTTATAAAACTAGGGAACCCATAAATCATCCATTTCGCAATTAAAAATTCAAAAATTGTTTACATAACTCACTTTCCTCTTAACCATAAGTATATATGTTTGTTAACTTTAACTTCAATAACCTACTTCAACAAGCTTCTCCCGTTAATGTTCGGACCTGTTTTTTAAAATGCGTAACCACGAATCGGGGAATTCAGCAAGGGAGATGGAGTCTCAATGAGCTCGTAGCAATTTTCGGATCATTTTTCTGATTTTTGTGTATTTAGTTATGAATTTTCTAAGAAAAAGTAATAAAATAATAATTTAGGGTAAAAGGTAAGGATGTGGCCATGTTGATTGACGCACACTTGTCAAGGGGTGAAAGGTGAGGGGGTGAGATCGCGCCAGGTGTCCATTTGGCAATTATTTTGGCTTTTTTAGTGCAAAAATCTTTGAAAAAATGAAATAAATAGTAGAAAAATCCTAAAAATGCCCCAGAAAATACTCCGGCCTCCTTGTGACGTTATAAAACTATGGAACCCATAAATCATCCATTTCGCAATTAAAAATTCAAAATTGTTTACATAACTCACTTTCCTCTTAACCCTAAGTATATATGTTTGTTAACTTTAACTTCAATAACCTACTTCAACAAGCATCTCCCGTTAATGTTCGGAACTGCTTTTTAAAATACGTAACCACGAATCGGGGAATTCAGCAAGGGAGATGGAGTCTCAATGAGTTCGTAGCAATGTTCGAATCATTTTTCTGATTTTTGTGTATTTAGTTATGAATTTTCTAAGAAAAAGTAATAAAATAATAATTTAGGGTAAAAGGTAAGGATGTGGCCATGTTGACTGACGCACACTTGTCAAGGGGTGAAAGGTGAGGGGCTGAGATCGCGCCAGGTGTCCATTTGGCAATTATTTTGGCTTTTTTAGTGCAAAAATCTTTGAAAAAATGCAATAAATAGTAGAAAAATCCTAAAAATGCCCTGAAAAATACTCCGGCCTCCTTGTGACGTTATAAAACTATGGAACCCATAAATCATTCGCAATTACAAATTCAAAAATTGTTTACATAACTCACTTTCCTCTTAACCCTAAGTATATATGTTTGTCACTTTAACAACTATATTTCCTTAATATTCGTTATATAATTTGTAATAATACAAGAATTAGTTTCCTTTCATATATAAGGATGTAAAATTATCTGTTTTGGTTATAATAATATACATATATATTAAATGCATCACTACTTCGAAGCCATCATTGGAACTGCGCATGCGCCTAGAGCTTTGAAGACGTCAGAGATATTCAATAAGGTGTCCATATGCACCTGCACCTAGAGTTTTGAACACGTCGGCGGTATTCAATAAGTTGTCAATATGACGCTGCATTGGGAATCAGTAATATATTTTCTATCATGTCCAATGTCATAAACATATAATATAAAGAAATAAAGCAATAGTAGGAGATGAACCAGTACAAAAAACAATATATAACTTGTACAAAATAATGCCATAACCTTGTCACAAAAGCACTCACACATGCTTTTCCATAAACCTTGCCCTAACATATAATACAAAAAACAATATATAACTGGTACAAAATAATGCCATAACCTTGTCACAAAAGCACTCACACATGCTTTTCCATAAACTTTTCCCTAACAAATAATACATAAAGGCAACATTGCATATGATGCGACCATGTCCAAATCTGATACGTGATCACAAAAAAATGGACATGGCAGCAACATATGACTGAAGTAGATGGGCACTTTTTATCGTGTTATCGTAATTAAAGACATCAAAATATTAAGGTTGAAATCTTCTATAGTAGTAAGCATCAAAATGGGTTTGAAGCAGAGTTTAACGAAAATTCCAATTCCTCTGATTTGCCTCTACTCAAACACGATAACCAAAATGGTTACTTCCCTTGCTGAGTATATTTGTTAACATCGGAAACGGTAATAGATGACCAATCAAACCCGGGTACGACGAGTTTTGCATAAGACCGGAAGTAGTCGAATCCAGCTTGCATCACACGCTTCTTTGACTCCATTGCATTAGATGAGTTCTTGTATTTTTGAACAGCTACACTCCGAAGTCGTTTGTGTCTACGCTTCATGCGCTTCAACTTCGCCCTATCCAAATTGGCCTGCCTTTTGTCATCTTCAATTTGGCCTTCAACAAATTCCAAACGTGCCCTTGCCCTTTGGATTTCATCACCAAGTTGAAGATGCCTCTCCTTCCAGAAAGCAAGAACTCTTTCAGACTCAAAACTTCCAACAAAATGGTCATTCTGGCTAGGAATGTGACATTGCTTGTCTGGTGACTCACTTGTGTTTCGAAGGCGGTCTTTGTTTGGAGGGGTGTTTATTATGCTCACATCAAACTTGGTTAGTAAATCCATTCAATGGGGGGAGAGAGTTTCTATGGAGGACAGAGTTTCAGTAGATGGAGACAGATTCGGTGGAGGAGTGAGTTTTTTGTGGATGGAGAATTTCTATGAAGGGGGTGATACTAATACCAATAAAAAAGGGTTCCTGCCAAAAAAAACATTTGGTTGACAATGTATAAATTAAAAAAGGTCTCATACAATCTAAGTTTAATCCTAACTAGTTTGGTTAGTTTGGTTGGGTTCACTAACTAGATGTCACTTCCATTGAGTTTCTTTCAACCACTAACAGTGGTGTAATGAGAGTGTGAGGTTGACATGCTTGAAAAGCAAAACCTGACACCTCTTTTTTTAAAATTGAAATAAAGTACATATGTTGACTACACGCAAGCTTTGGTATGTTGGTCTATAAAGCTATGTTCCATTTCTCAAACGAAATTGCATATGCAATCCTCATCATCTAAAACAAATAGGATTATTCAAGCATGTCAACCTCTTTAGGCGCCAACAACACAATCGAAGATGAAAAATTGGAGTCACAGGTTCCATTTCCACGTTGTACTCGCGGACCCCTTCCATTTTCAACACATTTGGGAGTGAGGGGGACTCCGATGATCCATTAGAGGCAATAGATGCAGTCAGTACCAAGCTGGATTATAATTCCAGACTGATCAATTCATGGCACGAGAAATGTGTTGAAGACGAGGCCATTTTGGCTGATCTTAACATTAGAGTGAACAAAGCGTTCTCCCAAAAGAACAAGTACTTGAAGCTAAGTCATAAAAGGAAGCTGAAAGCTGAGGAGTTGGATACAGTAATGAATGATGAAATTAAAGGTTGTTTGATGAACCATATGCGATGCGAAGAGCACCACAGTGAACTGGAGTTGGCATTCAACGAAGGATTCGAAAAATTCCGAGCATTCGCGGCAACTACTCATACAAGTTATAATTGGGACTATGTGTCCCCTGATGCTGTGAGAGAGATACTAGACGATGGTGGTGACATGAATGAGCATAAGCACGTCAAAGCTGCTCGGAAGAAGCCGACCGATATGACTAAGTGATTGCGGCTACAGCTGTTCTGTTGGTTGGGGGTGATCGTGGTATTGCACAAATTAGAAGGATATTCCCTTAATGTCATTATGTAATATAAAATAATACAAATATCAGTTTCATTTGCTTCATATATAATTATTGGGACTATATCTTGCAAGTCGTCATGTGTTCCTTCTGTCTAACATTATATTTAGGCCATATGGAAATATTATTCAATAAGCAGTCAATATCACAGCACGTTGGGAATCAGTAAAGCCCCATTATCATGACACGTGAGTCATAAGTAAAATATCATGTGCTATACATTGTTTAGTGAATGGTTTATGGTTTATGTATATATAATAAAATTCCAAATATTGCTGAATATTTATTTTGTCTATATCACTGGGGACATGAGTGACCATAAGCACGTGAGACCTGCTAAGAAGAAGCTGACCAATACGACCTAGTGATTGTGGCTACCGTTGTTCAGTTGATTGGGGAGATCGTGGTATTGCTAAGAGGGAGCACATAAAATGCTTTGCAATCAAATTTTCTTTTGTGTGTGGAATTATGAGTAGTTCAAATGTTAGTGTACCCTTTAATATTATCCAACCATTCGAAATGTGATTAGTTGCAATGTACTTTTTTACACGTTGCTTTCTAATCTTTCTGTTCCAACAAAGTGCTTCAAGTATCCTTCAGTTACGAATGTTTGCAAAATCGTGCACCTAATAACCAGTCGAGCTCAGATCTTAATCACCAATAAAACACTAGAACATAACATTCGCAAAAAGTGGGTGCTGCTAGAAATGATGCGTGCTGCTGGAAATCATTACTGGTAATGGAAACAACAGCTGGCTGCTGGAAATGCTGCATTAGCCTGTCATATAATCAATGAATCTCTGTTAAAACATAATTCACCATAAACTACCCATTTTACAAGGTAAAAGTCATTGCTTCTTCACATAAATCAAAATTTGATGCTTTATCTAATGTCTATGAAAATTTCTAAATAGGGAGAAGACGTAAAATTAACATGTGTCCAAATTTCATGCAAGAATGAAACCAAGCAAATTTTCATTTCAATTATCAATGGACATAGTAAGAGCTCATCGGTGGACATGAACAAAAAAATAATAATAATAAAACTGCATCTAGAAAACTTCACCTGATCATTAGTCTTCATAATAACCGGGCTTCGTATAATAGAAACCTAAATCATTGAGTTGGTCCGTGCATCCTGTAAAATTCGTCGAATAATGGGTCACTAAGATCTATTGGAGTTGATTCGTCATTGTTCGACGGTGATGTCCTGCATAAACATCAAACAGAAGCACATAAGAACTTTACCTATTCAAATTTTAGGTCTTATTATAAATAGTGTTAACATCTTACGGTGTGTTCAAATTTCTTGGGCATTGTCTTCTATCATGACCAATGTGTCCACACTCCCAACAGTGTCTAATCCCTCGCTTCATTGCCTTTTCCTTTGCTCCTGTTACTCGTTTCGACCCTCCATTGCACCTTACTCTCTTAGGGTCTTTCATATATTGTGTTTGAGAGCTGGACCCTCAAACTTCGTTATTACTTGGTCCATCCTTCAACAACTTCAACTTCACCCGCAAACTTTTTAGAGTCTCTGACAGTAGCTCACATCCTTCTTTACACATTAATGCATCCTCAACCACATCTGAAGCAAGTCGGGACATTGTACTCCGCTTTATTAAAAGAACAGGATCTGCAGAGTCTTTAATTTCGTTGCCATTTGCATCTGACACCAATCCAAATTTCCCAGTTTTCTTCCACCTCTTCAAAATGTATTTATCGGGCATATATTCAATCTGGTCCCTTCTGAACAATGCTAGGATGTGCTTGCAAATAATTCCAACAAATTCAAATCTTTTGCAGCTACACGATGCGTGGTCAGAATCTTTGACATATACGACTTTTGCCACTCTTGTTTCCCAATTTTTCCTTTCGCTCACATTAAAGACAACTTTAGAAGCATCCTCTGTTTTCAGTCTAGGAAACATGCTGTACTTTGTATTAGTTCTTGCTCAAACTTTTGAAACATTGTCCTTGTGTACAAGGTAGCCATTTGTTTGTTAATTGGCATCGGTAGAATACATTGAGCCACTTCAAATGCATCTACGTGATCAGCAACTAACTCTTTTTGACGTTGATGAGAAAGTGCCCTCTCAAATCTTATTATGAAATCCATCAACGAATTTCTCCTTGATATGTATTGCTTGAAGAAACCATGAGAACATTCCGCTCTTTGGCTGCTTGACATTCCAGCGGCAAAAAAGTGTCGTGCGTAGGCTGGAACCCAAGATTCCCTTAAATCAAACATTGAACTTAGCCATGGATGGTCAATCAAACCAGCCTTTGTAACCACAATATTCCATTTTGCATCAAACTCATCCTTATTGTCAGTATCCCATATGGCTTTCTGGAATTCACCCCAATACTCCTTATAAGCAGAATGTGGTAACTTAACAGAAAACTTTGATGTGATGTGCCATATGCAAAGTCGATGAAATGTAGTCGGGAAGGCTATTGAAATCGCTCTGCTCATTGCCGCATCTTGATCTGTAATGATCGTTTTAGGTTCGCCACCTGGCATGGCTTTCTTAAACTCCTCAAACATCCAAATAAACGACTCAGTCGTTTCCTTGCTCAAAAATGCGCATGCTAGGACAATTGTTTGACCATGGTTATTAACTCCCAACATTTGTGCAAATGTCAAGTCGTATCTATTCGTGTTGAATGTGGTATCGAATACAACAACATCCCCATAAAACCCGTACGCCCGTCTAGAAGTTGCATCTGCCCAAAAACATCGACTAAACCTGTTATCGCCATCTCCCTCAATCTTGAAATAAAAAGCCTAATTTTTTTTCTGTTCAGCCATAAAATACTCGGTCACTAGTTCAACATCGTGGTTCCTCATCTTCCCATTCACACTACATTCAAGATTGTAGATATCCTTTTTGATAAAACCGATTTTATCCATTCCTCCGGATTGCACCTCGAAAATACTTACCTTCTGATTAATGGGAATATTAACCGAACCCAACTGTTTTGTGAGTACTTTTGTAGAATCTGAAATACGACGGTGTGATCTCAGTAAATGCATTCTTCCTGAGGGTGTCATCTTATGATTGTGTCCCTCTGCAAAAAGAGAGATGGTATACTTCTTGCTCCCATCTGTCTTTTTCTCTCCCAAGTTTCATCCTTCCGGTATGCACCTTGTTTGCAACATACAAATTCTTTTCTCAGAATCTCTTTCTTATTTTTCCCCCAAAAGCTGGAATGAAGTCGAATACCAAAGCCAGCCAAGAATGCATATCTATTATAGAAATTATAAACGAGGTCAAGCGAGTCGAACTTCATCCCAACTGCTGGTGTTTCCTCATTTCTTACTTCAGGAATGTAAACCCTCCCATTAGCTGTTACAGAGTCATCACTCTCTGAGCCCCCAGACATTTTATCCACGTATATTATTGATCTACTTCTATATTACTGCATAGCAAATGTTAATTCATTAATCAATCATTACTGCATCACAACTTATCAATGCATTCCACTTACACAAAACATTGCCCAAATTGACACAATACACGCATAGCCTAGCTTGTTGGATTTTGATTACATAAAACACAAGCAAAATTTAATAATAGTTACATCATCTCTTGTGAAATAATCTGGAAAAAATAACATTAGAACCAACATGTTCAACTAAGAACTCAAATGTAATTCAAACCAGCAATTACAGAACTTCACCCAATATCCTCTCCAAATGCTTACTCCTAATGCCATTAAGCCTAAGTTTAGGATCTTCTACCTACATTTCATAATTTTCCAACCCCCCTCCAAAAAAAAATAATCAACTAAGTATATTGAATATTCATAAGGAAATGGCGCATTATTGATAGCAGAGCAAATGACGCATTATTGATGCCACAAATGACAATTTCTCACCCTCACAAAAAACAAATCAAACCCAACAAAATCAATCTAGCAAGAGTGAACTTACCTCTCAAAGTCAATCGGGAGCTCCGAAGTCAGTCAGCTTGAGTGAATGTGGTGGACATTAGAGAGGATTCTTTCGTAGCGGAGACTCCATCTCTACCAAAATCGAGGAACAACTGCAGCAGCACGAAAAAGAGATATGCTACTTTGCTTTCATCTGGAATCTCTTCTGCTGAACGAAAAAGATAAGGGGTTTTCACTTGAATCATAGAATCAAAACAGGGCAATAGCTAGGTAAAAACCATTAATCGTCATACCGAGGATACCATAGATCGCAGGCCTCCCAAGAAGCTGATGACAATGGAGCGATTATAGAGTTTGGGAACTTTGGATCTTTCTAATTGTGGATTTGCATTACATTAAAAAATAGAGGATTCTGTTCTTGATTTTTTCACAGAGAGGGAAAAATCTTCAGCTGAAGTTGGGTTTCCAAACGGGTCAGATTTCAACCCGATTCTACATGCACCCTCTTTTAAAAACTCACCGTTGGATGAAATCCAACGGCTCTTACATACCCCTCAAAAAAACCCCTTATAACTTTCCACTCACTATAGAAGCACTCCAATGTTTGTACCATATTTTGGAAATGGACCACAAATGGTCTATTTCTCAAAGTAATATGTCTTAAGGCCTAGGCCCAGCACCCTTTCCTTCTTAAAAATACCAAAGGGCCCTTTTTTGCTTTGCGGGCTATCAATAGATAAAAGAAATTAATAAAAAGCCCACAAAAATAGGAACCCCAGACCTTTGAGTCATACTAAAGTTAAAAAGATCGGTAATCGTTACGCATTGACCCACGTGAGGGTCTGAAGGAGATTGTCACCATTAATGACGACTTGACCTCCTTCTTGCCCAGCAAGGAAACATGCTGTACAAAAGCCACCATAACTAGAAATAGCCGAACTGCCAACCAGACTTCCAAGTACAATGGATTCAAGTCAGAAGGCTATCACAAAAGACCAGCAGTTTTTGTCAGAAACATCCCATTGTCCCACCTATGAACTAGTTCATATCAGTGGATTAACAGCTGACTTTGGATAAGCAGCCAAATATCATCTTTCAGCATTCATCATTGAAGCTCTCTCCTTATCTATAAATAAAGAGCCTCCGCCATAGAAGAAGAGGACTCTCTCTCCAAACTAGACGCAACATCTCAAAATTACTTGAAGAACTCAAGATCTTTTCAAACCAACTTGCTTAATTCCCAGATAACTAGTTGACTACTCCTGCATTTATTTTTGTTGCTCTGCCATCTTCATGGTATGATTTTCTTTTAAAATGATCAGTTTGAATTCATGCACTTGTCTGACTAGATAGAGAAATCTCCAGCTCTTCCTTGCTTTATAATTTATATTTCGAATTAGCCAAATGGATAAATTAAGAACTCTTATCTCCCTTTTGCTGTCAAGTTAAAATTAGATAAAGAGATTTCAAAATTTATTTTAACTGTTTCCTTAAGGACTTGTCATTTAATCGAGTATATATATATATATATATATATATATATATATACAGAGAGCTTCCATTGAGGGATCTCTCAAATAAGCTTATTTGAGGGACACCTCTTGTAGGCCCCACTCCGGATTGTATTTCACTATCCAAACCGTCTATTTTGTACATACTCATTCAAAGATCATCTCTACAAAAAATTACTTGAATCCGATATCATTTGACCACTCATTTGAGTTATAGAAATTTTAGTATTTTCTTGAAGTATTGTGTTCATTGATTTTGTAAGACACAATTGGATGTCGAAACGGTTTCCGATTTGTCTAATTTTTTGTAAGGATGATCTATGAATGAAGACTTTAAAAATAGATGATTTGGATCATTGGGAAAAAATTTGTAGGGTACCCTAAATGGCGTCCCTCAAATAAAATTATTTGAGGGATCCCTCAATAGAAGGGGACTGTATATATATATATATTATAAATGCTTGGGTAGATTAATTTAATTTCCTGCTTTCGCACCATTTACACCAGGTCTATTGGGCTGGTCTCATACCCAATAGATGCACGCCTATGCGGTTCCTATTAGAGGCATAAAGAAAAATAGAAGTTTAAATTAATTATTTATATGCAAACTAAAACTGAAAAGGTAATTTCCTTGAAGAGGAAATTCTTGAACCCCATGTCCAACAATCTGTTGCACTTGTGAACCTCCACTTGAGAAATCAATTTCCTACAAACAGGTTTTTGACAGAAAAAAAAAAATCAAAAAAATTCATAAGTGTATAAAGTACTATGCACTTAGTATATTCACAGTGTCAGTATATATGGAGTTACCTGCATTGTTATTTGTCATCTTGCAGAAGCTTTTGGTGATGTCTTCTGTCTTTTTCGTTCAAGGGGTCCTTCAATCGATTGCGTGGGCGTCCAACTGTAGCCTTTCTTTTAACTCCAGTTACGATTGGTGTAGCAGAATTAGTTTGCTCAACCACTCTGTCAACATGTTGATTTCCACCAAAAAGATTTGTCTTTATTTCCTCTAAACCTTTGAGGATCTCAATGGAGCATTATAGAATAGTACCGTATCACCACGTCAGCTGGTGATACTTCCACTCAAAATACACCATATGTCAATCTTTTTTTAAATAAATTTAATTTTTTTTACAAGCTGTATTTAAAATTCATTATTACATTTAGAATAACATTTTAGAAAGACAAAAAACAAAAGACGCCATAACCACCTCCCTCCCACCCCAACCCAACCCAGTTTCCCCACTCCCACTGCTTGCCGCCCCGTCCCTCTCTCTCCATAAAAATCTGCAAGATCTCTTAAACCATGGGAGCAGAAAAAAAAACCAATATCATATATTCTAAGTTTGTCAGGAGTATCCATCACTTAAACCCAGTTCGAAAAAAATCTAAATCTTCAAGTTGGGTTTTCATTTTCAAGCATAGCTCAAGAAAAAAAAGTAAACTGTAAACTGGGTTGGTGATTTTTTTCTTAATATGAATCAGGAAGTGAGTGATGGAGGAGGAGGAGAAGGAGAATCTTAATCCCTTTGGTAATATTGTGGAGAAAAATCAGAGCCCAAAAAAAAAGGTGTTATGATGCTCTCTACACGTCGATCCAATGAAATAGAGATATGGTTGTTGTTTATGGAATAGAGAGATGGACGGAGGAAGAAAATGATAGGGGGGGGGCGCGTCAGTCAAGGGAGCCAGGGTTGGGGTGGGCAGTGGTTCTTCTGTCTTTTGGATATTCTTATTTTCTCAATTTTATTTTAAAGATAAAAAACATATTTAAAGTCCAGCTGTAAAAAAAAATTTTAATTATTTAAAAATAATAATACATGGCATATTTTGAATGGAAATATCACCAGCTCATGTGGTGATACGGTACCATTGTATAATTTCTCGTTGCAAAGGATGCAATCTCACAAAAATTCCGACACAAATGGTTGTAACGCTTTCCCATAGAATATTTGGGGTTGTCATGAAACACAAATCCATTATAACTAGTGATACTCTTAGCCTTTGCATCTCTCCTCCACCGTTACAATATGTATTGGGATGGAATCCTTTTCACATTTTTCTTATCAAGCACTTTCATTGCATGAGCACATAAAATCCCAACAAACGTGAACTTCATGCAACTACAATTGACTTTTTCTATTGAAGCTTCAAACTTAACCAAGTGCTCTTGAGATTTACCAATATAAGACACTTTATACTCGGTTGTCATCTCAGATTTACCAACTTTATATATGTTATAATCAATAATTCTCTTATACTCTTCTTGAAAGAGTTTAAATACCTTCGGAATATAAATCTCATCTCTACACTTAGTAATAGTACAGGTGTTGTTTGCAGCATCTTGAAATCAGCAACTAGTTCTTCATATCTACGGTGTACCAAAACCCTCTTATAATGTTCAAAAAAACCACAAAAGATTATGCTTTGGCTTCAAATATTTTTTTAAGACATTGTTTATACATTCACTACGCTGTGTGCTTTTCATATCAGCCGTGAAAGTATTTCTGCCATACACAAGGGCCCATTTTCCCAGCAATTCAAATATTTATTTCAACCACTTGTTTCCCTTGAGGCTCTACTTGTCAAGAATACATGCTAATAACCACTCATGTACATCCTCATGATCATATACACATGTGCTAAAATCATGAGCAAATTCTTTTGATCCATGAAAAACATGACTTAAATTTTTGACAACATTTTGATAAATATGCCAAACACAAAGTCGGTGAGAAGTTTTAGGAAATACATTTAAGATTGCACTAGCCATTGCAGCAAATTGATATGTTAGAATCGTCTTTGGTTGGTTTCCAGACATCGCTAAAAGGAAAGTCTCAAATAACCACTTAAAAGATTTTATTGCAGTTTCATCGTACAACAAAGCTGCACCAAAAACAATTGTTTGCTTATGATGGTTAACCCCAACAAATGGTGCAAATGGTCAACAATATTCATTTGTTCGATATGTCGTATCAAAGCAAACAACATCCCCAAAGAGGCGATAGTCACTTACAGAACGTGAATCAGCTCAAAATAGATTTGTGATCATATCATCCTCATCAAGCTGCATTGCATAAATAAATAAAAAGATGAATCATCCAACTGAACTTTCTGAAATTATTGCAATATAGCATCAGCATCTCCCTTGTCCATATTTGGCTTTCTTTTTTTTATGTATGTAATTTTGGTAATCTTTATCCAAAAACCCAAGATTCTCCTCGTCCCCCACACTTTCTATACTCATTAGTTCTAATAGTGGCTTTAATATGTATTCCTTATTTTTCAGCATCATCAGCATGAGCCTTAGGATTCAAAATGTGTTTTCATGGGTTTCCTCCTTTAATAAAAAAAAAAAAAAAAACAACGATGTAACTAACACTTTCAAGTTATATGTGCTTCACAACCCACCCTTGAAATTGGTTGAGAATAAGATACTTTTTCACGCTGTCTGTCATATCTTCGATTACCTTCTTTTGAATAACAATAAGTTACCCATGTCACAATACCCAATTTCTTTTTTCCTCTAATGTTGTTTTCTCACACTAAGGCCCCGTTTGGGATTGCTTTTTTTGGCCAAAAACCTGCTTAACTTTAAAGTTAAGCAGTTTAAGGTATTTGGTAAAATTAAAATATCCCAATTATTTTAAAAGCAATGGCCTTTTGACAACAGCTTTTAAATTTCAAAGCTGCTTTCAAAAGAAGCAGAGATGAACATTTAATGAATTTTTTTAATTCCCAAAATATCATCATTCATTTTAAAAAATGACACCACCTCACTTCCACATCCAACTCCACCACTTGCACCACCACATTTACTATCTCCACAACCACAGCCGCCACCACCACCACAACCACCACATCCTCCTCCTCCTCATCCTCCCCCACCGCCACCTCCAACATCACCTCCTCCTCATTCACCACCGCCACCACCACCACCACTTCCTCCAAAACCTCCACATCCACCACCACCACCATGCTGCCACTACCACCACCACCACCACCTCCACAACTGCCATCCCCACCACCACAACCACCAACTCCGTCTTCATCTCCACCACCAACTCCATTCCATCACTATCACTGCAACAACATGATTAGTGCATAACACTTTTAACATCATGTCTATTTTAGTCATTATTCACAATTACAACAATTTTATATTAAAATTTACCAAACGGTTTTAACACTGCTTTTTGTACTAATAGCACTTTAAAAATAGTGTTTACCAAACATGGAGCTGCTTTACTTTACAGCTAATTATTTTTAAAGCACAGCAGAAGCAACTTTTTTTAAAAGTGACATCAATCCCAAACTAGGCCTAAAACCTCTTTCACCACCATACTGTACATAAAACTTATATGCACTCTCACGAGAACTAAACTCTCTACTAAGCAAATCATTCTCAATTTTCTCTTGATTGTTCTTATTCAATTCATCCAGATCATTAGTAGGTGAAAAATGAGTTAATGGATTAGATTTGTCCTCACCTTGCAAATCAACTTTGACATCACTGGATAACATATTGCTTAGTCTTGGACACTCTTGAATCTCCATCCACCTACAATATTGCCACTACCAATTAGAACCACTGGATCATATTTAGAAATTAAAATCATTTAAGAAAATAGAAACCACAAAAACAAAACAAAAAAAAGATCACAACTTGGTTTAGACATTTCTTCAAACAGGTTGGTTGCAACTTATAACCATTTATTTCACCCAAATTAAAAGCCTGGTTAGCTTACAAGGAGAAAAGAGAAGATTATATTACAAATCAAATAGATGTTTTTATATATTTATCAACATAAATTCATTACAAGGATACTACTTTGATAAACCATATAAACATAAGAAACCCACTCATCGGAAGTGGTCAAGAAAAACAACCCCCAAATATGAAGAATCTGCCATGTATAGGAATTATGAAAACAAAAATTCCAAAATTAAGAAAGGGAAACAATGTTGTTGGACTAACCATCCCAAAAGAATTAATCAAATAGTGAGAGAAGTTCACCTGCAATTTATGTTGTCGATGATTGGAGATTTACGTGGTCGATGGTCGGAGGTTTACGTAATTGGTTATCAGAATTAGGTTGTCAAAAGAAGAGGTCTCTCTTAGAGAAGAGCTTGACCTGAGTTAAAAGAGTTGAAAAGAATTGGGGGAAAAAAAAACAAAAAAGTGTCATTTGGTAAAGAGGCCACGTCGCATGTGGAGGAGCTTAATGTATCAGAAGCCAAGCAAAGCAATGTCCCATTAAAAATATACAACTGGGTCCCTGCCGTGCCACCAACCAATGCATCCAAAATGAGATGGAGCCCACCAGATACAACGTACGGAGTCCACGTGGTAGGCTCACAGTGCGAGCTTCCTAGCCTTGGCAGACCCAGCTGGCACCACAAGGCACTTGCAGCTGATGGGTCCCACTTACCTCGGTTTCCGCTACGTTAAAATTCGCTAACGACCCTAACGACGTTAAAGAAGAAATAGGATCATTTCTGGTCGAGTTAGTTGAAGGGTTTAGCGTACACCGCTTTCTTTTGTTAAAAGGTCGGTGTGGTCAGGGTCCCACTGCCACTACAGTCACGCAGGCCCACCATTGAGATTTGGTTTGTATGAGGTTGTCGGTAATCTCTAATCACTAATCACTAATCACTAATCAGTGTGCGTTGCTTAATATTGCTTCCAAAATCAATGGGTCGTTTTTAACCTTTTTGGTTTCAGGTACAACTCCTTCCCACTAATAACCACCCCTTTTATCATATTTAGTTTTGAATTTTAAAAGTCATTGATATTTTTTTTATTTTATGTTTTTTCATTCTTAGTAAATTTTTATTTTAAATTCAATCAAATAATAATCCACATTTTTAAATTCTTTTTAGTTAACTATAGTACTAAAGACAGTCCCATTATATGTAGTGGCAGATCTAGAAATATTGTTCAAGGGTTGACGTATAAATAGTGAAGGACTCATGATTCTTAGGCCAAGGGGTCACCGTATAGAAGTGTAGAAATTTTTTTTACGAAAAAAATAACACTGAAAAGCAAAAAGATAGTATTTTCACTCAAATCTCCAAAAATTAAAATCCGAGTATGACACCTATATGGCAATTAAAATAATATATTTATTAATTTTTATAAATTATTATTGTACTAACATATTAGTTAAATATATCATTGGAGTAAAAGGTTAAAAGGGTTTTATTAATAACAGTTTGGGCCATATTTTTTAAAAAGACCTACAGGTTATTAATAAAACTTTGGGCCATACTTTTTCATTATTATACATGGCCCAGACTTTTTAAAAAGGCATAATTATGTACATGCTCCCTGTGCTTTCAAACTTATCTCAGATTACCACCTGTGTTTGTAAACGTCTCAAAGTACCCCCCAATGTTTAAAAAACCGTCTCAAGTTACCTGTTCCGTTAGTTTTTTTGACGTTCCGTTACGAACATTGGGCCCCACTTCGTTTTAACCTTTAACCTCTTCGAATAAGGGTTTCTCAATTTCTAACAAAGGGGGAAATTGGGTGAGAAGGGAAAATTGGAGAAGAGGGTTGTCAAAATCTGAGGGTTCCTTCGATTTTTGGAGAATTTGGAGAAGAAATCATTGTTAGGGGTTTATAAAACTCTGAGGTGGAGTTTGAAATTGGGAGATTGTGGAGTAGAAGATTTGGGTTGATGGAAACAGGAAAGAAGCAAGGAGAAGGAAGGCATGGCCAATGGTGTCATTGTGGGAAGTTAGCACGGATGCAGACTTCTTGGACCAGTTCAAACCTAGGGTGAAGATTTCTAGTCTGCCTACAGTCAAAGGTAAGCATGTTTAAGATCTAATTTTCAGTCATTGTTTTGGGCATCACAAATTGATAGAGTTGTTATTGATGAAATTGTCAGTGATTGATGAAATTTTCAGTCATTTACCACCCAAATTTTCAGTCATTGTTCTTGGTTGATATAGGGAAGTGGAGAAAAAGGATGTAGGTTTTTTCAGTAGTTTGATGCAGAAATGTGTGAGCGTTCAAAGTCTTTGATACCTGGTTTGCTGAGGAAGATTGATAGGGTGGAGAAGGAAAATGCAAAGATTCGAGCAAAGTCAAAAATATTGTGGGCTGCTATGTTGCTTTCCTGGTTGGTGGTGTTTGCTATGAAGATGAATTAGGCACTTTGGCAGTAGTTCAGTGGGCACTGTAATTTGATGACAGGACCCACCCCAGAATTTCCCCTTAAACCGGGGCGGACCCCGTCTTGGTGCCGACATCACACCGATGCCGGGCCCACTTACTAAAAACCCAAGACATCCTACCAAAATTTTGGCAGAGTCTCCCCTGTAAGATGCTCAAACCCAACAACATTCAACCTGCATAATTTACATAATATAATTCCCAACTGCCAGCATGCTTTCAACATACAACAATCCAAAATAAAGTGGCCTCCGGCCTCAAGTAACAACCTAACATGGGCGATAACAGAGCATCTAACAGAATTTGATTACAACAACAGTAGAGTAGAAGGAATTTACACGAATCCTATCTACAGATGGAAATGTTTGGAGCTCGCAACTTGCTTGAGCGCTTCCAAAAGCCACTACTGCCTGGGGGGCGCAAAACAGAAATATGTGAGTGGACAAAAATAAAGTTTGCATTTAAAACAACATAGTAACCCCACCGTGTAAAAATAATGCTCAAGCATGCAGTTTCCACATCCATAAATCAAATACTCAAACATAAACTCTCAAAGTCCAATAACTCTCCAAAAATCTCAATCCACAACTCCATTCCCAAAAGTATGCAACTCTCACCAACCCATACATATGTATACATATACATCTATAATATAACATATACTTCTCTCCATACTAATGTACCGGGGAAGACAATCCAACCGGGGGATTGTTGGCTGGTACGCAGGATTTTCGAACATGAACCCGCGTCCAGGGATGAGTAGTCCAACCGGGGGACGGAACTCCATAGCTCACACGCCGGCACTGCCAACGACACGTGTAGCTCACAAATCTCATATCAAGTCCTACGCGCGCAGACAGTATCATCACCCCACCGGCACTGCCAACGACATGTGTGATGATACTAAGCAATATACATACTCTTTCCATACACCGGCACTGCCAACGACATGTATGGGAAGTGTCTCACACACCGACACTGCCAACGACATGTGTGAGACCCGCAATCTCATGGCCTTCCCACCCCACCGGCACTGCCAACGACGTGTGTGGAAAGCCTAGTAACCAGGGAATGGTACTCACCTAACATACTCATACATCTCACAACCATCCCTCAAACTCATACCTTTCCACAATCTCACAACAACAACTCCTCATACTCTATACATAGGCAATATAGACAGATATCCCAAAATCCATATAAACATATCCATAATACTCAAACATAGCCATACTCAAAATATATTGCCAATATGTATATGAATATCCAAATCCATCAACCAAATACTTAATAAATCACATTTACCATTTAAAAACATATGCACAAATCTTTTATCAATAAAACCATGCAAATGCTTGAAAACAAAGTCCACTCACAGATAATCCCACGCTGCCCGGCCCCGAGAGGGTCCTGCCTGCTGCGAATGATCGACCGAAGTACCTATTTCGATATACGAACTCTTGATTAATATAATACACTTCGAAACGGGAATTCACAAAAGAGAATACTTAAATCCCCCAAGATCCCGTTGCGTGTACGTCCAAAAGGATATCCTAAGGTCCGGTTACAGGTTTGGGAATCGCTTCCCATCCTACAGTTATCGTTAATCCCACAAACTTCGAATTATTGAATCGGAACATCCGGGGCTCCGATTCACGATCCACGAATTCCTATAGGATTCTAAGAGTACCTAAATCAACATACTTCAGTTTGGAAACGATCCGACGGTTAGAACTTATCGAACCCGAATAACGCACAATATGCGAAATCCGTTCGATAGTCAAACGACATCCAAATTGATATCCGTAAAATCCTATGCACTCGTGACAACCTAATGATCTCGTCAGGATAAAAAGCAACTTCAACAGCCTTGCCCACGCGCCGGCAGCGCGTGGGTGTGTAGAGAAATTTCCGGCGACGGAAAATCTCCACACCAACGCTCACCCTTCCTACCCTAGCTTCTTCTCAAGGTCAGGATCATTTTATTCAACTACCACGAGGTCCAATTCGTACGAGAACTGGCCGGAATTTCAAATTGAAAACCGGCCAAAACCTAGCTTTCTAATTCGGTTCCCAACCTCAAAATCAATCCAAACCTACCCCAAAAACAGCTAGAGCATACGGAGAGGGTTCGAAAACATACCGAACTCGACGGAAAAACTGGCCGGAATCGTTGCGCTGTCGTGGTGAAAACCGGGAGAAAAACCAGTCGATATCGTGGCCGGATTTCGAGCTTTCCGGTCGGGATAACAGGTGGCTTTTGATCGGGACTTCACGACGAATCGAACGGGATCGATCTCGAGGGCTGAGGTGGACTGTGGCGGCGGCGGCACGGTGGTTTCCGTTCGGTTTGCACAGTGACGGGGGAGAACTATCGCACGCAGAGGGAGGAGACGCGGGAGAGAGAGAGAGAAAAAGTGAGGGGTAAATATGAAAAATCTGATTTTACCCCAAACTTACTTTGAAATAATTACGGTTCCGCCACCGAACTTAATTTGCTCGCCAAAACTTCGTTACAACTCCGATTCAAGGCTACCGCCTGTCTACGGTTTCGTCTCAGTACCACCTACGCAACCAAACCACTCGTGGTCCCGAAATCCTTCCGGATAAGAAAATGACCAAAATTACCCTTAACCCAAGAGTAAATTAATAATTCTCTTAATTTAATTAAAATAGGAATAAATTTGGAGTCGGGGTGTTACATTTGAGAACAAATGTTTTTGTAATGTAAGGCACTTTGGCAGTAGTTAAGCACTTTGGCAGTAGTTTAATGGGCAAATTTAATTTGAGAACAAATGCTAATCTAATGTAAGGCACTTTGGCAGTGTAATGTAATGTAATTTGGTGTAATGTAATGTAATGCTAGTTAAGTTTGTTCATTGTAATTTGTTTAGGGGTTACAAATGGTGACATGAATGGTAACTTGTTTAGAGGTTACAAATGGTGACATGAATGTAATGCTAGTTAGTTAAGTAATGTAATGCTAGTTAAGTTTGATCTATGATATGAATGGTAAATTGTTTAGAGGTTACAAATGAGATTAGACAAATCAACATGTGATATTCAGTTTGATATGTGATATGAATGGTAAATTGAATGGTAATTTCTTGATGAATCTAGAAGAAGAGAACCAAAATTCAGTTTTCCCTAAAAAGGCAGGACCTGCCTTCTTTGCCAAAGTTTATGGTGGATATGTAGCCTTTGGTAACGTGCCAAAGTTTAGTGGAATCTGGAAAGCAAGAGGCAAAGCCCAAAACTAGCAAAAACACCTGTCATTATAAGTACAAACCAAAACAGAACAGGTTCCAAAACATAACACAAACCAAAACAGGTTCCAACCATAACAGCCTTATGAATATATGCACAAACCAAAACAGGTTCCAAAATAGATTCCAACCATAACAACCTTAGGAATATATGCACAAACCAAAATAGGTTCCAACCATAACATACATCAAATATTCAGGTTCCAAAACAGGTCCAACCATAATAGGTTCCAAACATAACAGACGTCAAATATACAGGTTCCAACCAAAATAAGTTCCAACCATAACATACATCAATAATCCCACAAACCAACAACCATGTCTGGACCATTAAAGTCTTCCACAACATTCAAAGATGAAAAAAAGGATCTTTGTTGATCTTTCATCCTCTTTCACAATCTCCCAATTTCAAACTCCACCTCAGAGTTTTATAAACCCCTAACAATGATTTCTTCTCAAAATTCTCCCAAAATCGAAGGAACCCTCTGATTTTGTCAACCCTCTTCTCCAATTTTCCCTTCTCACCCAATTTCCCCCTTTGTTAGAAACTGAGAAACCCTTATTCAAAGAGGTTAAAGGTTAAAACGAAGTGGGGCCCAACGTTCGTAACGGAACGTTAAAAAAACTGATAGAACGGGTAATTTGAGACGGGTTTTTAAACGTTAGGGGGTACTTTGAGACGTTTGCAAACACAGGTGGTAATCTGAGATAAGTTTGAAAGCACAGGGGGCATGTACATAATTAAGCCTTTTAAAAAACCTACAAGTTAGTGAAACGGTGAGTTTCAACTAAAATGAGGAATAAGCTTTCATGACATCATCTTCTTCACTGCCTCTGCAACCCAAAAAAAATGGCAAGTCGTGGTGCTGCAAGAGTGCATCTGGAAGAAGGTTAGAGAGCAGTGAGCAGCGCAAGGCAAGCCTACATGGGACTTTCATCGAGCACCTTACGTGCACACAAGTGGTCGCTAAGATGATGGCCAAGGGGTCGCTGGTGGAGTCCACGGTCATATGTCCAACATTCCAAGGGGTTGTGTGACCTTCTTGTCCCAATGTGCTTCCACCATTGTGTATAAAGTATTTTGAATTGTGTTTGTGTTTGTATTTGTGTATGTCACTCGATTAATTAGCTCCATTTTCAGTCATGTAACGAGGTTAGTTGCATATTATATATAGTTATTCTCTCATCTGGATGTCTACATGTTGTTATTGTGCGGATGCCATTTTAAATAAAGAGGAAAGTATAAAGGGGTAGTATAAAATACATGACGTCCGTACAATAATAATGTCCGGATGTCCGCATAAGAGAATATATATATATAATTAATATTATATGTTGGAGAAATAAGAATATATAAACTTGTTGAGACGACGTCGCAATGCTGGTCAATAGGTGCACTTGAAGTGAAGAAACCTAGAAAAAGGGGCAGGTGTTGATAAATGTCAAACTTTAACCACCGGTCCAATGAAAGCATAGACTGTCCCATAAAACGTGTAAAGAGTTTACCAAATTATGATCTTTCACACGCGTCTCACAAATTAAATTGATAAATTCATGTCTTAGCCACATGGTTCTTTATTTAATGATTAATGGATATTAATATCCATTAATTATTAAATAAAGAAAACACTTGAGGTGATTATCTGTTGTGTTGATTACATAACTTAAGGCCAAAGTAAACTAAGAAAGCCACTCCAAACTAGGAGTATCAAATGTGCCATGTTGGGCTAGTCCAGCTTGTTTAGAGTTGGTCCATTCAATAAACGTGAAGTGCCGGACTCACTTATTTAAGAAAATCATCAATTTCGGCCTGAGCTCATATGGGCTCAGGCCATACTTGTGCTATGCCACTAAACGGGCCGATATGGGCCCACACAAAATTTGTATATTTTTGTTTTTTTTTTTTTTTTTTTTTTTTTTTTTTTTTTTTTTTTTTTTTTTTAAAACTAAATAAATATTTAATATTTTTTTTTACAATTATGTATATACTAACAAGATTTATTATTTGTTAAAAAGAAGAAGTCAATTCCTTTATTTAAAGTACATATAAATAGAAAATGGCTCAAGATTTATTATCGATTTTTATTTATCGATAAGAGTAGTTTAAAGCATTATCCATTACTATTAGGCCATTACTCGAGTCTATATTGTCTCATTTTGAGTTTTTACTTTTTCAGAGTTATTATATGTATAAAGAATTTAGCATTTTTCACATTTAATGCTCGTATTGTATATGTACGTACGTATTTTTTATGTTTAACACACTTGTTTTTTACAACATTTCAATAACACACAAAAAATTAACGTATGATACACATAATTTTCGTACATTATTGAATAAAAATAATATATATTAAAAATAATTAATTAAATCATATTAAAATATGATATAGTGGCTGAACTTATGAGTTGTAACTTGCCAAAATATTGCCGAATAAAACGCGTACGTATTTTATTCATATTTTTCCGTTATGTAGTTCACTAACTATGAAAGAATGTGGGACGTTAAGATTATTTCTTACTTGTGTTAGATTCTTTATATGCATGTTCTAGATCTTACACACAACCTGTAATACGTGTAAAGACATGAAGACATACCTGGAGCCATCTTCCTTGAGTACACAGCTTCTGAATTCATCCAATCCGTTGCAGCAGAATCCTAGCAAAGACAGTAACAACTCAAGACTTCTGCTCTCTCTCAGAATCTGTTTTAGCTCTCTCTTTATGATGAGAATAGATTTAGAGAACGTGTCTGATGAGAGCAGGGCCTTTAGCTTATATAGGGCTAGGTCAAGTCGTCTCTACTCATCACTGAGGGCTGACTTGACTTATCTTCTAAGCCCACTTAATCGGTTCACGCATAAATGGAAATATAATAGGACCCCTTAATAGGCCTCAAAACCCTTCCTTATTTCACTGGGTTTTGGCCTCAAGGTACAACCTAATTTAAACTCTTATCAAACCTGATATAACTTAGTATCTAGTGCACCGATCTAAATAAGAAAACATAACATTCTCCCACTAGATCAATCACTAGAACACTAAGCTTCTATATTCTGAAAGGTTTGATAATCTTTATTGGCCATGAGTTTAAAACAGTTAAGTCCTTCCCCTCAAGCTACAGTGAAAGGCGATTAAACAAAACGAACTATAGACAAACACTGCTTTCTTTATTAAAAACAGGTCATCTATAATCACATAAAGCAATCTCAAAACACATAAAGCACTTACAACGTGAACCTTAATATGTACTGTTCCTTAATGTGAATCTTTATGCATTTCAGTACAAGTACCCCTTTACGACTTAGCAAGAGTCAATCCGCAATGTTATTAAAAACAATAGTATCTCAAAAGAGACCATAAACTCACATGCATAAACAGAGTTGCATAATAAGTTTAAACAGCTAAATAGTCAAAATGGCAGAATTTATTTAAATAAATAAAACTGTCAACCAAATTAACATCCTTAAATGCAAATCCCTCAATCTAGAAAATAGCAAAATAAACAAAATAGACAAACTAGTAAAATATCATAATGGGAATAAGACTCCTACTAGATTGTAGCATCAAAGCTAAGAAAAGTCCCATGCTCTCAACATGTCTCAGAAAAGCTTCTGAAGGCAAAAACTTTGTGAACGGATCTGCAATCATATCTTGAGTTCTAATATGATCAAACCTAACTAGTTTGTCCGCTATCTTCTCCTTCACTATCAAATACTTTCTGTCAATATGCTGAAGTCTAGACGACATCTTGTTGTTCATGCAGTGAAAAACAGCCGCAGTGTTGTCATTATATATCTGTATTGGTTTAGAAATCGAGTCCACCACCTTAATGTCTTTAATAAAATTCCTCAGCCATATTGCATGCGAAGTGGCTTCATAGCAAGCTATGTATTCTGAAAACATGGTTGAACTCGAAACACTAGTTTGTTTAGCACTCTTCCAAGCAACAGCTACTCGTGCCATCTTGAAAAGAAAACCTGAAGTAGAGATGTAATCATCCTCTGCTTTTCCAAGATTCGCATCAGCATAACCAACAAGCTCTAAATTTTCTGTGCATCTGTATATCAACATATAAGCCTTTGTTCTCTGTAGGTACCTCAGAACCTTCTTTCCATATCCAAAGTTGCATTCCTGGATTTGACTAAAATCTTCTCATCTTGCTAATGCACAAGGCTAGATCTGGCCTTGTACGCACTTGTGCATACATAATGCTTCCAACTAGAGAAGCGTATGGCTTGTTCCTCATCTCATCTTACTCATTCTTTAAATCTCCTTTAGCTAACGGAACTTTCTATCCAGAATACATACTCATGTCAAAACACTTGAGTACCTTCTCAATGTATGTCTTCTGTGATGGGCCTAGAAGGCCTCGAGCTCGGTCTTTCTGAATCTCAATGCCCAGCTTCTCCCAAATCCTTCATTTCAAAATTATTTGAAAGTAGCTCCTTGGTGTCCTTCAGTAAATTGTGGTCATTTGTATCCAAAAGTATGTCGTCGACATACAGCACCAGAAAATAAATCGACTCCCACATTTCTTCATATAATGCACTGGTCAGCTATGTTCTCTTCAAAACCATAAGCGGAAATAGTTTGATGAAATTTGAAATACCACCTCCTGCTTGCTTGCTTTAGTCCATAATTGCCTTGCCAAGTTTGCAAACCATATGCTCTTTTCCCTCATTTGCAAACTCTTTAGGTTGTCTCATAAAATTTTCCTCTTCAAGTTCTCCATTCATGGAAGTAGTTTTACATCCATTTGATGTAAAAGTAGGTCATAATGGCCTACCAAAACTATAATGATGCAGAAAAATCTTTGGTGGAAACTGGAGAAAAAGTCTCAGTATAATTAATTCCCTCCCTTTGGGTAAATCCTTTGGCTTCCAATCTAGCCTTAAACCTTTCGATTCTTTCATCCTTATCTTTCTTTGTTTTAAATACCCATTTCGAGTCTACCAACTTTTGGCTCTTGTGAGGTTTAACTAATTCTCATACTTGATTATTCTTCATGTTTTTAAGTTCATTTAGCATCGCTTCCCTCCATTTGTCTGCATTCTAACTCTCCATAGCTTCTCTAAAACTTGTTGGATCAGCCTCATCTCTAATGTCAAAATATGCTTCTTGTAAGTACACATAATCCGAATTTGCTATGGATCTTCTTGGTCTGTCAGATCTCCTTGGTTGTACAGGTTCTTGTGGATCATCTAGTTCAGGATTCTCAACAGCTTGTGGTTCAACTGGTTCTTCAAATTGAGAATTTTCCAATACAGTTTCACTTAAAGGAATCAATGGTGTAACTTCTTGTTCAACATTCTCAATCACAGCTACATCACCTTCTTCTTCAAAAATAAAGTCTTTATTCCCAGTGGCATTCTCCTCATGTTCTATAAACTTTGCACAACCAGTCTCAACAATTCGGGTACCATAATTTGGACAATAAAATCTAAAACCCTTTGACCTTGTGGGATAACCTACATCTTATCGTTTTAGGATCAAGCTTCTTCTCTTGTCTTAGGCTAGGTTTTCTGGTAGTCCAAATTCGAAAGGTGTCTTAGGTACGGAGTTACTAGGCACTCTATAGGTTGTTGTTTTGATCGCCTCTCTCAAAATGTAGGCAAATCAATTCTAGAAATGTTGCTAAGAACCATGTCCTTCAAGGTTCGATCCATTTTCTCAGTCACACCATTCTGTTGCGGAATTCATGACATTGTGTACTGAGCAACTATTCTATTATCTTGTAGATACCTAGCAAAAGTCCAGCGTCGTCTTCCTTCATCAAAACATCCATAATATTCACCCCCTCTGTCTGACCTCACAATTTTTATCCTTTTCTCAAGCTGCCTTTCTACTTCAGTTTGGAAAATCTTAAACATTTCAAGAGCTTGAGACTTTTTTGCTATGAGATACAGATAACCAAAACAAGAATGGTCATCTATAAATGTGATGAAAAAATGATTTCCATCAATTGTTTGATGAGGGAAAGGTCCATAAAAACTATGTGGATTATCTCTAAACGATCACTACTGCGAGTTGCACCTTTCTTCTTAGTCTTAGTGAGTTTTCCTTTGACACACTCAATACAAATTTTGTCATCACTGAAAGTCAATAATGGCAAGATTTGTTCCTTAACTAGAATTTTCATTCTTTCTTTTGAAATGTGCCCTAAACGCCTATGTCATTCAAACTTCACTATATTTTTTGTAATTGAGACAATATAATCCATCTTTATTATCTTTGAATTTTGAGATACAACATCTTTATTGAAATCAAATTAAAACAAAGTCTTAATAATCTTGAAACAGAAATTGAATCTCTTTAAGGTACTGAAAACTACATGGTTTCACAGACTGCACTAGGAGATTCTTGTATCGAAGTAGCTTATTGATGTTTCATCCTCTCCCATATGCGCATACATCGAGCTTCATAGCGAGATGAAGACTTCTGAGACTGTCCTTTGTAGCCGTGTATATCCTATGGGTCCTCTATATGGTCAACGATTTCGCTGTGCCTTAGCCCTTTTTCGCTCCAGCTCATCTTCGTGCCGCTTCTTAATTAACTCCACTATATTCTTTACTAGAATGTCATTCGTGACAAGTTAGCATGAGTGACACCTATGGAACGCCAGATGTTTTTTTTTCTTTTCCCTAAACTCTAGGAGTTTTACTACAGGACACATAAGCAAAAAGGCTAACTTGAATTAAATATAGCCATGAGTGAGATCATAAGCGATCTCATTCATTCTAACAATAACTTTAAAATCAAACGTCCATAAATTGAAGTTTGATCTAGTGAATCTTTCAATTTGCGTGAAATTAATTGAGGGAGTGTTTAAAGCTGTAAGGATTTGCAAACAAAAGCATATTACTTTCCTATAAACTGATTCTCAATTTGTCAAGAGAAAACAGTTTAACTTATTCACAAAACTAACAAATAATATATGCAAGCGTCCTTAATTAAGTATCACACCTTTGTGGCAAGAGATTACTTATAGCTTACACAAATTACATGTTATCTTGTGCCATCACAAATAAATTACATGACAGATTGTATTTGTTAAAGAAACTTATCAAGCAATTTAGGTATGATGCAATTTTCTGTTATTTCTTTAGGGTTTGAGTATTTATATTTGGTTTTGTTATGAAAAGTTTGTTGATTCTTAGAACAAAGACAAACATTTATCTGGCTCAGAAAAATAACCAAAACAAAACACAGTTCAAGAAGGAAAACCTTAAAATTGCAGTGAATAGTGTTTCTGTGTGAACAGTGTTTCTGCCGCGAACAGTGTTTCTGCAATGAACAGTGTTAGGGGTTCTAAGTGTCTGTTTTTTACCCAAAATACTTTTCTGAATAGGGAATGACCTAATTAACACAACTCACAAAAAGGCTGTGACATATGGGCATTTTTAGGGTTTTAAGGTAATCTGCTAGGTCAAAAACGTGTTTAAAGTTTTTGAAAATACGAAAACCAAATCAAAACATGCTTTTCCAGATTCTTGATATTTTCAGAAATATGTTTAAACCATCTTCAAAAAATTAAACATAACCAAAACATTCAAACATGACATAAACATATATGAAATCATGACAGAAATGCTTGAACAACGATTACAGATATGTGTGAACAACCTTAAGCTTTGATACCAACCGTTAGATTCTTTATATGCATGTTCTAGATCTTACACACAACCTGTAATACGTGTAAAGACATGAAGACATACCTGGAGCCATCTTCCTTGAGTACACAGCTTCTGAATTCATCCAATCCGTTGTAGCAACAATCCTAGCAAAGATAGTAACGGCTCAAGACTTCTGCTCTCTCTCAGAATCTGTTTCAGCTCTCTCTTTATGATGAGAATAGATTTAGAGAACGTGTATGATGAGAGCAGGGCCTTTAGCTTATATAGGGCTAAGTCAAGTTGTCTCTACTCATCACCAAGGGCCGACTTGACTTATCTTCCAAGCCCACTTAATCGGTTCACGCATAAATGGAAATATAATAGGACCCCTTAATAGGCCTCAAAACCCTTCCTTATTTCACTGGGTTTTGGCCTCAAGGTACAACTTAATTTAAACTCTTATCAAACCTGATATAACTTAGTATCTAGTGCACCGATCTAAATAGGAAAACATAACAACTTGTTGTACAAAAATGCAAGATGGTGATTTTACAATCTCTTTGCCAACCAGAAGGACAATTTCAAACAAAGATTTATGGGTGTAGTAGTAAGCGAGGTGGTAGTATTCTCCATGTAAAGTGTTGTTTGAAATGTGATGTGATTACCAAGAACACTCTAACTTTGCATGTAATTCTCTACAACAAATAATGTGTGTAGTAACATAATTTATTAGTACTCAAGAGAATGAGGTAGACCAAAGGCAAACATTCCCATACAAAAAGAAGAAAAAAATTGAACTCTCAAATTGATTTTCTGTGAAATTTCTCTCTCAATATCTGCTTTGAAGATGTCGAAACTTGCAAATTAATATCTATAAAGTATAAACTAATGCCCAACTAGAAGGGTATTTTTCTTTTAATTTTTTTATAATAAATAATATAGCCGTTCACTGTTTTTAATAAATAGTATAGCCGTTGACCTCCTTTCAAATATAATATACTTAAAGGGCTGTTTGTTAGAAGGGATTGGCTTGGACCTTTACTCAAAAGAAAACTGATTGTAGATAAGATCCGAAAGACTTTTCAATGCCCATTTTACTGTCTTGTTGGAAAATAAAAGGGATAAATGGGGGGACATTTTAGTCATTACACTGTACTTAGAAACAATGTCTGGTTGGATTGAGCTTTAGTGCCAGTTTGGCATTGCTTATTTGGGGTGATAAGTGATTTTTAAAAAAATTTGGGAAGCACAAACCGTTTGGTAAACTATGAGAAAATCACTTATTGTTTAAAATTGTTGTGAGAGAAAACTATAAGGGAAAGCAGCTAATAGGTGCTTTCATTTTATGATTATACAGGAATCAGTTTCAAAGAGGCGATGGGTTTAATGATTATGCGACAATCATTTTCTAATTATGTGGGAATTAGTACCAACAACACTTTTAACAAAAAGTTTACCAAACGCCAAACTGCTTTCTCTCACAGCAAATCTGACAGCAATTATTTTCACAGCATAGCAATGCCAAACTGGCCCTTAGTATATAAATTTCATGCCCACTTTTGTCTTTTGGCTCATGCTTTAATAAGGGTTATCGGTATTTATAAATGTTTTTCATATTGTATGTATGTTTTGCCACCTGAAACAATATGAATATGTTACTATTAGCTCAACCCGGTCAAGCATTCAGTTAAACTTCACTCGCAGTGCTCTGTTTTAATGTAAGAATAGTAAAAAAAATAAAATAGTGAATCCTTTAAAAAAGTATATATATATATATATATATACATAGCTCTACCCAGGTATGGTGAGAGATTAAAGAGGGAAAAAAGAAGAAGTTGAAAATGGACCATTAGTGCTGCTAAGAGGTAAAGCAACGTGAAAGGCAAGTGACTTTGATTTCTGAGTCGCCTAAGGCAACTGAGAATAGCCATGCACCAAGAAAAAATAATAAATAATAATAATAATGTGCCAAGCATTATTCAAGCATATAGCTAGTGATGAGCTCTCACTTCCATCCATTTCATTTCATTAATTCAGTCCCAGAAAATGCAAAATTGACATTTAACTATAACTATAAAGAACTAGAGACAAAGACTTTGACTCCAGCCATTGTAAGAACAACCACTGAGGTGAAAGATATCTTATTCAAGAGCAAAAGGAACAGGCTCTTTGCACGCAATTTGTATCTAAATTTGATTCAATCTGTTATCTTCTTTATTACAAGTCTAACAATGGCAGCAAGCTCACTCAATATTAAAAAAGACTTGGCCAGATTTTGAGGATAGGGAGATTTGAAGTAAACAAATAAATCTTTGTCAAGCATTCATTATTTCATCCTGAAAATAATGAGACTTTTTCTCCTTCTACTATCTGTCACCTCCATCAATTTCATTTCCTTATTTCATCCAAAAAATACAAATTAGCATTTAAATTTAGAGAATGAAAGACTAAGACCTTTACTCAAAAGAAAACTGATTATAGATGAGATCCGAAAGACTTTTCAATGCCCATTTTATTGTCCTGTTGGAAAATAAAGGGATAAACCGGGGGGGGAGGGGGCATTTTCGTCATTACACTGTGCTTAGAAACAATGTCTAGTTGGATTGAGCTTTAGTATATATAAATTTCATGCCCACTTCTGTCTTTTGGCTCACGCTTTAATAAGAGTTGTCTAGTTGGATTGAGCTTTAGTATATATAAATTTCATGCCCACTTCTGTCTTTTGGCTCACGCTTTAATAAGGGTTATTGGTATTTATAAATGTTTTTCGTATTGTATGTATGTTTTGCCACCTAAAACAATATGAATATGTTGCTATTAGCTCAACCCTGTCAAGCATTCAGTTAAACTTCACTTGCATTGCTCTGTTTTAATGTAAAGAATAGTAAAAAAAATAAAATTGTGAACGTACACTTAAAATACAACAAAATCATAACTTAGAGGACAATTAATCAACATTTGCGATAGGGTGTGATTTTCGGTGGAAGGCTCGTGATCAGCTTTGGATTTGAAGATGACCAGCCAAACAAATGGAATAGGGAGTTGGAATAAATTGTTCAGCGGCAACATATCAAGCAAGAACATTTGCTGGATTCTATATGAGGCATGTGTTTCAGTCCCTGGAACCTGGACTCAACTAATTGGGTTGCCGTTGCAGTAACATATAGATAGCTAGCTTTGGCATCAAGAAGCAGGGGAACTTTTCTCTCTTGTTGTGATGATAATACGTGGGCATGAATGTCAATCCACAATCTCGTCAAACAATGAAACAAGTTTCTCACCACCGGTTTTATTACTGGTATTCTATTTTAAAAGTTCATATTTTAGTCCTCGAACATTCAAATTAAACAATAGGTCCTTTATATTTTGGTGTCACATCAATTTGGTCTTTGTTGTTGCATTCCAACAAAACTTTGTTAAAACTGGCCACGTATCATCACCTGACCAACTTATTCCATCAAAATGTAGCTCAATTTAGTCCTAGAACTCAAATTTTTGCTCAACAAAATCATCTGCTTTTCATTTAAGGTTTCACATTTAGGTTTCGTCAAGGAGAGTACACAGCCTTGTTGAGCAACATATGTAATATTTTTTTTCCTTCGTTTTTCAGGGTTTCAATTTCTTCATCCAAATAGAGGGTTAAGTATCACATTAATTGATTGAAAAGTTTGAGAATTCAAATGAGGAATTTTGAAAAATTCAAGGACCATTCATGACAAAAACCCTTCTCAGTACCTTTCTATCCGGGGGCTGCATTTGTTGAAGCTGTTACATACAATACCATGTGACATAGTGCAGTGGCAAGCATACAGGTGGGACACTTCTGAACCCCTATGTCACACAAATAGTAACCTCTCACTTTCCATCAATTTCATTTTAGTAATTCCAATATATTTTTCTCCTAAAAAAATCAAAGTCAAGGAACCTTGATCAGAGAAAAGTCTATGAGAAAGTTGTGCATACTGAAAAACAAACAAAATAGCATTAGTTTTCCAAGTCATGTGCATTGAGTTGAATGGCTCCTTTAATAAGTTATCTTGTCAATTCTGAGCTAAAACTGAAGAACACGCTCATTTTAAAGCCACTCAAACTCTCAATAGAAGCCAAGTCAAGTGATAAAGACAACAAATATATTAGTTTCAAGGACCACATTATTTGAACATTTGGTGAGAGATTAAAGAGGGAAAAAAGAAGAAGTTGAAAATGGACCATTATTGCTGCTAAGGGATAAAGCCACGTGAAAGGCACGTGAGTTTGATTTTTGAGTTGCCTAAGGCAACTAAGAATAGCCATGCACCAAGAAAAAATAATAAATAATAATAATAATGTGCCAAGCATTATTTAAGCATATAGCTAGTGATGAGTTCTTTACTCAAAAGAAAATTGATTAAAGATGAGATCTGAAAGACTTTTCAATGCTCAACTAAACCTCAAAGCCTAACCCACACTATATATAACTAGTAAGGCACATCCCTTACAATATTCGTATACCACACAAACAATAACCATGACATCTTTAACTTCCGCTAAACTATGCTTCTTGCCTTATTGCCTTGTCATCTTCTTGTATGTTTCATCACCAAATTGGGTTGCTTTTCCTTCTGCTACTTCTACTTCTCATACTGAAGCAAAGGCTCTTCTCAAATGGAAAGCCAACTTATTTCCAAAGAAAGCCCTCAATTCTCTCACCTGGTATGACCCTCCCACTCATAATGCTACCAATTCTTCCAGCAGCAATCCAAAACAAAAAACAAGCCCATGCACTTGGACTGGTGTTTCATGCAACGCAGCTGGAAGTGTCAACAGGATAGACCTTTCCAATAGGGGTATTCAAGGTACGCTACATGAATTTTCATTCTTGTCCTTCCCTAATCTTGAATATCTTAACCTCAGCTTGAACGAACTATTTGATGCCATCCCACCTCAAATCAGTAACCTCTCCAAACTCCACTATCTCGATCTCTCTGTAAATGAGTTGTCTGGGAGAATCCCACCAGAAATCAATCTCTTGAGAAATCTTACATATCTTGGTCTCTTTGCAAACAATTTGTTGGGGGAAATTCCCAATGTGATAGGCAACTTGAAATCTCTTGTAGATCTAGAGTTGTTCTCCAACAATTTAAGTGGTCTCATCCCTCCAAATATTGGTAACTTAATAAAGTTAAACACTTTGTACTTGGAAGACAATCACCTTTCTGGTTTGATTCCTAATGAGATAGGGAACTTGAAATCTCTTGTAGCTCTGGGGTTGTCCAACAACAATTTAAGTGGTCTCATCCCTCCAAATATTGGTAACTTAATAAAGCTAAATGGTTTGTATTTGTACAACAATAAACTTTCTGGTTTGATTCCCAAGGAGATGTGGAACTTGAAATCTCTTGTAAATCTAGACTTGGGCAAGAATCAACTCAATGGTTCAATTCCTGTTTCAATCGGTGACTTGCGCAACTTGGAATCCTTCTACCTACCTGATAACCACCTTTCCGGACCCATCCCTCAAGAGATGGAGAATCTCAAGATGTTGACTAATTTGCAGTTGAGAAACAACCAATTTTCTGGTCATTTGCCCCAAAATATTTGCCAAGGTGGAAAACTCACAAACTTTTCTGTATTCAGAAACTATTTGACTGGTTTAATCCCCAGAAGCTTGAAAAACTGCACGAGCTTATTCAGAGTCCGTCTTGACCATAACCAATTTACAGGCAATATATCTGAAGTGTTTGGTGTTTATCCGAATCTTGATTTTATGGATGTAAGCCATAACAACTTGTATGGAGAAATCTCACACAATTGGCAAAAATGCCCAAAGTTGACAACCCTGCGGCTTGCAGGAAACAACCTTACTGGGAGCATCCCACCTGAGATAGGCAATGCAACCCAAATTCATGAGCTAGATCTCTCTTTGAATCATTTAGTTGGGTTGATTCCAAGAGGACTCGGGAGATTGACTTTTTTGGTGAAGTTGATGTTGAATGGGAATCAACTTTTGGGTCGTATACCCTCTGAATTAGGATCATTGACTGATCTTGATTATCTTGACCTGTCAACAAATAAATTCAGTGACTCAATGCCTAGCATTCTAGGTGACTTGCTCAAATTATACCATATGAATTTGAGCAACAACAAGTTATCTCAAGCAATTCCACTTCAGTTGGGGAAGTTAGTTCAATTGAACGAACTGGATTTAAGTTATAACTCTCTTGAAGGTAGCATACCATCAGCAATAAGCAATATGGAGAGTTTGGTGGCACTCAATCTTTCGCACAACAATCTTTCGGGTTCCATACCATCAAGTTTCGAAGAGATGCGTGGCTTGTCGTACGTTGACATATCCTACAATCACTTGGAAGGTCCCCTTCCCAACATCAGTGCATTTCGAGAAGCTCCGTTAGAAAGATTGAAAGAGAACAAACGATTGTGTGGCAAAGTTGGAGCTTTGTTGCCACCCTGCAATGCACATGGCTCAAAAAAGGACCACAAGGTCATATTATCTGTTCTAGCAGTATTTGTACTTCTATCTGCACTCTTTACATTTTTTTTGTAATAGTGCAAAGAAAGAAGAAGCATCAAGATACTAAACAAAACCACATGCATGGAGAAATTTCCCTTTCGGTTTTAAATTTTGATGGAAAATCAATGTATGAGGAAATCATAAGGGCAACAGAAGATTTTGATTCCACATATTGCATTGGAAAGGGAGGACATGGAAGCATCTACAGAGTGAATTTGTCATTTGGAGACATAGTGGCCGTGAAGAAACTCCATCTGCTATGGGATGGCGAGACAGAATTTCAGAAGGAGTTTTTGAATGAAGTAAGGGCACTCAGTGAGATAAGACATCGGAATATTGTGAAGTTCTATGGTTTTTGCGCAAATAAACGACACTCGTTTTTGGTGTATGAGTATCTTGAAAGAGGTAGCTTGGCTGCAATGTTGAGCAAAGATGAAGAAGCTAAAGAGTTTGGGTGGAGTAAAAGGGTGAATATTGTTAACGGCTTAGCTCATGCCTTGTCTTACATGCACCATGATTGTTTGCAACCGATCGTACATCGTGACATCTCAAGCAAGAACGTTTTGTTGGATTCTGAATATGAGGCCTGCATTTCCGACTTTGGCATTGCTAAGTTTTTAAATCCAGACTCAACTAATTGGACTGCTGCTGCAGGCACATATGGCTACATGGCACCAGGTAATATTGTGACTCCCTATTCTCTATATTTAGCACTTTTTAAGGTTTTGCTCTTAGACCAATGCTTCATTTTCATCATTAGGATCGGTTAACATAAACACATTTTCACTTCTTTGATTTAAAAAATATATATTTTTTTTTTTTTTTTTTTTTTTTTGAAAACTTTTCTTATTTATTTCTTTTTCTTATTCACTGTCCAGCTTTTATTAAGCTATCTTTTCAAGTTATGAAAAAGAACCAAATTTCCCCAAATTTATAGGTTGTGTGTTTCAATGAATTATTAATTTGATTGGGAAATTGTGACTTCCTCACTGTCCTTTTTTTGAGAAGCAATGTTTTGAACACTTCAATCTCAGTCTCTTATTATACGTGTGTACAATTGATGCATGATACAATTTCTTCTATGTGCTTTTTTCTGAGCAGAGCTTGCATATACAATGGAAGTGAACGAGAAGTGCGATGTTTATAGCTTTGGAGTTGTCACACTGGAAATAATTATGGGAAGCCATCCAAGAGATGTTTTCTCATCTTTATTATCAGGGGCAGCATCATCGGCCTCATCTGCATCACCTTCCCTTGAAATGCCAATTTCGGATGTTCTGGACCAACGCATCTCCCCACCCACAAAACAAGAAGCAGGGGAGGTGGTCTCTCTTTTGAACATCACGTTTGCATCCTTGAATCCCAGTCCACAATCTCGTCCAACAATGAAGAAAGTATCTAAGCTCCTCTCATCAACTCAGAGGCTGCATCTGCCAAAGCCATTACATATGACAACATGTGGTGAATTGCTTGCTCTTGATGGCTTCATTGCCTAATCAGGACATGCGTTGCTTTTCATTTGTTTGCCTTGTTCTAATTCTTCTTAGATGTTTGGATTATTGTAATCTATTTCATGCCCACTTCTGTCTTTTGGCTCACTCTTAAATAAGGGTTACTGGTATTTAGAAATGTTTTTCGTAATGTATGTATGTTTTGCCACCTAAAATATTATGAATATGTTGCTATTAGCCCAACCATGTCAAGCATTCAATTAAAACTTCACTCGCAGTGCTCTCTTTTAATGTAAATAATAGTGATACATGATCAAAATAGTGAACGTACCCTCAAAATCATAACTTAGAGGACAATTAATCAACATTTACGATAGGTTGTGCTTGTCGGAGGAAGGCTCGTGATTAGCTTTGGACTTGAAGATGACCAGCCAAACAAATGGAATAGGGAGGCATGTGTTTCAGTCTCTGGAATCTGGACTCAACTAATTGGCCCACCAAAGCTGTAACATAATGGGATATCAAGAAGCAAGCAAGGGAAGTCTTCTCTCTTGTTTTGACGATAATACGTTTGGCATGAATGTCAATCCACAATCTCGTCAAACAATGAAACAAGTTTCTCAGCATGGGTTTTTATTACAGGTACTCTGTTTTAAAAGTTCTTATTTTAGTCCTCGAATGTTCAAATCAATCAATAGGTCCTTTATATTTTGGTCGTTGTTGTTGTATTCCAACAATACTTTGTTAAAACTAGTCACATATCATCACCTGACCAACTCATTTCATCAAAATATAGCTCAATTTAGTCCTAGAACTCAAATTTTTTTGCTCAACAAAATCATCTGCTTTCCATTCAGGGTTTCACATTTAGGTTTTGTCAAGGAGAGTACACAACCTTGTTGAGCAACATATGTAATTTCTTTTCCTTTGTTCTTCAAGATTTCAATTTCTTAATCCAAACAGAGGGTTAAGGATCACATTGATTGATTGGAAAGTTTGAGAATTGAAATGATGACTTTTGAAAAATTCGAGGACCATTCATGACAAAAACCCTTCTCAATACCTTTCTATTCGGAGGCTGCATTTGTTGAAGCTGTTACCTGTGATACCATGTGACATAGTGCAGTGGCAAGCATACAGATGAGACACTTCTGAACCCCTATATCATGAAAATAATAACCTCTCACTTTTGTTGTACAAATAGCAACCTAAAAATTAAGCAACTGTATGCACGTTTTAACTCGCAAGTGGACAAGATCAGACAAATAGTATAGAAAGCAAATACGAGATCATTCCCACGATGATTGGACTAATATGTGTTTAAAATTAATTTCCTAGAACTACTAACTAAATGGCACAACTAAGAATGCAAAAGCGAAAGAAAACCCTAAAAAAAACTTATTTCAAAACCTAAGATTTCTAATCAGAGTTAAGCAATACACAAAGGCACTCGGTGTAGACAGGGTGTTAAAAAGGATGATTTTAAGATGATTTTGAAAACTGAAAATTTGAAATAAAATATTAAAAACAGCGTTTGATTAAAAACATAATTGGATTGAGGTTAAAACAACTAGCCCTTAGGTTCTCTTGCTGCTTCTGCGCCAAAGCGATGCTCTCTACAATCACTTTAGCAGGGATTTGCTCCTGCAAATATATGGAAATCAGAGACAGAAAATATAAAGACAGGAATGGCTAGTACAGCTAGAAAAACAAGACTCACATCTTCTTCCATTTCTTTTGTCTTTTCTTGAGGTCATTCTTCTACCTCTTCTAGCTCTTTCTCCTGCTCCACTGCCTCAAAGGCCTCTCTCAACTCTTCATCTATTCTAGAAGTGGTGGTGGGAGCCGCCGCAGTTTCTTTCATGGCCACATACTTCACCACAGTCCTCTTTCTAAGTCTTTTTGACCTAATAGGAGGAGGAGGAGGACTCTTGGCTGCACAGAACAAAGAACTTTGAATGAAGGTTAGAAGGGTAGGCAGAACAGAACAGATTCAAGGAAACAATTGAGAATGACAGAATCTTACCAGAAATTTCAGGCTGCGCAGCATTGTCCTGAACAGGGGCAGTTTCTTTTCTTTTCCTCCTGGCAGGAGGAGTGGCCTCCACTGTTGTTTGTTCTGTCTGAGCCTTATCCTTTTCATCTGCAGAGGGGAGTACTAAATCTCCAGCTGAGATAACAGAACTGACTGCAAAAGAAACAGACATGTCAGAAGTCAATCCAACAAAAATAAACAGAAGGAACAAAATTGTTGGAGAACTCACCAATAACTTCTCCAGCCTGGATAGACTACCCGCCTACGTTTTCTGTCAAAGAGGGGTCTGATATAGACAGAACAAAATGTTAGGCATCACCATTAAAGGTAGAATAGGCAAAGCAGGCAGAATTAAAACTTACCTTCTATAATTTGGGCATTAATATCTTTGATGGTTTGCATCATAAAGTTCTTGGCATCCACCTCCGTGTAGACAGTCCAGGAGTTCCAGCCACAAAAAAGAACCTTGAGTGCAGTAATAGAGGCTGGCAAACCACGAAATCTGGGTTTCCACCAAGCATCAAACTCGGCAGAACTGCAGGAATTACATTCCCAAGATGGATAAAGGGCATCTGCACCATTGTTGATCTTGTTTACTGCACACCTAGCATCCTTGTGCACTTCCAGGTCATCAGCATCTCTCCAGGAAGCAGCCCGATTGCAGCTCCTGTAAGATTTGAGTGGAATGAGTTGTGGGCAGCCAAGTTGTCGTGCGTAGAAGTTAGGATGGTACACTTCTGCCCCCATATTATAATTAGGAGGCTTCCCACCTTCTCAAACAACCTGTATCTAGGCTGGAACCAAGGATAGGTTCTTCTGATCACCACCTGCCACTGAGCTGCTGACGTTTTAGTACAATGCCTGAAAAACATCAAGTACTCCTCGATTGAGCGCTTGGGCACTTCTGCTGACATCAGAGGAAGGGCCAGAACTTGGTCTTCAGGCAGAACTACGTCTGGAAACCTCAGTTCTAGGAAGTAAACCTACAGCCAGATCTGGATCATCCAGAATGCACCAGGAGCAGAAAAATTCAGGGGATTCTCCAGGGTGGCAATGTGCAGGTTCTTGACAAATGGGCCAGAACTGTAGGTCCAAGCCCCACATCAGTATGGTTATGAAGGGCTTCTACCAGATGCCTGTATTCAAGCGAGAACTGGTCGAGGAATGGTTAGGGAAGATGAATCTGTTCAGCCAATGCAGAACTTATCGAAAATAATGGCAAAAAAAAAAAAAAAAAAAACATCATCCTTGGGCTCCAGAAAAATCAAAGCAGGCTCGTATGATTAAAAAGAAGAAGAAAGGCCCAAGAAATTGGAGGCAAACCCACGTGATCTCCTGACTTGGAAAAGTCAAACAAATCCAACTACTATAGAAGAAGTGTTTGGGAATTAAATGAAAGCATGCAACTAGGAAGAAACTTCTCTAAAACTCTGCCACCAGAAAATCAAAAACACATATATATATATATATGTTCAAAGATATTTCTTCTACCCCAAAGAGGGTGATTCTCCCAAGAGATAAGCAGGCCATGTTCTCAAAAAGAGATAAGCAGGAAGACAGGGACTTGTTCAAATAGAAGATCAAACTAACCATCATAGTTTGAAACTTTTAAACAGAGGGCGGTTAAAATTGAAAGAAGGTTAGGTTTCCTCTCAAAATATAGGGAAGTGATATGAAGAAATGACTAGTGAGAGCTTATCTGCCAGAGATGATAAAATCCCTTTTTCTTTGTATGTAAAAATTAAGAGATCTTTTGAGAAATTTTGCCACCCATTATTAAAAGAATTACCCTATTCCAGAAAACACTTCTTAAATATAAGAGAGGGCGAAACAGAAAAAGACACTCAACTCAACAATAAAAAAAAACACAACTAAAAATCAACCCAAGACAAGAACTCAAAAGATCACTTGATCCTTGAGAACCCCCAAACAAATTGAAGCAACCAAGAGTTTAGTCAAGCCACAGGAGAAGCCAGCCATAATTCAGAACTTCCAAGCTCAGACTTAGAAAATAATTAATTTAAAATGAGATTCCTCTCGTTACATATTTGGTTCAGCAACAGCCAAGATAAGCAAAGCTTGAGTTCTCACAAATATGAAAACCTCAACAAATTTATGGAGAGCCCTGACCAAGGAGAACAGGTACCATAGTGCAGTTCTGGCTCAGTAATCCTCAAGTCCAGTCACTTCTGTCCCGTTCAGACTGAAGAAGTTGCAGTTTTGCCCGTTCAAATAATTATTTTATTTTGAAAATCAAGGATACAAACTTTTGTCATTTTAAAATGACTGAGCAGAACTTGAAAACGTTCCAAGCCATGTTAACACCAGATCTATGCATAATATTACTCGAATATACCCACACAAACAAAACGTTATTTTTCTCTCTGTTTGATTTGTCAGAGCTAAGTGTGATCTAGGGTTTATGTTATTTTATTTTTCAGTTTTTAATTATTTATAAGATAAAAATTGACCAATTTGCCCTCATAGTGCCCACATGGTATCTTTTAACTCTAAAATGGTTGGAATCACTACTACAAAAAGGGAAAAAGATGACCAGAAAACAACAACGGTATTTGCACCGTCGATGGTAACAGAAAACCGTCGTGGATAAGTAACTTAAACACCTAAAAAATCGAGATCCGCTTGGGTATTTCTAAAACACAACACACCAAACTTAAAATGCGTTTTCTTATTCCACATGTTTTCTCTTGGCATAAAAAACAACGACAGCAAGTATGAAGCTACCAACGTAGAAAGTGAAGATGTCGTTTTACGAAAATTGACTACTAGTTAAACACAACCAACTATTCTTAATCTGTGTGGTATAATATTAATGGAATCCACGTCAGTAGATTCGTAATCAGCGACGTATTAAAGTCATATACCACGACAGTAAAAATAAATTTGTTGACGTATTACGACATCATGTACTACGACGGTATCTACTACATTACTGTCGTATAGAGTAAAAGCGAACCACGACATTAGTAGTGTAGATAACGACGTCTACATGTCCAAATATCCACGTCGTATTTTTAATATTTCAAGACATATTAACTTAGTACACTATAACGGCCTGTATAAATGAATAGTCGTGGTAAATGTCATTTACTACTTAGTTATTTAAAATACAGCATTGGGTTGTTTGTATGTAACACGTCGGTTTCTTCGCTTATAGCGCCGTATAATAATATTTTTCCACTTCGTTAATTGAAATGTACCGTCATCCCTATGACATTTAGACGATTGCCCTTCTATGATTACCGTCGTCTGAAATTTGTATCTTTCTCATCAGTCTCTTCATCCTCCTCCAGCTCATCATCATTTCCATTACCAGCCCATCAAATACTAATTGTGGATGTTTTGGATCAAGGCATTTCCCCTCCTACGCATCACATTGCAAGCAAAGTGGTCTCTCTTGTGAAGATAGCATTTTCATGCTTGAATTTCAGCCCGAAATCTCGCCCAACAATGAAACAAGTTTCTCATTTCCTCTCAACTCAGATGATGCATTTGTCGAAGCCGGTACATATGATGACATGTGGTGAATTGCTTTCTCTTGATCCTTTGGCTACTTGATCAGAATGTGCTTCTTTCTTATGCACATTTTACTTTTCCTATATCTTCTATTTAGAAAGTTTCTCCGTAAATGTTTCCTTCTTGTAATTTATTTCATGCACATGTGCGCAATGCTGTGGCTCTATGTATAATTTATCTAGGATGTTTTATAGTTTGTTTATCCTTTTGAGCAAAAAAAACAAAAGTGGTTCTTAGATCTAGATCCAAAACGCTTAGCTGTCATTGAGTTTAGTCCACGCATTTTTGATTTTAGATGTAGGTCCTTTGACTTTTATTACTCTTTTTATTGTGTCGAATTTACCCTCTGAGGTAAATAAGGAAAACTTTGAAATTCTAAATTTAATGAATTATTTACTTGTAATTGAATTTCAAAATTTAAATTTTGAATTCCTTCATTGATAATATTTTACCTAATATATGGGTAAAATACAAATTAATCAATGAAAGTATAGACCCACATATTATACTAATTGTTTAGGCAAGCATCCACAGTAAATTATGTACCTAAAATACAGGTAAATTGTATTCTTATTAGCAATGAAAAAAACTTAGTGATAAATCGTGTTACTTATAAGTGATGAACATAAATTTGAATACTACTTATAAGTTAGGAAACATAAATTAGAAAACTACCTTTAAGTAAGATACAAAAATAGGCAAATAAAATTCTATGTTACCTATAAAAAAATGTACATTAAATACTATTATTCATTGTCTAAAATATGAAGAAAAAAAAACACATATATACCTATGCAATAGGCAATAGGCAATAGAACAATATACCTACACCATATGATAATATATCTATAAAAGTATATGCTATACCTCTACCATAAGGTGAACAAAAATAAAAATAATTAATACCTACAACTTTTTGAAGAGAACGAAAGGGGAAAGGAATCTTGTAACATGGAATGCCATGATCTTGGGTCACATTCAAAATCATCAAAATGAGGAGGCTTCGGAACTATATGTGGCAATGTACAGATTGTCAATTAACCATAGAAGATCAACATTCTCTACCATAGGGTCTACATAAATGAAGAAAAGAAGAAGATGGAGAACGAAGAAGGAGGAAGGAATGGAGAAATGAATAACAACAAAGAAAAACGTGCATCCAGTTAATAAGCTAAATTCAAGGAGAAATTGTATCTCCAAAATAATAAATAATTCTAAAGGTATATGCAATAATAAAATCCACGTTAAATAGGAATTTGCAGAAGTCAAGGTAAAATAAAAAAAAATAAAAAAATGAAGGTCCAACAGTTACATTCAAATGTAATTATTCCTAATTGTACATGATCAAATCTAATCATTAATGGTCGATAAATCCTCATCTTACTCGTTTTAGACAATAGGGATATAATAGGAAAAAAAAATTTAAATACAAAAGTTTGAATCAACATATTAAAAATGGAAAGTAATCTACGTGGCAAACTAGTCAAGGACTTGTATCAACAAACAATAATTCAAGGACTAGACCCAACTATTGGTTGGATTTTTGGACCTCTATCAACTTTTCTAAAAACGAAAATGAAATAAGACAAGGGTTTTGTTTAGTAATTTTATATACTCTGTGTAGCAGCAAATACAGATGAGAATTTGAAATTGTAAACCACCCCAAAATCATTAATAAACAATTCAATTGTGAAAATTAAATGACCAAGACCAATATAACAGGAACAAATAGTATTTGACGTGGCGATAATTGCAAGGGCCATACTATATTACTATATATGGATAGCTACCAAACACCATATATATAATATAGAAACAAAGGTTCATAGACCAGAGCCATTTTCGTTTTCGATTTTCTTACACAGAGAGAGAGAGAGAGAGAGAGAGAGAGAGCTATAGTGACGATGTCGACCCTTAAGAGTTCCTCAACAAGTTCCTCCTGCATCCGAAGACTGTGAGCAGCTCAAAAAGGCCTTCAAAGGTTCCTTCTTTGTTATTTTTCTGTTCTTTTACTCCCTCGCATCATTTCTTGTTCTGATCATAAACCACCCCATATTTTGTAATTGGCTTTATGATTGATGATTGATCAATCCCATTTCACCGATTCGATTGTTAGGGTTAGATACAACGTAAATGATCAGATAATGTAAAAAGGGTCCTTTTTGTTTTTCATTTCGTTATGCTAATTCTCTTTTGACTCTCTCTGTCATCAATGATCAGATTCATCAGATTTGTGTTTGTGTACATGAGGCTTGGGGAAAGGCCCATATGAATGTGATTGTTTGCTTTTGTAAAACGGCGATGCTTTCACTCTGCACCAAAGCTCTGTTTGTATCAGAAGAAAATAATGCATTTGGGATCATTTATCTGTAAAAAA